CTACCAACTCTTTATTTTTTTTAGTAATTCTTATTTTATCTAAAATATTTATCAGTGAGATTCAAATGAGATTTTTCAGAATATTAATTATGAAAAAAATATATTTGGCATGATTGATGTTAATTTTTTTATTTTTTTTAGTGAATTAGTATCACTGATTAAAGGCATGATAAATTGTTGTTGTTTTTGCAGAAGGGGCAGAACCACTTCCATGGGACGTTAGACTTAAAATAGCTATTGGAGCTGCCCAAGGCCTGGCCTTCCTTCACACATCAGAAAAGAGTGTCATTTATCGAGACTTTAAGACATCTAACATATTATTGGATGGGGTATTGTTCTTTATATTTTTGTATTTTTTCAGAAAATAAGGCACCATTATATTATCCATGGACCCATATTGACGTGACTTTTGTTTTTCTTCCTTCCTTGTTCTTTTCCAGGCCTATAATGCAAAACTTTCAGACTTTGGGCTGGCAAAGTTAGGTCCATTAAATGGCAATTCCCACGTTACAACAAGGGTCATGGGCACTTATGGCTACGCGGCTCCAGAATACGTTGCCACTGGTAATTGAGCTTTTTTTTTACCTCTAAAAAATAATCAATTCAGAAATTTTACGTATTAGGAAAAAAGTTTAAGAATATACATGAGTTATTATGAAACCATATTAAAATTATAAGTCAATGGCTCACATAGTTTTTGAAAATCTAGTTTAACATGTTCTTATATTATAAGTCGAGTTTCCAATCTGTTTACGTAAGTTTAATTATTTACGATCTATCATTGTATTTAATTCATTATCCAATCTATCATTCTAATATATTTCTTTAAATAAATAGATGAAAATATCCTCGTATGAGAAATTCAAACACTCGTCTAAGTTTTTTTTCTTTTTTTAATTGTTTTACGATGTTAAAATTCATTTTTTTTGCTAGTTACTTTTTAAGTAAATTAGTTTAAATTTGAATTTCTCATACGAGGGTATTTTCTTCAATTGACAGAGAAAGATCTACTATATATAATGATAGATTGAAGAATAAACTAAAATATAACGATATATTGAGCCAATTTTCCTAGTTTTTTTTTTAATGTTTGTTATTTTTTGTAATTAATTTGACATGAATAGTATTGATATCTAACAATTACAACCAAAACTGGCAGGTCATTTGTACGTCAAGAGTGATGTGTATGGATTTGGTGTTGTATTGCTGGAATTGTTGACGGGACTCAAGGCCCTTGACACCAATCGACCTAGTGGGGAGCACAACTTGGTAGAGTTTACTAAGCCTTCGCTTTCCGATAAAAGAAAACTGAAGAAAATAATAGATGCAAGGCTTGAAGACCAGTACCCTTTAAAAGCTGCAATGCAAGCGGCTGAACTTATCCTACGTTGTTTGGAATCTGACCCAAAAAACAGACCATCTATGGAAGAGGTTTGGGAGACCTTAGAAACGATATATGATATGAAGGAAATGCCGAGAGAGAGGAAAAGCAGTGCTAAAAAAAGTAATTCAAAGCGCCAAGAAGAACGTTGCCGTCATCAGTCTCCACTTCAGTTCAGACATGGTGGCACCGGCATCAAGGGTCGAGCTTACTCCTCAGCTCCGGTTAGTTCAAATCAATCAATGGGTGCACCCTAGCAATCATATTTTGTTAATCACCTATAGCTATGCTCGTTTCATTTTTTTCAATATATTTTCTTCCCACGCTAGAGACAGTACTGATCATATGGTTATCCTCCTCCTGTTTTGGGACTTTTGATGTATAACGTATGTACGTTTAATAGACGTACAGCCTTATGTAAAAAATGTTCACTCGGCCCAATATCATGAGTTTGAATTAGCTGTGTTGTAGAGGATGGTTGGGCCCATATGCTCGTGTTAGGCTTGAGATGCAATTCAAGTCTGGTCCGGTTGAAAACCCAAGGGAAAAAAATTGTATATAAATAAATATAGAAAGAAAATCAGATTTTAAAAGGATTTGAGAGGTGGTGCGTGCAGCGCTAAAAATATATCTAGGTGAGTTTTTCTTTGGTTTTTGGCTTTTTGCTATATCAGATTTTAAAGCCGCAAAACTTTTTCTCTTCCGCATAAAAAAAAAAAAAAAAATCTTATCCACTCCCTCGCTGTCCCTGTTGTTTTATGAGATGGAGAAACAAAAAGAAATGTTGTCAAATTTTGTTTGAGTTGCCTTCCTTCAATTTAATTTTGTCAACAATGCCGTAAAATTATGATTTGTATCATTTTCGATGTGTTTTGTCGATAATTTTGTGAAAATATGGTTTATGTGACCTATTTCGTCACTGATTATTTGAAAACATGATCTGAATCATCTTGGATTTTTTTTTTTTTGATTATTTTGATTTTCATCTTCTTAAACTTAATTTTTATGAAATTAACTTTTCGGCTCTAATAGTGTTTTTAGATAACATCACTTTTGTGTTGTAAACTAAGTTTTGCGCTATTATGACATTTTTAGATAATTATGGATCCAAATTTAAGCAAATATTAACCACGGTTACATTAATTCTATAATGAAACTTCTATGAAAAGACTATCGTTGGACACACATATCAAGATTGTTATAGATCAAACACTTTTTAATATTCATACCTATAGTCTATTGATAGATTTCTCCTATATAAAATCTTTAAAGAGCTTATATTTCAAATTTTGATTTTAAAAATATCGTAAACCAATCTCATCACAAACATTCGACGAGTGGATAAATTTAGAGACAAAAAATAGAATGCTAAGTGTTACCACATATGAACACCATTTATCTCCAACTACATTTTTTATATCCTGTAAGAATATAGAAGGATTATCAAGTGGTGTCATTTATTCATGACTTACATGAATATTATTATTGCACTAAAGGATTTGATAAGAGTAGTGAGGTCTTTGTAGATAAAAAAATAAAGTTTTTAAAAGACTGAGTTTTAACTCAAGATAGTATCAGCAAAACAAGAAGACTACAAATTATTGTACGTCTTAATATTTGATATTTTAAGTGGTGGACAATATCTCATTTTGCAATATTTGAACAACTTTTTATCTTTTTACTACCACTATGGATACAATGTTTCATTTTTCTATTTTTAATCATCCTATACTCATGTACAATATGAGATTGCCGTTTATGCAAAATTTAGAAGACAAAAAGAATGACATGGGTGTTCATAGTCAAACTTATGGATGTACAATTGTTTTAATGAGAAACACTCAAAATTAGATCTTGCGTTATATCCCTTATTGAATTAGGTTACTATTCCGGGCATATGACAATAATGGGAGAGGGCAAGATTGGGGGTATGTGATCCCGAAAAGGTGTTGTGAATTGAAAATGATGTCATGCACAAAATAAATAAATAAATAAACAACCTATTCCTTGTGAGATTGAGCGACAAAAGGTAGCATTCTAGAAAAAACCCTAAACAATTTTTTTTCTTTGATAGAAATAAAAAATTTCTCATCCTTTTCCTCCATGCCCCTTTTTTTTTATGATCTATAAGTGAATTTTATATTTATAATAATTTTTTTTATATTATTAAGGAAAATTACAGATGAATTTGAAGACGCATAGGATGATTTGGCTTTAAGGACACATTTGTTTTTATGTTTTTTAAAGTTTTAGATAAAAATTTTCAATATTTAACATATATCGGGACTCTAAATTTAAATTTAGGATTTTACTTTGGTGATATATTGTCATGAACCTTACTCATCGTACATTGTTAGATTTCTCCCGAGCTTATATTTCAAATTTTAATTTTAAAAATAATGTATACCAATCTCATCATAAACATTGGACGAGTTCATAGATTTAAAGATAGGAATCAGAATATTATATGTTATGATATCTTGAATACTATTTATCTCCAGCTATATTTTTTATATCCCACAAGAATATGAAAGTATTATCAATGCTATAGTATCATTTATTCGTAAATTACATAAATATAATCATTGCACCAAAGGGTTTGATAAGAGTAGTGTGGCATTTTTTGATATAAATAATAGAGTTTTGAGAGATTCAGTTTCAACTTGGGATGGTAGCAGCAAAACAAGAAGTCATATTTTAGGTGGTGGGAAATATCACATTTCGTATGATTTGAATAACTTTTTATCTTTTTGCTAGTACCATGGATATAATTTTTTGATTTTTTATATTTAATCATCCTACACTCATGTATCATATTAGATTATCGTTATTATAAAATATAATATTATATTTTATTGACGTTGCCTCCAAAAAGATGTGAGAGAAACTTTATATCATTTTTTTTTTCATTTACAGGGGAAGGAGATTAGGTTGGAAATATGGATATATGTATTAAGCATTTAATTTAAGTATGAGTTAATTATAAGCTAGTTCTTGCAGTTTATGAAAAATAATTAATAAATTATCTAAGAAAATAAAAAAAACCAATTCATTTTTTTTAAAAAAAAGAGGGAGAAAACCCCATAAAAAAGGAAGGAAAAAATAAGATTTTCACACTCAATTTTATTTTATTTATTTTGTATATCTCTCGAATTACTCGTGATTATTATAAAATTTCTCCGTTAAAAACCCCTCTCGCTTTCGGCCATATCAAGCAGCATGCTTGCTAAAAACAAACGATATCTCAACTGCCAGCCTCCTCCTCTGTTCTTCTTCCTTGTCAGAAGAAGCGAAAATTCAAGGAAATGCCCGCCAACCAGGAGAAGAAGAACGGCAATTTCATCTATTTCGTTCTTGGTACTAACGATCATGTTTCTTGTTTAAAGTAGATCTAAACAAAGATAATTCAGGTTGTCCTGTTAGTTTGCTTGATCCGATTTTAGAAATCGATTTTGAGGAAAGATTATTGGGATCGGCTATCGTTGTTTTTGAATCGAAAGTCTATGTCTTTGGTGGTGCATCCAGTACTCTTGACTCCTCTGAAACGGTGCAATTTATACCCTCTAATGAAACCATCATCTACGATATACTTACGGGCTGTAGTTGTACAGCACCTCCCATGAAATCTGGCAAGTCGACTCCGTTTACAGCTATGTTAGATGGAAATAGTTGTGTTTTCTCAAGCGATTTAAAATCCGATCACAATTTTGAACTCTTTGATACCAAGAAAATGTCATGGTCATTCCTTCCAGAACTCCCTGCAACTGAAGTGGAAGTTGAAGCCTTTTTTGTTCGTGATACCTATCTCTATGTGTCTACAACCATCTCTATGTCTCTACAACTGAAGTGCAGAATAATCCCTTGTATCCATTCGTAGAGAAGTCTTCACTTGTACTATATGAAGGAGACACACTCGTGGTTCCTTTAGTTAGGGAGCATGATGACCTTCCAAGATTTGCTATAATAAGAGCAGGTTTTGAAAATGACGACAAAGATTATTCTGCACCTAGCTGCCCCCACGTCACTGTAGATGTGGTTGAAGTGGTTAAGGACGCTTTTGATGTTCCTTCCTTTATGGATGGACATCAGTCCCACACATTCAATCGCTTGTTGATCAACAAGCTCGAATCATTGGCATACTCCATCCCATACGAACAGAGCGATATGTTTCTATAACATGGTTTCTCTCCATAAGCCCTACTGGTCCTAATGAACTGAACTTTAGATATGTTTCCTTTCAATTGATTTTGACTTTCGTCTCTTTGTTTTTTTTTTTTTTCCTTTATTTTGTTTCTCATTATAGGGACCTCGATGCTTAATTTGGGGTAATAAACCCCAACTTCTTTTGTTCTAGATTGAGGTTTTAGTTGCGTTCAATTGTATGTTTTGAAAAGATGACAAAGAGTGGCCTAGATGAGTAAAGTTGTTTTGATAGAAAGTTGGAATAAGTACTAATTTGTAGTCATGTTTGAACCTTGAACTATTTTTACCCCTTCTCCATGCCTTTATCAAAGAGCATTGTTACTATCGGCAAAAGTGGACGGGTATTGTATATCAGAGCGTTTAGGAGGTACCAAAGACACGTCTCTTGCCATCCCAATTGGTTCTTTTAGAAATCTAGGTTGTGCATGTGATACAATTTTACTTTTTTACGTGATTGGTGGTATGTTTTAACTGTGTTAAAAAATTTACAGGTGAACTTGAACTTTTAAAGTAGTAGATTATAGCTAGAGAAAAATTCCTTAACGTTGGCTGCAACATTTTAAACTCTCCTTTTCCTTCCAAAGTTTGTGGTCTTGATAGACTTTTTATTTCATTGATTGTCTAGAAATGCAGGACTGTGAATCTTCCCTATGGCGATGTCTTGTTGGAAAGAGGTATGCCATGATGGTGGTTGTTTTCTATTTAGTTTGAAGTCATCAAAACTGGTTAAATGGTTTTTTTTATGTATGTTCATTGTGTAGGATTCATCCTTCTTGATTGTCTAGATGGTGTGTTTTACTTGATTTCTCTAGTTAGATCATGCCTGAGATTTTTCAGCTTAGCTAGGATTTGTTAGTTCCATTCTACCCCCATATCTGCTGCCGGCATTGCATAGGCATTGTTCTGTGGCATGATGGCATCATTGGTATAAAAATTAGAAAGTAGAATTTGAGGCCCAATAGTGGCTGGCAACTATAATGGCACCACCAGTGTTCGGTATGAGACCAACTGCAAGCCACTGCTGCTGATTATCGCAGTTGATTATGTGCGGTGCGACCATGGTAACTATGGGGATATTGTGATGATAACATACCTTTTCATGTTCTGTTCTTCTTCTTATTTCTTCCCATTGGTGTCATTGTTTCTTCTCATTACAGACCACTGAATAATGCTGAAGCTGATTCTTTTTCTCTTTTTTGCCCAGTCTCCCTGTTGTTCATCTCATACAGGTTTATGTGGTCTTGGTGGGGCATGCAAAGTTGTACTCCGGTAATCTACATTCTTTTGTTCTTGAAGTTTTGTGGAATATTTTGATGATCATTTGCCTTTGAAATGATTTGGGCTTGACTGTCAATTATCAAGGCAGTAGCATCTATCATTTCTCTTTTATAGCAGGATCGACTACTAATAACTCTTGGAACTTTTCAGTGCTTCAGTCACTCATATTTGAATAATGATCATCCATCTACATCACAATTCAAGGAGAAAATCCCACGGTTTCTCAATGCTTTGCCCTCTGCTGATTGTCCCAAAGTTGGCCATGGTGTTTACACTAGCAGTATAGATCTGCAAGTTTTGCTGAGGTGGACACTTGTTCACTCAATCCAGTTCCGTAAATTTTAGGGAAAGTTGCACTGGCATAGGCATGCATTAAAATAGTTCCGTCTTATTTGAATGGGTATATTCCTCACTCCCTCTCTCTCCTTATCAGGCTACAAGAATGGTGTTATTCAAGCATCATCCTTCCGCACATATCACATGCCTCTTAACAAGTAGGTAGGAGTGGATTCTAACGTTAAAATTTGCTGAATATGATCTGTTTCTTGTGCCTGTAGAAAGACCTTAACATTAACTGCATCTCATTTTCGATTGACTACGTCAATTTGATGAGGGCTGCTCCAGAGTTCAGTTCAAGGGTTTCTATTTCTTTGTAGGTAAAAAATCGATGATGGTGAATACTGTACAGTTTGACCGATGCTATGTTTTTCAAATAAATTATCCTGGTCAAGGTTTTTTAGTCTTGGTTTTCCCCTATGTTAGGAAGCCGACTTTTGTTGCTTCTTTTGTATGATACTGGCTCTGTTCTCATCAAAGAACTGATTTTTTATGAAGTTATTTACGATCTCCTAAACTTAACGTTAAATAAGAAAAGTTTTACCTGTTCATCCATGTTCACTGTTGCATGCAGAAGACTTGTCCCACAGTTGCCTGTATGCTAGTTAGACTGTCTCTTAAATGAAGTTTGTTTTCTGGTGCAGATGGAGATCTTCCCATACTCAGAAACTTATATGTTTCTTGAACAATACCTTGATATATGGAGGACTGCATCAATCAACCTTGCTATCGCTATTGGTTAGTAGCCTTTCAAAATCCAGCAGTTAAACTGGCATGTTCTTTTTTCTGAGGAGCCCATGGTTGGCATGCTTGAGTTTTTTACCTTGCTTTCTTGCATTCTCAATGATAACGCCGTCTTCTATTTGATCACAAATTACCCTTTTTCACTGAGGAGCTAAGCATTTTTTTATTGCTCTTTGATACTTGCGTTCCACAAAATTTCAGGCCTTTGAAGACCGAAGAGGTTGTTTTGTCGATTTTGTACTGCCTATGTCTATGTCATTAATCATTAAATGTATCACAAAGCGGTTTGATGTTAATGACCTGGAGATCTTAAACAAAACATGATGTGTGTGGGCTGTCCGAGTAAAACATTTACTGATGCAAACCGTTATTGTTTTTTCGTTTTTAAGTAATCCAAACGAACTATTTGGTTTAGCGTAACTGCTAGTCATTGCCCCTCCTATAGAGTCCTCGGTTGGTTTTATTTGGTGAATGTACCAGGAGCTGTATTTGTTGTTTGCTTGGTCATCACTTGCAGATTAGTGTTCTATTTACCCATTTTCACCATTTCATCGACAAAAAAAAATACTGGCTTCCGTGTTTCGTTCTTCTTTCCAAACGAACTGCTGTATGGTAGAATGACTTCACGATCATTTTGTTACTTAACTTTCTTTAAAATGTAGTTTATGGAGTTCTGCAATCATTTTGCTGGGGTTGGCAATGATAGTTGTGGGCCTAATGGAACTCTGCTTCTTTTATCATAATCTATGTATTTTTCATTTTGTGTAATAATTAACTTGTTCTGCCCAACTATAATCTCTCTGCTTACAAGATGAAACTCAGCACGGCGTGATGGCAATTCTAAATATTCTAATGAATGCAGTCTCTGCTGTCAACCTCGTCATGTCAGCGGGCATTGGTGTTGAGTTCTGTGTGCATATAACACATGCTTTCTCGGTTAGCATCACATCATTCTCTATTTTATTTGTATCTTGCCTACTTTCCTTTTCGTAAGACATTGCCAATTATGTTCTTCCTTCAATGGAACTTCAAATTCATTCTCTTATTATATTCAGTTGAAAGAAAAATAGAATTGGTAATGCAACTAGAGAATTGGTGTCCCTTCTGAAGTTCTTATTGGTGCTACCTTTGGCTGCATGTTCTTACTCATTTATTAAACAGGTGAGTAGTGGTGAGAGACCAACGAGTGAGAGATGGTTTGGGTACAATATAGAAGGTCTTGTAAATTTTGCATTTCTCATAGAACAATTACGAGAAAAAGATCATATTGAAAATACTAAGTCTTCCCCTGGATCAACTATTTGCAGGTTGCATTGAGCATGTTTGGTCCACTTTCAAGATTTAAACTTGTTGAGAAGCAAGAAGACCGGCCATCAGCTTCCTTGCGGCCCTCAGAATCTATATTGCTCTGTTTCATAGTTCTTTTTATAGGTTTATCTACATGCTCTTTTTTCTTTTCTTCGAGATACTAAAGTTAAAAATATAGTAAGTTAGTGATACAAAAATGCTCAAACTGGGTCTTGAAATATGTGGAGTATAGAGTGTTTTTCCAAGAAGAAAAGGAAGATGACCGTTCAGCTGCAAGGCTGTCAGATTTGCCTTTTTCGTTCCTTGAGAGCACACTTTGCTGTTGATTCCGATTGCTTGTCCTTCATTTGGGCTTTACCCATCCCTGGCCGCTTTGAAATAAAAATCCAATTTTCTGTGTGTAAAGGAGTAAAAAAGGAGCAAAAATTGAACCTTTTTTTTTTTTTTAGTGAAATCCTATAACATAACTGAACAAATAGAAATCTCATAACTAAGCAAAAAGAAGTGCTTATTGATGGTCGAAATTAGGAATTTAAATTAAAGGTTTTGATTTGGTTAGATATTGACTCGAATTCTTATTTCATTTTTTAGTATTTGAATTATGGTGATTGTTTGATTTGGTTTTGAATTTTGATATTTTATACACAAATATTTTGAATAAATGATAAATTAGTCCTTTTTTTTAGAAACGAATTAATTAGTCTTTTTTGTTTAAAAAACTAACAATTTAATACTCATATTTTGAAATTCATTTGTAATTTAGTTTTTTTTTGCTCGTTTTTTATTTATTTTGATTTTTTATTTGAAGAAATAAAAAAATATGAAAAAAATATAAAACGATTAAGAGAAAATAAAATATTTTATGGAATAAAAATTATATCAAATCAAGCACGATGAACATTGATTAAAAAACTAAATAATAGTATTTAAACGAGAAGAATTAATTAATTTATTTCTTAAAATTAAAGGGACTAATTTATAATTTAATCAAAATATTTTAAATAAAGTTAAGTATTTTCCTTGATTTTTTTGTTTTTTAGTTGATCCAATCGGTGTTTGTCCAACTTTAAAATGTTTGATACCAAAAACATCTCATAGTGATGTTTTTCGAAAGTCCCTTCAAATGAAGTGAAAGTTGAAGATTTTTACCGGAGACCTATCCCTAAATTTATGCCACCATGAAGGTGTATTATATTGATGTTGCCTCCAAAAAAACGTGGGAGAAACTTATATTATTATTATTATTATTTCATTTACAGGGGAGGGATATTGGATTGGAAATATAGATATATGCATTAAGCATTTAATTTATGTATGAGTTAATTATAAGCTAGTCCTTGTAGTTTATGAAAAATAATTAATAAATTATCTAATCAAATAAGAAAAAACCAATTCATTTAAAAAAAAAAAAAAGGGAGAAAACCCCATAAAAAAAGGAAGGGAGAAATAAAATTTTCATATTAATTCTTTTTTTTTTTAATTTTCTTCTTCTTCTTCTTCTTCTTTTTTTTTTTTTTTTTTTTTTTTTTTTTGTAATTTGTGTCTACCTCTCTAATTACTCTTGATTATTATAAAATTTCTCCGTTAAAAAACCCTGTCGCTCCCGGCCGTATCAAATAGCTTGCTTGCTAAAAACAAAAAATGGCTCAACTGCCAGCCTCCTCCTCTGTCCCTCTTCCTTGTCTGAAGAAATTCAAGGAAATGCCCGACAACCAGGAGAAGAAGAACGGCAATTTCACCTATTTCGTTCTTGGTACTACCGGTCTTTTTTATTTGTTTAAAGTAGATCTAAACAAAGATAATTCAGGGTGGCCTGTTAGTTTGCTTGAACCGATTATAGAAATCGATTTTGAGGAAAGATTAGTGGGACCAGGTATCGGTGTTTTTGAATCGAAAGTCTATCTCTTTGGTGGTCAACCTCTGGATAGAGACCCGAGTATTTGTGACGACTCTGGAACGTGCAATTTCTACTCTCTAGTGAAACCATCATCTATGATATACTTACGGGCTGTATTTGCGCAGCCCCTCCCATGAAATCTGGCAAGTTGTGTACGTTTTCAGCTATAGAAGATGGCCAAAGTTGTGTTTTCTCAAGAGATTTAAAATCTGATCCCCCCATTTTGAACTCTTTGATACCAAGAAAATGTCATGGTCATTCCTTCCAGAACTCCCTGCAACTGAAGTGGAAGTTGAAGCCTTTTTTGTTTGCGATACCTATCTCTATGTCTCTACAACCATGTTTGTCTTCCGTATTGATGTTGCCTCGAAGGAGGGCTGGGAAAAGCTTGATATTATTCGTTTTCCATTTGAAGGAGAGGGATATTATGTAGGAGGTATGGATATGTGTATTACGCCATACTCGGATATATGCGGTTTCGACTTGAATGATAACGATGAAGTCCAACATTCCTTTTATCCATTCGTAGAGAAGTCTTCACTTGTACTATACAAAGGAGACACACTCGTGTTTCCTTTAGCTAGGGAGGATGATGACCTTCCAAAATTTGCTATCATAAGAGCAGGTTTTGAAAATTATGACGAAGATACTGGACCTAGCTGCCCTCACGTCACTGTAGATGTGGTTGAAGTGGTTAAGAAGGACGCTTTTGAGGTTCCTTCCTTTATGGATCGACAGCAGTCCCACACATTCAATCACTTGTTGATCAACAAGCTCAAATCATTGGCATACTCCATCCCATACGAACAGAGCTATATGTTTCTACATCATGGTTTCTCTCCATAAGTCCTACTGGTCCTAATGAGCTGAACTTTAGATATGTTAAGGATTTTTTTTTTTGGTATGCTGGATTAAGCATTGGGGGCTGTGTTTTGGTTTTGATTTTGTTTTATGGTTCATGATCTCCTTTCAATTGATTTTGCCTTTCGTCTCTCTTTTTTCCCTTTATTTTGTTTTTCATTATAGGGACCTCGATGCTTAATTGGGGTAAGTAAACCCCCACTTGTTTTGTTCTAGATTGAGGTTTTAGTTTCAATTGGATGTTTTGAAAAAAATGACGAAAAGCGGGTTAGATGAGTAAAGTTATATTGGTAGAAACTTGGAATAAGCACTTTTTAGTCATGTTTGAAACTTGAACTACTTTTACGCCTTCTCTATGCCTTTATCAAAGAGCACGGATGCATTGTTTTGGTATTCGTATTTTTATCATGCATCTTATCTAGTAAGAAACATAGTGGTACATGAATGCCCTTTTCAAGTGTCTCCTGAATCAATGTGGCTAATTCTATCCTCAAAATCACCGGCAAACCACAGTAATTCTGGTGGTTTCAAAGATCTTACTTTCATACTTCTGAGGATTGTTTCTACCTTAATTTGTTATATGATTTAGCCCAATAAATGTTTCCTACGGTTACTTAGAATTTACAGGCAATTGAAGAGCTTTTTTGTCTTCTGATGAGTTATGCTGCGTGTATACTGTATATTAGTTATCTGCAATCTTAGAAACTAAAGAAGTTACGATCTAAGATAGACACTAATTCAGCTCTTGCAGTTATGTACTTTGCATTGGTGTACGTAGTCTGCATAAAATCAAATTAGAAGAAATTTAACTTTTAATTTCGCTAGTTGGCTCAAGAGGGTTGAGCAGCTTCAGTTTATTACAAAATAATTGCCATGTCTTTCGATGATTCTATGGTGCTGCATGTGACCCTAGCCTAGTGGCCTTGTACTGTTCTTGCCTTGCATTGTTTGACAAATTAGTTTAGATAGGACAACTTTCAAACAATGTACGTATCAGGTTTACCACTTTGTTTCATTGTTTTTTGTTTTTTGTTTTTTGTTTTTTGTTTTTTGTTTTTGTTTTTTGTTTTTTGTTTTTGTTTTTAATATAAGGGATATACCAGTTCTTTCTTCAGTCTTGAAGAAAGCCTTCGTAAGTTGGAATTTGAAAGGCTGAGCGAAGAGGATGTCCAAAAGATGCAGAGGGAGGTGTTGTTGGACGTGAAGATGGAATTTCATGCTCATTGTTGCAAGGACTTGGTGGACTTGCATGATTGTTTGTAAACTTTGTGTGTTTGGGTACCTACTAGTCCTAGGCATCTAATTACGTTTTGAGCAGGTCAAAACCTGTTTGGTGTAGACAAAATAGTTTTTGATTAAATATTTGACAGGTTTTCTACCTCCGGGATCAATGTTTTGATCAACGTACTGCCCTTACTGTCTTAGTTTCCAAAAACAAAAGGTCTCCATCTCCAAACTCCGGTGATGTTAGCCACAATGTGCTTAGAGCATTTTGTGTAGACTTCAAGCGAAGTACCTGTGACGGGAAGAATGAGTTGTTTTACGTCCGACGACCAGGTACTGAATCTTATGCCATCCAACGCTTATAAAGTGGAAAATGCATGCCTTTTTACCTGTTAGAATGCTAATTTGTGGTTTGAACAAAACCTAGCAGCTATCGTCATCGGTATCCACTTCGGTCCAGACATGGTTGCACTGGCATCAAGGGTCGAGCTTACTCCACAGCTCCAGTTAGTTCAAATCAATATCATTATTACATATAGATCTGCTTTTTTGTTTTGGGCTTTTAGTGTGTACCACGTCCAATATCATTAATTAGAAGTCCAAACTTCTGTAAAGGAAGTCCTCTTGGCCCAAGTATCATGAGTTTGAATTAGCTGCGTAGTAGATGATGGTTGGGCCTATATGCTCATTTTGGACCTATAAACGGATATGCAATTCAGGCCTGGTCCAACTGAAAACCCAAGGAAAAAAACTTTGTATATAAATAAATAACACAAAATTAAGGCGCAAAAAAAAAAAAAAAAAAAAAACGAAGAAAGGAAATCAGATTTTAAAAGATTTGAGAGACGGTGCTATATATATATATATATATGAGAGTTTTTATATGTTGAATCCTAAACAGTGTTTGATAAAAATCCTCCTTGTCCCTTTTCCTTGTGATATGGAGCTCAAATTCAAAAAAGTGTTGTCAATCGAGAAGAAGAACGGTGATTTCATCTATTTGGTTCTTGGTATGTTAGATCATGTTTCTTTGTTTGAATTAGATCTAAACAAAGATAATTCAGGGTGGCCTGTTAGTTTGCTTGATCAGATTTTAAAAATCGATTTTGAGGAAAGAGTAATGGGACCAGGTAACGTTGTTTTTGAATCCAAAGTTTATGTTCTTGGTGGTAATCCTGTACCTAGCTAGATACCCTTGTACTCGAGCATCCTTTGAAGGAATGGTGCAATTTGCACTCACATCTATTCCTTCTAATGAAACCATCATCTATGATATACTTACGGGTGGTAGTTGCACAGTAGCTCCCATGCATGAAATCTGGCAAGTCTTCTCCGTTTACAGCTATAGTAGATGACAAGATTTGTGTTTTCTCAAAAGATTTAAGAATAATAAATGTCAAAATATAAAATATATTTAAGAAAATGTTAAATATAAAGGCTTTTAGGAATAATCATTTGTTATTTATAAATATATTTAAGAAAATGTTTTGTACGATAAAAAACTCAATCGGGTCACAGTCTAGAACAGGTAAAAAAGAAAGGATAGGAGGCAAAAACCCGAGCCACTGCAATAGTCACCTTAAAGACTTGAATGCATGCCAGTTGATGGAGCCAGATTACTGTCTGGGGGATCTCATTTCCAGCCTAAAAAGCTTGGAGTTGGATATTATGGGCTTTACAAGCCCCACAAAGCAGAAATTAACCCAGTTTCATCCCATTTAATCTATGCTTGGAATAAAGTTATTAGGCTGGACTTCATATACAGTACTGGAAAACCACTTGCTCAGACCATGGATCATTGCAGGAAAATGAATCTATTCTCATAATTTCTTTATACAAATATTTCTGACAAAGTTAAGTATTCTCCTTGATTTTTTCCTCTTTTGGTTGATCCGATCAGTGTTGCTGTCGTTTAAGTTTGAAAAGAGAGAACACAATGATTCTGAATTTCAGACCGTGAGAGTTCAGAGTTCCAAGTACAAGATAAGAATGAAAGCTCCTATGGTAAGCCAGGACATGATTAGGCCTAGCTTTACAGATTAATCCCTGTTAATGTTGGCCCAGAATTGCCAAAACCATCATTCCCAATAGCAATGTTATGGTCACAAATTATGGGCCATGTTCACAGGAGTACTAAAGCTTTTTTGCCAGAGACTTGAGTCATTCACTACTAGTGAGCTTGCAAGATTGTGGAACTTCGGTCCCATGAAAATGCTAGCACCTTGATACCAATATCCAAAGTGTTACTTTCATGCTTCCATAAAGGCACTTTTCTATTATCTGATGGAGTATTTGTTTCGAATTAATTTCATTTAGTTAAATAAAATCTAAATAAGGATTAACAATACTAATTATGAGGAATTTCAAAGGAGTCGGACAGATGGTAAAGAAAAAGATTAACTTCCACCCCTATCTTGGACCGGTGTACAAGAAATTCATTTTCTTAAACGTACCAAATTGAGGCAAAAATGTGTTTTTGAAGCAATATGTAGAAAAGATTTAGCTTTAATTAACATTCAAATTTATCCGATCATACCTTTAATTATATTTCCTCCGAACCCTAAAGAGATTGCCCTTTTTTTTTTTTTTTTTAACTTTATATCTGTTTTAAAATGCTTATTCAGTCGAAACTTTAAGTAGTATACTTTTTTAAAATACTTTTAATTTTCAATTTGCAAAAAAAAAAAAAAATTGTTTAAATACTTCTAATTAATTTCATTTAGTTAAATAAAATCTAAATAAGGATTAACAATATTAATTATGAGGAATTTCAAGGAGTCGGACAGATGGTAAAGAAAAAGATTAACTTCCTCCCTTATCTTTGACCATTATCCAAGAAATTCATTTTCTTAAACATACCAAATTGAGGTAAAAAAAAAATGTGTTTTTTGAAAGAGTATGTAGAAAAAACTTAGCTTTAATTATCATATAAATTGATCAAATCATACCTTTAATCATATTTCCTCCGTCCTAAAAAGATTATCTATTGTTTTTATTTATATCCGTTTTAAAATATTTGTTTGGTCGAAATTTTAAGTAGCATATTTTTTTAAAGTAATTTTAATTAAAGTTCAATTTGCAAAAAATTTATTTGAATACAATTCTAAAAAAAAATAGTATTTTAAAAAAATAAGTACAAAAGATATTGAAATGACATAACACTTAATAATTTACGTAAAAAGTAAGAAAAAATAATTTATTTGTAACACAGAGCACTAATTACAAGAATTCTAAAAAATCGATTAGGTGGTAAGAGAGAGAGAGAGAGAGATTAACTTCCTCCCTTAACTTATTAAGTTCAAATCTCAAATCAGTATTAAAAAAATTATTTTTCTAAATATAATAAATTAATGTAAGAAAAAAATTAATTTCAAATCTATATAGAAATTGATCGTAGGATAACTTTAATCATAATATGCATATATAGAGATAGGGCTAGGGAGTTGTTATCGGTAGGATTGGGCAAATCTTGGGATTGCATGCATCTATGCCATGTAAGTGAGTGCTAAAAATTAATTAGCATAAAGCCCATGCTTCTCTTCTACACGTGAGGACCTCAAATTGACTCATAAGATATGATTTGATTCCCAACTAATTACTAATAATAATTAAGCACAGTAATCACGATTAATTAGAAGCATGATTCCACATGCGGCACGCTCCCCACTGCTGACCAACCTTTTTTATTTATTTATTTTTTTTAATCTAAGAGGGAGAGGAGTGCTCTCTTTCTTATGATGCCCAGTAGGTTTAAAAGGGATCTCCATAATCTTCTTTCTTAGTGGGAAAGGGGACTGCTGTGGACCCTTTCGTCGGCGCCATTCCATGCTAATCATGACAACATGATGGAGAAGAACCCATGATTTAGATCATCTTAGCCTTTTTCTAGACTAGGAGATAAGTTTTTGCTCTGTTTCGACTTGATCAATAATGCTTTGGTTTACGGGTCTGAGATGTTTTTGACTGAAGGAAAAAATGTCTTCAAAGTGTTTATCATTAGGTTCAGACTTTCAGGAGACTGGCCTGAAAAGGACACATGTGTAATTTTACACATTTTTCTTTCTCTACAAGTAGTTTCTTATAAAATTTTATTAATTAATTATTTAATCTTTCTTTATATCCTTAACTGAGTTGGTTTAATCTTTCAATATACATTAAAACTTTAATATATTATTTTATCAAGGTTTTCGAAATCAAACCTTCAAAATTATTTTTGTAATTTGCACGCGATTAATTTTTATTCTCAAAATATTTTTATAAGCCAACCAAATCAGTCAAACTGAGATTTTTATGTACAAATTATGTGCCTAATGATATATTAGACACTTAATATATTTTTAAAGATAAAATAAGTTCGATTGGAAATATAAAAATGGATTAAACAATTGTTATTTAATTAAATATGTTATTCACAAATCTTATAAATCATTAAAATTATTTATGTGATTAATTTTTATTTTTAAAATATTCTTATAAGCCAGTCAAATTAAAATTTTTTATGTGCAAATTATGTGACTAATGATATATTAGATATTTAATAAATATTTAAAGATAAAATAAGTTCAACCGTAAATATATTAGGTAGATTAAACAATTGGTATTTGATTAAATATGTTATTGATGAATTTTATAAATCTAGTGGTTGTAATCTTATAAATAAAGATTTTCTTTAAAATTAGCAATACTATTCAATTTTTTTCTTATATGTTTTTTTTTTTTTTACTGTGCTTTTTGTTGGTGGTTGATGATCAAATCGTGGTAATTTTCAGTCATCAATGCAAAACCACTGTCCTCGATTTAGTTTTTGGTGAAATCTTATGCTTCCACGTTTGCTGCGTTAAGGGTATCAATTATCAACCAATGCTCTAAAACATCATGAAATAGAAGGCAGACAGTTGTGTCTTGTCTTGTAGAGTCAAATGTTTAATCATGAGCATCAAAACGTTTCTCCATGTTAAGAAATTCCTTAATGGTGAAATGATAATCCAACTTAAACATTAATCCAGATATTATTATAATTATATTAACATCCTCTAGGTAACTGTTTGGGACCACGGCCCCTTGTAAAAGGGGTAGTGACCCTAAAACCTTTTTACTGACCTAACTAGAAAGAAAATTTCATGGCTCGAGACAAACAGAGCACAAGATCCCAGCTAACGTTGGATCTAAAAACTGATGCCTCGCAGAGCCTGCACCCTCCTATCTGATCAAAGGATCACATTGCATGCCCACAGAAGAATTGGTACCTTCCCATATTCTGCCACCTTTCAAACAAAGCAGGCAGTGTTCGATTGGTGTGTGTGATTTGGAACAGGACATGCATAGGCCAAAAAAAGAGAAGAAAAATAAATGTGCATGATATATGAGTGGCAGAATTTGTGCGGTAGGTGATAAGTGGAAACCAGCCAGAATTTGTGATGTTTATGGATACAATGGAGTGGATTATAAATTAGTCTTTCTAATTTTGCTATACAAATTATTTAGGTTTTTTTATTATTTAATTTTATAATTTTATATTTTATTATAATTTAATCTTTTTTCTTCCTTTTTTTACCATTTTTTTTGTTTTAAGTTATAAAAAGACCAAAAAATAAAAAATATATATGAAAGAATTGACAAGAAAAAAATAAGATTTTTTTAAACTAATATAATACCAAATTAAGCCCTTTTTTTTTTTTCATGAATGCTGCATTAGTTGAAATATAGACGGTTTGTTTAAAATATATATTATCGGTGATGGAAAAGGAGTAAAAATTATCACCTATTTATTTACTATTCAATTTTGATCATTTTAATCTACTTATAATAATATATTATTCAAAATTAAAATACATTAGTTTTTTTTATTAAACATATGACTAATCATGTGATATATGATATGCAATTAACGAAATTGGATAGAAAGGCCGATGTGTCTTAATTTTGAATAATGCAAAATTTGGTTTGCTCTATAACTAAATAAAGGGATTAAAATAGCCAAAATTCGATAGTACAGGTAGATAAAACGATTCTAACCGGATGGGAAAAATCAGAGAAAACTTTGACAGTTAAAAAAAGCCTATGGATGGTGAAACTGTAGTCTTTAACATTGTTAAGCATCTTTTCTTCATTGATTGAGAACCAACAGCTTATAATCCCCAATCATTTTTTTGTGAATTTCCTAATCTCTGTCTGTCTTCACTCTCCATGATCGCCTGCATGCATGTGGGACTGTATCACATAAGAAAGAGATTCCAAAATGATCATGTGCATGGCAAAAGCATTCATGAATCGCTGATCCAGGCGTGTTCATAGTTACTACCTAGAATGGCTGTGCAGGGTCGACATTCCCGTGCCAGTGCAATTGATCAATGTAGAGTAGACCGCAAATGCTTGATATTTAAGCAAGCCTGCTTCTGAATTCTATGGGGGCAGCTCCCTGGCTAGTCAAACAATGTAGGACCAAACCCCATTAGCTAGGGTTATATACCCATATATCATAGGCCCCAGTATTTACATCAAGCAAACTAGGGAGCCAGGTTTGAAAAAGAATGAATGGATGGATGGTCAGATACTCTACTGAATAATTAATACACCAGTCCCACTCAGAATTCCTCTTCTTTTTCAATCTAGTTGCCAAAATCTTTTTTCCTATATTAGGCAAGAAAACATCTCAAAATGTTTCTTTTTATCCTACCAAGTCGGTACTCAATAAAAAATTTATAATACTCAAGAACTAACTAATACAAGTTACTCTATAGATATAGATAAACACAAGTAAGAAATAAAAAATTAAAAAAAAATTAAGACAACGTGTAAATTTTTTTATCATTTTTTTGTGGATCTAGATATGATTTTTTTTTTTAATGTATCTATATCTCTCACCTGAAAAATAAATTCATGGAGTAAATATTGTAAATATTTACCAATTACTTTATACGTATTATAAAATTTCTCAGCTTTTACAAAACTAATTTTAAAATATCGGTCTCGTGGTTAAAAAAATTTATGAATGGCATATCCTTTAGATTTTTTTGAAGAAAATTTTAGTTTTAATTGAACTAGTTCAAAAATATCTTTGCGGTCAATTAAAAAAACAATTTTTTTCGCAACAGGAATCTGTCTTTCTTATTTTGTGAAAAATGAATTCTCTATATTAAAATTAAATTTTTTATAAAATTTCATTTAGCACGGTTTATTCTTGTATTTTAACTGCAATAGCTTTTCTTCTTAGCAGTTTATTTTCTACAGCCAAATGGGCCAGGATTTTAAATCTCATCAAATTAAATTAGCCTTCGAGGTTGCTGGTATTCAATCATACAAAAAAAGTCAGCTGGAAAGGGCCAAATAAACAAAGAATTCTACGTACAAAAGTCCACCTGGATATTTGGCGCTTTTGACTTTCTCATGAGAAAGCTCCATCCATATACACACATAGAGAATCTGCTTTAAGCCAAAAGTTTATTTATTATTATTATCGTTTTTTTTTATTTTTAATTTGGGAGGAGGGCAACAAAATAATATGTGTGTATATATGGAGAAACATCCCTTTAGCCCCTAAAATATGACTTTATTATCAATTGAATTCAAAACCTTTTAATTTTATCTATTTTACCCCAAATGTAATGGTTACTTGACGATGACACCTCCATTGTCAAGGACCGTTCCAAAATTTCATTTAATTTGCGCTTGATTGTTAAGTAATTCAATCTAATGCATAAAAATAAATCCCAATCTATCTAAAATATAATTTCAACACAAATTGATATTGAATTTTCCTTCATATTTTTTTCAATACAAATAAGTGAAGTTGAGCAAAGTTTGTTTGATATAGTACAAAAAATTATTTTTTAAATAGATTAGGCTTATTTTAGCATATTAAATTATAGCATTTAACTAGCATGTGTGGAGTAGATAAAATATTTTAATTATCACTAACAGTGTAAAATAGAGCAAAATTTTTCTAACACGACACTAAAATTATTTCTTAGGATAGATTGGGCTTATAATTCTTATGATATGAATGGTATGGAATCTCTTAACCGTCACTAACACTGACGGATGGAGGGACGGAATTGTCTAGCATGGATTACATTTGAGTTAAAATTAATAAAATTCAAAGATTCGAGACTGAATTGTTTGCGATATGATACATCATAGGCTAAAATGAAGTTTGCTTCCCTTGTACATGTTCATGTAACGTATGGCAGTTTTGCATGATCGAGGCGTGGCTAGGGCTCCTCGAGCTATGATAACGTAAGATGAGCAGCAATCATGACAATAAATGGGTCTTTGCCTTTTAAGATTAAAAAGACAGGAGTAAGTGAAAAAGAGTCCATATAAAACCAAATAAAAGTCCATAAAAGCCAACAGCCAAGACAGGGCTAGCACCCTCTACCCCGCGGGTGCGTTGCTCCCTTCTCTCTCTTGCTGGGGCCCACCATCTATAAAACCAGTGTCTGGTGGACCCTCACCATCCCACTCTCCATCATTAACCCCACCCACGCTAATAGTCCAACTGTCTCTGGCTAACTTTCTTGTGTGGGCGACTCTCGCCATTTGTCCCCCTCACTCACTATCGTTGGCCTCATGCTTGCCAAGTAGGCAAGTATCTGGTATAGGAACCCACCTTGGGCATTGCATGGGTAAATTTGGGAGTTTCCTTGGCTGAATGACAAAGGTTCGATTTTCAATTTTGTTTCTGGAATTATAGCATAATTTAACCGGTTTAAGATTATTAACTGGTCCGCTAGATCCTAGGGTTTGTAAGGCTCATGATACAAACTTGACTCGAAGGTTTCGTCTATATATACAAGAGAAATTTTGTAATTAGTATAAATTATTCTATAAAAAGAAATATACATAAAGAGAAAAAATATAAAAAAAATTAAAAAAATTGAGCTGATATGAAAATCTTATTATCATTTTTTATAGATTCATATATGAATTTTTTATATATATATGTTTATCTCTTTTCTGAAAAATGAGTCCATAAAGTAACTAATATGTATATATATTAGTTACTCTTTAAGTATTATAAAATTTCTCCATAGATATATTTCTCTAGTTATAAAAAAAAAATTTATTCTTTTCTATTCCAAACAAATCACTTATCTTTTTATTTATATGTTTTCAAAATATTTATCTAATTAAAAACTTTAAGTGTGTATTTTTTTTTAAAAATCTCTAATTAAAATTTATATTGTAAAAAAATTTGTCTAAATACAATTTTAAAAAAATAAGAATATTTTTTTTAAAATATTGATATAGCATAATAATTAATAGTTTTTTTTTAATATGTTGATAAGTTATATCAACACTTGCAGAGATGGCTTTTTCATTTATTGGTTGGCTCCATTTTGTATTTTTACATTGGTTTATTCTTTGTATTATTATTCCAGATTTGGTAGGAAAGGTACGAACAAGGACAGTTTATTTAGTTGGAGGGCATATAGATACAGAGGAAGAAAATTGTAAAATTAATCAGATAATTTTTTTTAAAAAAAAAAAAAAGCAAAGAGACAACCCATCTTTTAATGTTGAAATAATATTTTCTCAAGTCCATGCGGGGTTGAGGCGTGCTGCCTAGAACACTGCCCTTGGAAGAAGAGAAAATTCATGCACTTTGTTGGTCAGAGGGCATTAGCTGGATACGAAGGACATGAAGGTATTAATTTTTCCATAATTGACGTACATTAAGAATTTTATAATATTAAGAAGTAATTAGTTTAAGTTATTTCATATAGAAACATAGCTATAAATAGAAGAGAAAATAAAAAAATTCAGCTAACGTTAAAATTTTCTTATTAGTTTTAGTAGATTCAGATGTTATTTTATTATTTATTTATTTTATAATTTTCAATATATATATATATATATATATATATATATATATATATATATATAGTTGCTTTTATGAGTTCATTTTTGATAAGAAAAATAGGCACATCTGCATCAATCGTAAGTGATAAAAAAATTTTCATATTAGTTTAATTTTTTTTTCTCATGTTTTTTTTTTTTTTTTATGTCTCGTCTCTTTTTATAAAATAATTTATATTAATTACTTCTATAGTATTATAAAATTTCTCTAATTAAAGTATTTAATTTTGTTTGAGGCGTATTTGATAACAAATTAATAATTTGAAATCAGAAGCCTCGAATGGATATTATTGTCTCGGGCCACTTTTGGGTTAGGGTTGTCTACAAATATAAGTGAATATTAAGTTCTCGTTGGCATGACAGGGGAGGCTTGTCTGATTGTCTCACGTTATGCTATCATTATCTAACCGTAATCCCAAGATGCGGGGCTTGGCGTCAAAGAAACTAATTTGCATATCTTGATTTTATGAGTTTGAATTTTAAAATCCGTATTCATAAGAATTTTTTTTTAATATACAGAGATGAACGTAAAAGATGTGTTTTTAAGATTATTTGAAAAAAAAGTTCCTATTACACACAAATGAGAGTAAATTATAAACTAGCCCCTTTAGTTCAAGGAAAAAACTAATTATTTAGTCTCAATATTTTAAAATTTATTGTAACTTTATTTTTTTTGTTATTTTTAATTTTTTTTAGAAATAATAAAAAATATAAAAATAGAAAGATTAATAAAAAAACTAATTATTTAATATCTATATTTTTAAATTTATTGTAACTTGTTTTTTTGGTTCTTGTTCAATTTATTTTAATTTTTTGTTTTAAGAAACGATAAAAAAAAATAAAAAAGTAGAAAGATTGATAAGAAGAGAAGGCATTTTGTGGAGTAAATAATTAGTTTTTTTTTTTTAAAAGCTAATTAATTCTGGAAACACATAAATTGTCCTCCTGAGCTGCTTGGCTTGTTAGCTGCAAGTCTGCAACTTGGTACTATAGCGTGATTAACGTGCAAGTCAAATTGTCCCATCCAAGGAAAAAGACGTAAATGGAAAAAATATACAAACACAGCTATCTATTTTCAATTAAATTAGATAAGAAAATTACCTCACAATAGGGCAAGCCTATAAATATTGGTGCAGTTATGATTTATAATGCCGGTTTCAATCATCCATCTTACTCTGACGGAAAACAGAAAATTGCCTTACAATAAGGTAAGTCTGTTAACATTGGAGTACTTATGGTTTAGAATAAATTATAAATTGCTCTCTTTATTTTTTAGAAATGAACTAATTAGTCGTTTTGTTTCAAAAACTAATTTTTTAATTTATTAAACAGTATTAATCACACTTAATTTAATATTATTTTATTTTTTAAAATGCCATATTTTCTCATAATCATTCTATATTTTTTACTCATCCTTTTCTTTTAAATTTCTTAAAATAAAAAATTAAAATAAATTGAAAGAAAAGAAAATGATTAAATTACATGAAAATTTAAAAATTAAGGATTAAATAATTATTTTTTAAAAACAAATAGGACTAATTAATTAATTTCTCAAAAGGACTAATTAGATAAGGCAAGCCTATAAATACAGCTATCTATTTTCAATTAAATTAGATAAGAAAACTACCTTACAATAAGGCAAGCCTATAAATATCGGTGCAGTTATGATTTATAACGTCGGTTTCAATCATCCATCTCACTCAGACAGAAAATTGCCTTACAACAAGGTAAGTCTATTAATATTGGAGCACTTATGGTTTAGAATAAATTATAAATTGCTCTCTTTATTTTTTTTGTTTCAAAAACTAATTTTTTAATTTATTAAACAGTATTAATCACACTTAATTTAATATTATTTTATTTTTAAAAATGTAATATTTTCTCATAATCATTCTATATTTTTTACGCATCCTTTTCTTTTAAACTTCTTAAAGTAAAAAATTAAAATAAATTGAAAGAAAAGAAAATGATTAAGTTACATGAAAATTTAAAAATTAAGGATTAAATAATTTTTTTAAAAACAAATAGGACTAATTAATTAATGTTTCAAAACTAAAAGGACTAATTAATTAATGTTTCAAAACTAAAAGGACTAATTTAAAATTTACTCGAATGCCTTTTTTTGGGTGCGGAATGCTTTAAAAATGTGCCGAGCTGCAAGATAAATGCAGGCTTTTTTAGGAGGACTGTTCATGAAATAAATGAGAAAGGACGGGTTACTATCCAACGAAAATTGTAATTAAATGATAATAATCTATTGTAAAAAAGTCAACAGTTAAAATTTTAATAAAATAATTCTATTAGACATTTTAAATACGTATTATATATGTGAGTTAAAAAAATTATCAAATGAGAAATGCAGTTTATTTATTGAAGACATGTTCATATATTGGATTATTTTATATTCTTTGAAAAGAAATTAAGTATTTAGTTATAAATATAACGAAAAACTTTATTTTTTGAGTTAGTTTTTAAAATTAAAAAATCCGATAGCATTCAAAATTAATATCAGAATTCATGCTAAATAATTCGCTTAAAATTTGATGTGTAAAAAAAGAAATAATTAGGTTATTTCACATCAATGGAAGAAGAAGTTGAACACTTAATTACAAACGTGAGGAAGAACCTTCCCTTTCTAGATAGTTTTTAAGGTTGAAAATATCTAATAACACCAAATATTATTTCATCAATGGAGCTTCGCAATCAGGGACGAATGGCCATAATGTACAGTTTTAATCTGGAGGGGCCATTGTGGGGTCACCTCTTAAACTTACTCCTCTTTGTTGCAGTTAGATCCATTCGTGTTGTTTATTGAATATGTCCAGCCAAGGGGCTACTGAAGATGACACGTCGTCAATTTACAACGGCACTCCACTTTGGATGATATCTGGAAGCATTTATTTTACCACGACTAAAACGTATCGCTTTTATTCAGTGGAGGGGCATCATCATCGTCCTATACATGGTTTGGGATAAAAATAATGATCCTTGCATTATTATCCTTAAATTAATTATTAACTCCACTTATACGAGTAAGATAACATTTGCTGAACTACCAAGTAATTGTTAGACTAGAATATCTAGTTAAAAAATAAAAATAAAAATTTGTAGCCTGCAACAAATACAAATGAGAATCTAATGGTTAAGGAATATGTAATTTTAAGACCAACGTGGCCAAATTTTCTCTGAATTTTAATTCATTTAAAAATAATTTTTAAATTTCTAATATCAAGTTTGACTTTTTTGAAGTTAATTTTTTTTTTAATTTAGTTCATCTTTTAGTTTTTTAGTCATTTGGCCAAAAAAAAAAAAGAAAAAAATTTAACAGTTACATAAATAGTTTTATTATAAAAATTATTCAATAAAATTTATCTGAAATTTTTCAAAAAATTTGAAAATATTCTAGATTATTGTCTATATTTCTCAATTTTTACTTTTTAATATAAAAAACAAATATGCTTTCCAATATTGAAAAACTCTGAAATTTTTTTCAAAAAAATGAATTGAATTTTTTCAACATGTATGTAGAAATTTTATTTCAAAATACTAATAATTGAATTTTTTAAAGAAAATAAATGATAATTAAAAATTATAGGATTGACTAAATTTTAAAAATAAAATTTAAAAAAGTGAAAATAAAAATTAAAAATTCAAAGATTGATTTTTAAGAGAAGAAAAGATTTACTCTTCTGGCCTAATTTTAATCTTGGACAAACATTGCACAACTGGTTTGTAAAAGGTATATATCTGATGATCAAAGCAATAAATTAACAATCTTTGTTTTCCTTAATTGATTTCTGGAGCTGGCAGCTGCAATTTGTCCCTTTCACCTACCAACTCGCTCGCACTAAATTTTAAGCTGAAAATGGTTCACACTGGGAGGAAATGGAATGGAATGGAAAGTGCCGCAGAGAGACAAGTGCGCACCTCCACTGCACTCCTTTGTGTCAAGTGGAACCGTTTGTCAGAAAATCAGCCAGTTTTAGGGTTCACACGGCAACCCTTTACCCTTAAAATAGTAATAGAAAATAATAAAATAAAACGAAGAGGACAGGGAAAACGACGTCAGTGTAGGCTGTCTAGACAGAGCCATTCCAACTCCAATCAAATCAAAAAATTAATTCCCGTCAATTTCAATTTTGGTAGGGAATCCAAATTCCAAATCTAATGTCAATTTGCTAAACTAATATCATTATTTTAAATTACCTATATAACCCCTGCTCATGGAGTTTTTATTTATTTATTTACATTCAAAGTTTTTTAATAGAATTTAAAATTGTGATTTTTTATTCGTTGGTGCTTATAGAGTTTATTAAATTAAGACTAAAACTTTTTTGATGTGTATGAAAATCTTTTTCAATAAAATATGTTAGAAACTCATACTTTTGGATACGATAGTAGCTGCGTTTGATGAACTTGAGATTTTTTTATAATTATTTCTAGTCTAATTATGTCCCCTCCTAGTCCTATATAATTTTTATTACCACAAGCACCCTTTCATAGAATTTGGCGACTAACTGGATAAAAAGTTATATCATTTCTTTTTACGTGTAAATTAATTACTACAAATAAAAATAATCTAAAAAATAAACTATTTATGTACATAAATGTTCACACGAAATGAAAAAATAAAATAAAAATTATTTAAAAAATTCTAAAAAATAAAACCATATTTCCCTGTACATAAGGAAATATATTTTACTATCACAACGTAATTAATGGGTTTTCCAACTTGGCCAAACCATAAACAGGCTAGAAAAATTCCTTAAAAAATATTTTACAAAAATTATCGGACAAAGTAACAGAGAGAAAGGGGGCATTTACGTAAATAAATAAAAATTATTTCTGAGTTCGAATAAAGAGAGAGCTGCCAGCATCTACAGAACTACTGTTAAGTGGTAAGCGTACTAACTAAACTCTCCCCTCCCTTTCTCTGTATATAACTATAAATTCCGAAACGCACGACTCTCTCTCTCGCTATAGTTTACAAGAGCAACTACACTTCCTCCTTTTCTCTCTCACTTTTTTCTCATCAATCCACGACTCTCTCCTCTCTCTCTCTCTGTCTCTCTTCCTCTTTACATGAGCAGATACTGTAATTAACTGCGGAGCCCATCGCGCTGATTGCAATGGAGTTGTCAAGCAGGAAAATGAAGCTTCTTCTGCTTTGGATTTCTCTCTTTCAGGCGAGATTTTTCTTTTCTTTTTTTTCTTCCTCACATTTTTTTTTCTTTCTCAAATGTTTCCGTTTCGAGAAGGTTCTTTTTTTTTTTCCTGCTTTCTATCTTGTTTTATATATTTGAAGAATTCAATTTTTGTTTTATAATAACTCATTCATTTTCCTCTGTTTTTTAGAGATTAGTTGGAAAATTAAAATTACTATAACTTTATTTTGATATTTTTGCATTAAATTTTCACGTTACGTATCATCTGAGTGTGCCTAACGACTGAAATTTCTGTTGAGGCTTTGTTGTCGTCTGGTTTCAGTTGCTATGAACTTAAGGACTGAATTGCACTTTTTGATGAGTTTTAGTACTGAATTTGAATTTTGTGTATGTGCAGGTGTTAAATGTTGTATCTACACTCAGCGCGGAGAGGTCTGATGCACGGTTGCTTTTGACACGAAATGCAGTATCTAGGTAAGACAATTTTTTCTTCTTCTTGAAAATTAAAATAAAATAGCTTGGATTTTCTTGATTTGGTGGTTTATTTCTTTTTTTGGGAATGTTTTGCAGGGAGAGACATTCAGAGGAATATTGTGCAATGTATGATATTTGTGGAGCACGGGAAGATGGGAAAGTTTTGAACTGTCCTTTTGGTTCCCCATCTGTGAAGGTATCTGGATTTTCTCTCTCTCTTTTTTTTTGAAATAAAATAAAATAATAATAATAATAAATGGATGGTGCATTTTGATTTGTTGAATATGCTACTACGTGCTCTTTTTTTTTCCCTCAGCCAGATGACTTGCTTTCACAAAAGATCCAAAGCTTGTGCCCTACAATTACTGGAAATGTTTGTTGTTCAGAAGATCAGTTTGACACGTTACGGTCACAAGTCCAGCAAGTAAGAATTTGTCCAAGATGACTGAATTCACTCATACATGTTTGAGAAACTTTTTAGTGTTTGGTGTTTGGGAGTGTCAGTTTCTATGTGCGTGTATTAATTTAAGTATGTTTTGCAGGCAATTCCATTTCTGGTTGGCTGTCCAGCGTGTTTGAGAAACTTTTTGAATCTGTTCTGTGAGCTTACCTGCTCTCCACATCAGAGCACGTTTATCAACGTGACTACTACGACTAAGGTTTGCGGTCCCTACTGTTATGGTTGGGTTTCTAGAGAGACTTTGAGCAAGGAAAATTTTGTGTTAATCCATTCTATGAATTCACCAATGAATCGTATCTTAATATCTTAATCTATTATTCCTCACATAATAAAATGTTCTAAATTTTAAAACGGAAATGTGAAATTGCTGTAGTTTATTCTTTGAATATTGTGTTTTTGATTGAAATAATGGTTGTTAGAATTCTTCTGGGAAATTGACACATAATTCTTTGTGCTGAAGAGTGTAATTTTATTTGAGGTTTCTTATTTTCTTTTCAGGTTAAAGGCAATTTGACAGTGAGTGCCATTGATTTTTATGTATCTGATGCTTTTGGTGAAGGGTTATATGAATCTTGCAAGGATGTAAAGTTTGGGACCCTGAATAGTCGAGCTCTAAATGTTATTGGTGCTGGTGCTCAAAATTTTACAGGTGACCTTTTGCTTTAAAGCTGTAGCTTATGATTCCTTGCCTCCATCTCCCTGGTGTCCTCTCTTTCTGTCTCCCTATCTCCCACACACGATGAGAGTGTTGTTGAAGAAGTTAACTCGATATTTCTATTTGGACTCATGATCTTAAAGCGGATGCTTGGGCCGTGGATGATGATGATTTTGGGTTTGAAGACTTTGCTGGAAGTTAGGGTTGGAGTGGAAAAGTAGGGGGATATCTCAGAATGAATTCCTGTCCGAGGGATAACTTTTGATGGATGAGTGTCCTCCATTTTCACCATACCACAATTGACAGACTACGCTGAAATTCGAAGGATCATGTGTTCCTAGGAAGTTTCAGGGTCGTAGTCTTAGGTTTTCTTGACTTCTTGCTTCTGTTTTACACATGATTTTTCTGTGATTTTGTATAACATTTAGTGATTATGCCACGATTTTTTTGGCAGGTTGGTATGCATTTATTGGTAGACGAGCACCCCTTGGTATGCCAGGCTCGCCATATGCTATGACATTCAATCCTACTGCTCCTGAGTCATCTGGAATGAAACCCATGAATGTTTCTACATATTCATGTGGTGATATATCGCTGGGTTGTTCTTGTGGTGATTGCCCTCAATCTCCCGTTTGTGCCAATACTGCTCCTCCCCCCATCACGAGGGGGTTCTTGTGCAGTGAGAATTGGGTCTCTCAAGGTGAGGTATCCAGTAGATAGCCAAACATTTAGCCTTTTCCAATGATTTACCTTTTTGGTTTGGATCAGAGTAATTTGCTGATGAATACCATTGGACATTCCTTGATTTTGTTACTTTTAAGCACTTATATGTTCCTCTAATTAAGTTTTTTCTCATTGTTCTACTCATCCAGGCCAAATGCATCGATGTTGCTCTAACAATCCTCTATATTATATTGGTTTCCATGTTTTTGGGATGGGGTTTGTTTCATCGAAAAAGAGAAAGGAACCAGACTTCCAGAATGAAACCATTGTCGGATATCAAGGACAGTGGTGAAGTTATCAGGAAGAAGGATGAGAACCTTCCTGCACAGGTGCCTCTATTTCCCTACTTATTCTTACTGAGTGGATTTTGTATTATTATTATTATTATTTTTGCCTTAATCTGATCAGTTAAAAGGTTGATTCTTTAATTCATTGACCAACTCCTTGCCACTGAATTCTTGTAACTATTAATTTCAGATGGTTGAAGATTCTCCTCAAACTGGAAGCAGGGTACAGCTTTCAATCGTTCAAGGATATATGTCAAAGTTCTACAGGTCCACTGTCTATGCCATTTAACACTACCAGTGTAGCTGACTTATTTTTGACCCTTTTAGTTTGTTTCTATTTCAGGAGATATGGAACATGGGTTGCTAGAAATCCGATCCTTGTGTTGAGCTTGTCATTGGCTGTAATTCTTCTACTTTGTGTAGGCCTCATCCGTTTCAAGGTGGAGACACGGCCTGAGAAGGTAGAATTTAACATAAAAATTGCTTCTTTCATCTTTTATGTTTAAATCCTAGAGAAAGGGAGTGTGTTTATTTATAGTCTTCACTCGTGACATTCTGTGTCCAACATGGTCTTGAAGCTAGAATTTGACGAAATTGATGAATATTTGTGGAAAGAATTTGAGAATTTCAATGAATCTGTTGATATGCATATGAGATACTAATATGCAGATGGAAGTGACAAAGTTGGGGGCAATACTCTGCTTTGGGAATGTGGGCATGATTACTTGGAGAAGTCATATATATCTATTACGCATTAAGTTGCTCATTTGACTGGGCTTTAGGTTCTGTGCAATTGGTCGAATCTAGTAATCATTATTATACTCTCATTAATGCTACTTTTCTGCATATGTCAGCCAACTTCTAATACTTTTACCATTTCAGCTATGGGTAGGGCCTGGGAGTAAAGCTGCTGAAGAGAAACGCTTTTTGATACTCACCTAGCCCCTTTCTACAGAATTGAGCAGGTTCTTCAGTATTTTACTCATGTTTTTTTATTTTTTGCTTCCTATCTAGTTTCGTCCTTGTGTTTTTATTTTGTTGTTCGCAAATTTATTCTTCTAGAGGCTGGTTCTAGAGACTGAAAATAAGTTTCAAGGACTCAGGAAGGCTTGGATCCTATTTGTCATCACCACTTGAACGATTTTTCTCTCCTTTTCTTCTCTGTATATAGCAAACCAGCTAATATCAGTTTCTGGCTATGCCTTTCCTTGTATACCAAAATTTCTCCATGAAAATGACTGCAATAGGTTGACTGCATCAGTCATTCTTACCAATTGCTGTATTTATCATGATAATGTGTGTACATGTGTAGTGTCATACCTGCAGTGTGATAGTTGCCTTTTTTTTTTTTTAAATAATGTTCAAGCATAGAAAGACCACTTAGCATCATTTTTGTTTTTTATAATGTTCAAACATAGAAAGACTACTTAGCATCATTTTGATTGCTTTTGTGATATGTGATTTTTGACGATAAAAATTTTTCATGCAAAAGGTTTAGTTTGCTTGATTTGGATTAGTTTTAAATCTTCATAGTCTCTGGATTTTTTTATTGCTCTTCTAATTCTGGAAAGTACTGATGACATGTTTTCCAGCTAATTCTAGCGACTCTTCCAGATGCTGGGGCACAGAAATCGCCAAGCATTGTGACAAAAGACAACATCAAATTACTTTTTGAAATACAAAAAAAGGTATTCATTTTGTCTGGTGTCACTTCCTGGACTTCTGGGTAACAGACTGTTGCATGCATCGCCATGCACATCAAATGGAGTTTACATTTGCTAGTCTATTATATTGTTTTTTCCATTTTCTTATTGTAGAAGGATGATCTGAAATATCTTAGGTTAATAGTATTCAGCTTTGACAGGTTGATGGAATCCGTGCAAATTATTCTGGATCAATGGTATCTCTGACTGATATTTGCTTGAAGCCACTGGACAAAGATTGTGCCATTCAAAGTGTACTGCAGGTTGTTTTTTTTTTTTTTTTTTTCCTCTGATGATCTTTTTTCGGGTATGAATGAAATCCTTAAAATTATGTAAAACGAATTTGTTCCATTCTAAGTTAGTGGCAATAGTATTAATAGGGCTATACGAGTTCCTCAAAGGCTGCTACTGTTACAGTTGCATGTGTCTCCAAAAATGGAAAAATGAACTTAGAGGTACTTATTTTGATATTGATTCGTCACTAATCTCTCTCTCCCCCTCCTTCCCCCAGTACTTCCAAATGGATCCTCAAAATCTCGAAAATGATGGGGTTGAGCATGTGAATTATTGTCTCCAGGTATGTCTTGTTAGTCTTGGGTTCCATGTTCTTTGAAGCTCAAAGACAATTATCTCAAAAATCATGTCTTTGTCTCGCAACCCCTTCCCCAGCTCCAACAATTCTCTCTGCCTGATTATTATGATGATACCATGTTATTTCAGCATTATACCTCTGCAGACACATGTAGGAGTGCCTTCAAAGCTCCCCTCGATCCAAGCACTTCCTTGGGAGGTTTCTCAGGGAACAATTATTCGGAGGTATTTTTTCCTTTCCTTGTAAGTAGCAAAATCAATTAGATCAGAAGTCTATAATAATCCTCCTACTACTTCTTTGGGACAGGCATCTGCATTTATTGTAACTTATCCAGTAAACAACGTGATTGGTAAAGAAGGGAATGAAACTGATAAGGCTGTTGCTTGGGAGAAGGCTTTTATTCAGTTAGTGAAGGTTTGTTCTTTGTCCGAGTCCAGTGTTTGTGTATATGGTGTCTGGAAACATACATGTATCTCCATTTTTTATTAACATACTGAAATGTGTCTCATGGTTATTAAAATTTGTTGACACCAACAACAAGAAGAGAGAGAAATTGGAGAACACAGAAGGGTCTGTGCTGACCACCCTCTTCAGTAGCCAGATTCCTTTTGTTAACAGTAGGAATCTGATCTTTTTCATTTCATTAAGGTAAATCAATCAGATTAGGTGTAGGAATCCCCTATCAAACATAAAAACAAAACAGAAGGCTTCAGATAGCAGAAATGAGTGAAAGATATTAGATCTGCTCAAAATTGTAAGTTTCATTCTCTTAATATTGGATCTGCTGCAAGCCGCAAGTGTCATCCTGAATACTTAACTACTTAATAGCATATATCTGTATAATCATTTCTATGGTTAAGTGATGGAGGTTTGCTGCTCCATTTATATCAATCATTTAATGTGTTTTATGTGACAGAATGAATTATTGCCAATGGTGCAATCGAAGAATCTCACACTTTCTTTTTCATCGGAAAGCTCCATTGAGGAGGAATTAAAAAGGGAAAGTACTGCAGATGTCATTACTATATTGGTGAGCTGTTTTCTTGGTAAAGGCAAAACCTTTCCATTTCTTGGTTTTAAAAAAGGTGCTGTTTAGTGCAATGATAAATGTACAGGGCTTGCAAACAACAGGTTATCGATTCAATCCTGAGACCAGCCATTTCATGCAATGTTTTAGGAATGTGTTGTATGCTGCTTATATAGCTAACTATTGATGCTTATTCCTTTTCAGATTAGCTATCTTGTGATGTTTGCCTACATCTCTCTTACTCTGGGTGACACACCTCATTTATCTTCGTTTTACATTTCATCTAAGGTATGTTCTTTTTACACGGCTTGAACTTTATCCTCTCCCTGGGTAGAACCCTTAATTCCATAGTATTTTATTGCATTTCCACAAATGCTAGGTTTCTGTATGATTGGTTGACTTCCAGGTGCTGCTTGGTCTTTCTGGAGTTATGCTTGTCATGCTGTCTGTTCTTGGATCAGTAGGATTTTTTAGTGCCATTGGAGTAAAGTCTACACTAATCATCATGGAAGTCATTCCTTTTCTTGTATTAGCTGTAAGTTTCTTTCTTCTACTTTTAGACTTCATGTGGTATCATCCTTTTGCCTACATTAATCATTGAGCATGAAATTTTAATGGGTTACTTCATCTCTAACTATCTGTTGCGCAACTAGACTACTTATCTCTTTTATTAGCTAAGCAAATGGTTCAGGGATAAAAAAACAAGCACTAGTTGCCATCCCACCTGCTTTCTCAACTGCAGCATTTGACTTGGGCCAACAAGAGGTGGAGTTTGCACAAAACATTCAGGGGTATTAGGAGAAGAGCAAAGCTAAATGACATGAAAAGCATTACACTAAAGTGATATGAATTCATGCAATGGCATGATTTGTATAACATTCAACTTTATAGTCATTTACTGCATGAATCTATCTGTGTCGCTTTCGCTTAATTTTTTTTTCGTAAGGTTTAGCATAACTCTTTGGAGAATTCACCAACTGTCCCTTTCTAGCATACTAACTGACCATTATACTAGTCTGGATTTGTAGTAGCTTAACTCTTTAAGTATTTGATTCCTTTATTTGGAAAACTCTTTAATCTTAATGTTAGATATTAGATTGAATAACCCTCTTTTTAATCTAGGATAGTCTCCAAATCGGATTTTGACTATTTTTCTCATAAAGTTTTGCTAGATTATGATTAACTGAATTACTCTGTCATATCAGGTTGGGGTGGATAACATGTGCATATTGGTGCATGCTGTTAAGCGGCAACCATTGGAGTTGCCACTAGAAGGACGGATAAGCAATGCTCTTGTGGAAGTTGGACCATCCATCACGCTTGCTAGTCTGTCTGAGGTTTTAGCATTTGCAGTTGGAAGTTTCATTCCTATGCCTGCATGCCGTGTTTTCTCTATGTTTGCTGGTCAGATATTTTAATCCTTTTTCTTTAATAAACAAGTTAAATTGTTTTTTTTCCACTTTTCTTTTCAAAATCATTACCCCATTTTATGTCACGCCTCTTTTGCAGCACTCGCTGTTCTTTTGGACTTTCTTCTGCAAGTCACTGCTTTTGTAGCTTTGATAGTTTTTGATTTTTTGCGAGCGGAGGATAAGAGAGTCGATTGCATTCCATGTATGAAAATCTCATCAACATATGCAGACACTGATAAAGGTATTGTCAGGAGGATATTTATAACTCATATTTGCTTGATGCATTACCTCATTTGCCACATAGTTTCATTAACTGCTTTGTTTTATTCCTTATTGTAAACTTGAGATGGTTTCTGATTGAAAATGAATGTAAATGCTTAGGAATTGGTGGGAGAAGACCTGGATTACTGGCTCGTTATATGAAGGTACCAACTTGATTTTTTTGAAATTTTAATAGAAATTATATCTTTTCAAATGCTAGTTTAAGATTCTTGAGAGAGTTTTATGCTTGATTAGGTGCTTTATTTTCTTTTTTGAAGAATGAGTGTGTTGCTGCTGAGCATTATTCGCTAATCAAATTGGCAGCATTATTCGCTAATCAAATTGGCATTCTTGTCTTGTAGGAGATCCATGCACCCATACTCAGTCTTTGGGGAGTTAAGATAGTAGTCATTGCTGTCTTTGCTGCTTTCACATTGGCCAGCATAGTGAGATGCTTGAGATTATTCTCTCGTATTCCTATTTCTTTAGTGCCTCTTATGTGTCTTACTTTCACTTGTCATATTTATGGATCATATAGGCATTAACCACTCGAGTTGAACCTGGTTTGGAACAACAAATTGTTCTTCCGCGGGACTCATATCTTCAGGTTCAATCTCTTGATAATGCTTTATAACTAGCTACATATATCTGATATGGTATTATATTGGCTGGCAAGTTAAGCATGCAGTTTTTTGGTTCCTGCAGGGCTATTTTAATAACGTTTCAGACTATCTCAGAATTGGCCCACCTCTATATTTTGTAGTTAAGAACTACAATTATAGGTAATTCCATTGCTTTTTTGCATAATTTTCCTTTTTTTGCTTTGACCTTCAAACTGATGGTACTGCACTCCACAGCTCAGAATCAAGTCATACAAATCACCTATGCTCCATCAGCCAATGTGATTCAAAATCTCTTTTAAATGAGGTAAATCTTTCTTCTTTTTCTTATCTAGTGAACACCACTCTGTTATTTACTCCCCATGGGAATTAATTGTTGGAAGGCTGTATTTCCTTTGACAAGAATCTTTTGTCTTTGCTTCTGTAGATTGCAAGAGCATCCTTAACACCAGAATCTAGCTATATAGCTATGCCAGCTGCTTCATGGCTTGATGATTTTCTTGTATGGATATCTCCAGAAGCTTTTGGCTGCTGTAGGAAGTTCACAAATGGGAGTTATTGCCCCCCTGATGATCAGGTCGTTTTCTAATCTTTCACAAAAGCTGGCTTTTTAATTCTGGCATGCAAACCTGGGCATATTTTGCCCTACTATGATAGTACATGGCTGCCACCTCCTATGCAGTTGATATGATCGTTAAATTCTCTAATGGATTTTGTTGTTGGAAAAACATAAGATTTGAATTTAATCTCAAATATCCACTTTTACTTGTGTCATATTTTTATTACATTTTGTAATGGCTTAAAATCAAATGGTAATGGCACCACCACTGTTCAATATGACCAAATGCAAGCCCCTGTTGCTGATTATTCCAATTGATTATGTGCGGTGCAACCATGGTAATTATGGGGATATTGTGATGATGCCTTTTCATGTTCTTCTCTTCTTCTTATTGCTTCCCCTTGGTGTCATTATTTCTTCTCATTCAAGACCACTGAATAATGCTGAAGCTGAGTCTTTTTCCCTGCTTTGCCCAGGCTTCTTGTTGTTCATCTGATACAGGTTCATGTGGTCTTGCTGGGGTCTGCAAAGATTGTACTACGGTAATCCACATTATTTGTTATGAAGTTCTGCAAAACAAATTTTCTGTCTATTTACCTTCGAAATGATTTATGCTTGACTGTCAATTATCAAGGCAGTAGCATCTATCTTTTCTCATTTATAGCAGGATAAACTACTCATAACCCTTGGAATTTTTCAGTGCTTCCGTCACTCAGATTTGAACAATGATCGTCCATCTACATCACAATTCAAGGAGAAACTCCCATGGTTCCTCAATGCTTTGCCCTCTGCTGATTGCGCCAAAGGTGGCCATGGTGCTTACACTAGCAGTGTAGATCTGCAAGGTTTGCTGAGTTGGACACTTGTTCTCTCAATCCAGTTAAATAAATTTTAGGGAAAGTTGCACAGGCATATGCATGCATTAAAATAGTTCATCTGCATGCCATATGGTTGCTTGTTATTTGAGTAGGGATAAATTACTCACTCCCTCTCCTTATCAGGCTACGAGAATGGTGTTATTCAAGCATCATCCTTCCGCACATATCACATGCCTCTTAACAAGCAGGTAGGAGTGGTTTCTAATGGTAAAATTTGCTCAATGTGATCTTTTTTTTTGTGCCTGTATAAAAACCTTAACATTCACTGCATCTCATTTTAGATTGACTACGTCAATTCAATGAGGGCTGCGCGAGAGTTCAGTTCAAGGGTTTCTGATTCTTTGAAGGTAAAAAATCAACGATAATGAATACTGCACTGTTTGTTTGATACTATCGATTTTTAAATAAAATATCTGTCAGATTTTTTAGTCTTGTTTTTCCCATACGTTAGGAAGCCAACTTTTGTTGCTTCTTTTGTTATGCTAGCGCTGTGCTTATCAAAGAACTGATTATTTATGAATTTTTTTACAATCTCCTAAACTTAACCTTAAATAAGATTAGTTTTAGCTGTTCATCCATGTCCGTTGTTGTTTGCAGAAGACTTGCCCCATAGTTGGCTGTATGCTAGTAAGACCGTCTCTTAAATGTTGTTTGTTTTCTAGTGCAGATGGAGATCTTCCCATACTCAGTATTTTATATGTTTTTTGAACAATATCTTGATATATGGAGGACTGCATTGATCAACCTTGCTATAGCTATTGGTTAGTAACCTTTCAAAATCCAGCACTTAAATTGGCATGTTCATTTTTCTGAGGAATCCATGGATTGTATGCTTGGGTGTTTTACCTTGTTTTCTTGCATTCTTGATTATAATGCCGTCTTTTTTCACAAATTACCTTTTTCCACTGAGGAGTTAAGCATTTGTTTATTCCTCTTTGATCCTTTGTATCCCACAAAATATTCAGGCCTTTGAAACTGAAGATATTGTTTTGCTATTTTTTGTACTGCCTATTTCTATATCATTAATCATTAAATGTATTGCACGGTGGTTTGATGTTAAGGACCTCGAGATCTGAAACAAAAAATGTAGTGTGTGGGCTGTCTGAGTAAAACTTTTACTGAAGCAAATTTGCCACCTTAAACCTTTATTGTAATTTGGTTTTTAACAAATCCAAACAAACTATTTGGTTTAGCATAACTTTTAGTCATGTGATTGATTGGTTGGTCTCAATTGGTTGGTTTTATTTGGTGTACCAGGAGCTGTCTTTGTTGTTTCCTTGGTCATCACTTGCTGGTCAGTTTTCTATTTACCATATTCACCTTTTCATTGAAAAAAAAAATGGCGTCAGTGTTCTGTTCTTCTTTCCAAATGAATTGCTATATTGGAGAATGACTCGTGATTATTTTGTTTCTTGACTTTCTTTAAAATGTAGTTTTTGGAGTTCTGCAATCATTTTGCTGGTGTTGGCAATGATAGTCGTGGATCTCATGGTAACTTTACTTACTTTATCATTATCTATGTATTTTTCATTTTATTTGTAATCATTAACTTGTTCTGCCGAACTATAATCTCTGTGCTTACAAGATCAAACTCCACAGGGTGTGATGGCAATTCTGAATATTCAACTGAATGCAGTCTCTGTTGTCAACCTTGTTATGTCAGTAGGCATTGGTGTTGAGTTCTGTGTACATATAACACATGCTTTCTCGGTTAGCACCACATCATTCTCTATTTTATTTGTATCTTGTCTGCTTTCTTTTGATAAGGCATTGCTGATTATGCTCTTTCTCCGATGGAACTTCAAATTCATTGTTTCATCTCATTAAGTTAAATGAAAAATAGATGGAATCTGTGTCTGGTTATTTTGGCTTGATGGTTAACATGTGATTGAGGGGCCCATTATAAAATGCATCTGGATATTTCATTCACTGATAGTTAATTAGTTAATGCAACTAGAGAATTGGTTTCCCTTCTGAATCTGGAAACTTTATGCTTTCAGCTCTGAGGTTCTTATTGGTGCCATGTTTTACTTCTTCCTTTGGCTGCATGTTCTTACTCATTTCCTAAACAGGTGAGTAGTGGTGACAGAAACCAACGAGTGAGGGATGCTTTGGGTACAATGGGAGCTTCTGTCTTCAGGTTCTTTTTTTCCTCTGGCTCATGTTATGATCTAGATTGCTGAGACTTCTTTGCCATCCACTCCGTTGACACTTACAAATTGGCCATAATGCAACTATAGGCCGTTTTAATTGACACCCCTTGAATTGTTATTTTCTGATTTCAACCCATAATTTATAGGGTCTTTTGATTGACACTCCTGCTAGATTCTGTCCATCTTAACTATTAAATATAACATGCAAGTCACATATTTTATCAGGAAAAAAAAAAAATCAGGGCGGCTTGATTTCTGATAATTTTATAGTACTGTTTGAGATTATAACATGTGCAACTCACATTATTTTAAAGAAGTTTGATGCAGTCTCCTTTTTTCCATGTGATACACCATTAAAGAACTATATTAAAAATAGAAAGCCAAGAAGGGAAAAATAAAAATCTGTCTTTTGCACCCCATTAATGCATAGATCATTGCGTACATGATTCTGAGCTCAAATAATCTATCCTTATTTCCAATTGGATTTCTGTATTAATTGCGGTGATCTTATTGGAAAATTGTCTCTGTCATGTAATTTCGCAGTGGCATCACATTAACAAAGTTAGTTGGCGTGATTGTTCTTTGCTTCTCAAGGACGGAAGTTTTTGTGGTTAGTGTTCCTCCAATCGAATACCCATTACACGAGCCAATTTTTTCGAGTTTATTTATTGTCTTCCTCGTGTTCTGCAGGTTTATTACTTCCAAATGTATCTCGCACTGGTCCTTCTTGGTTTCTTGCATGGGCTGGTGTTCTTGCCTGTAAGTTTATTGAGTTTCCGAAATCCCTCTCCTTCCACTTGAATATTACTATTTAACTTATATTCCAGATCAATCTTGAAATAGATGTCGGTAGGTAAATTTCACTGACAAGAAAAATGTTGCAAGCACATCATATACCCGGATTTAGTCGTTTATTAACAATCTTTGTATTAAGATGAAGTTGATCAAATGCATCAATCAGTGAAAAGTTGTCTCGTCTTTTAGGATCCAAACATTGGAGGAAGCTGTTGCTTTTTATTTTGCCTTCAACATATAGAGAAGGTTTTGTAAATTTTGCATTTCTCATAGAACAAATACGGGAAAAAGATCATATTAAAAATGCTGTTTGCAGGTTGTGTTGAGCATGTTTGGTCCACCTTCAAGATGTAAACTTGTTGAGAAGCAAGAAGACCGGCCATCAGTTTCCTTGCGGCCCTGAGAAGCTGTATTGTTGTATCATAGTTCTTTGTAGATTTATTTATATTTTCCTTTTTCTTTTCTTCAAGAAACTAAAGTTAAATATATAGTAGGTTAGTTAAATATGTGAAGTACAGAGTGCTTTTCCAAGAAGAAAAGGAAGAAAATCGTTCAGCTGCAAGGTTGTCAGATTTGCTTTCCTACTTTTCAAGCAAACTTTCCTGTTGATTCCAATTGCTTCTTCATTTCGGCTTAAGTCCTTCTCGGCCGACTTGGAATAAAAAACCAATTTTCTGTTTTGAATGGGGAAGAAAAAAAGAGAAAATTGAACCCTGCTTGTTCCTAGAATGCAACTGAAAAATTAGAATCGCACAGGGAAAAAGACTAAAAGTTTAATAATACTCAAAAGAGTAATTAGTAAAATGAATAATAATTATTTTATGAATTCACTTCATAAAGACAAATAGGCATTGAAAAAAGAGAAATTTTAAAAAAAAATTAAGCAAATTAGAAATTTTTTTATCATTTTTTTGTGAGTTTATGAGTATAATTTTTTTCTTTTTTATTTTCTCTTCTTTCTTATGAAGTGAGTTCATGAGATGATTACTTTAGATGTTATTAGTTATTTTTTAGAATATTATAAAATTTCTCATGAGTGACGGAGTCATAAAAAAAAATGTCGAATTATATTTCGGTCCTAATCCAATAAAAAGAAAGAAAGAAAGGAAGAAATCATCTCGTAGTTACATTATTTTTTCTTTCCTAGCAGCGAGATCATGATTTTTTATATTCAGTTTGGTAAATTACTAGCTACAAACTTCTGATAAATTATATTTTTAGCTATTTTCAAATAAAGTTGTACTTAATTTTTTTTAAAATAAAATAAAATGGAATAATAGTCTAAGATAAGAGATCTAGAAAATTTTCAGTTTGGCCAATCGCTAGTCACAAATTAAATTATATCTTGAACTATTTTTAAAATTGTACGTAAAAAAATATTTTAAATAAAAATATAAGAAAGATTCCGAATGAAAAAAAAGAACTGTAAGAAAAAGGTTAATATATACACACACACGAGGATTTATTTATTTTTTTTTTTGGGCGAATACGTTTCTAGTAGGGCTAAGTTAAGTTCGAACGAAGACAAAATAGGCTAAACTTGAAAATTTGATATGGAAAGTCGCTTTGACCTCCATGAAATTTTAAAAACTCCAATTTCTCCCCTAACCTCAGCTCTGCTAAGCCAATAACGGGAGCCTTTTGCCAGGTCTTTGTGATTCTAGAAACAATTGTGACTGTTGACTAGTGCAAATCTTGGTCATCCAGGTCCTATATGCTCTACTGATAATTCACAATTATTGTCGATAAACCTCTAAAACTTTGATTAGATAGATCATTAATTAATAATACAACCGATTACTATAACAAAGAATTACTGTAATAGCCATAACCACCAACGATCTCGACCATAACCTGATAGGAGCAGAAGGAATGTTTTACAAAATGTACCTGCAGATTTAGTTATGATGAGGAAGACGAATAGTACATTTCCGACGAGGAATGAGGGAGAAGTTTATTGCTTGCTTCTCCCATCAAATATACCTAAGAGAATATTGTCTGAATAACAGTTAAGCAAGTTCATCAACTTATCTTACAAAGGCTCCTAAGTCCTACTAGTTACGCATGATGTTTTTTTAACTTGATGGTCTTCAGGATTCCAAAAATTCCAACCTAGCAAAAAATTGAACACAAGCTTCCTATAATTCCATTACATTGCTTTTCTTCTGTACAGATCACGACGCTGAACTTTGTATCCCTGTTCATTGAATCATTCTGATTGTTTCCACCAACTTAACTATCCATAACGCTCGAATTTCATGCCCACCAGAAAGACTAACATGGAACACCAATGCCATGAACTCCGTGGAGGGTTGCAGAGATCAAGACATCCCACGGCTGTACAAAGACCTCCCTAAAGGATGAGGAGAAACTTCGAGCAAGAGTTTAATTGTCTGGTTGTTACCTGAACTGCCGCATATATCAATACACTCCTCCAAATCATCATCACACGTTAATAAGACCCACTCAGAATCGTCATCCAAGTACTTCAGGTCATATCTATGTACGTCATCTATATTAAACCGTCTTACGATCTCTTGAGATAAATCTTTAAACCCCCAATTGTTTGGCATGCGGAGCCGAATTTTCTCATTTCCAAATGTGACTTTCACTCTGTGAGAATCCATCTCTTGAGATAACTGTCTACTATCCTTAGGTAAGAGCGGAAGGTTCCCCAGTTCTGTAAGACTTTTATGACTCTGGGATCTAGGCATTAGCTTCCGTTCTTCTAGACTTGATGCATGGAGCTCTGCGTTGCTTCTGACCCTCTTCAAAATATCATTGCCTGAGTTTTCTCCAAGCATAGGATCTTCGTTAGCAGCAATAGTGATTGCAGAAGGATGTTGCTGTGTCCCACTGGAACAGCTATGGCTTGAACTGGAACTCTGACTACATGAGGGTGAAGGTGATTTTGGTTCAGCAACTTGGGAGCTGATGGTACCCCCTCAGGTTGTATTCGTGATGGTTTTGGATGTCTGATTGGCTTTAAAGTTGACAGTGGATTAGTTCTTGATGAATTTGGAGAGGCAAGCTCAGGGAATTTTTTGTAGAAGGAACCAATCTGAACAGAGCCAGAGGCACCTTTGACCGAGTCAATAACGCGTTGGAGTTTCTGTAAGGAATGACCAACCTTCTTGATTTTTCGAGAAGGCCAGCGATTAATTCCATGTTGCCTGCATATTCTTTTCAACGTAGTGGGGCAAACTGAAATTTGTGAAAAAAAAACAGATAAAGAGGTCAAAACAACGACAATAAGAACTGAAGAATAACTTTGTTCATGTTATACGAAAATAGATTCAGAAGCTTCAGTGGACTTATGAGCTACAGGGTAATGAGAACTGTTGACCATCAGTACTTTATTGGGAAATAACTTGTTCCAGAGTATTGTCATACATACAACTCTGCAAATGAAGGGTAGACACATGCCAATTACGTTGTGGCACACTGGCCACCCAAAATGTGAATACTAACAAACATTTGCTACAATGGAATAAAGCTTACCCCCAATACTCTTCGCAGCATCCTTTAAGCTGCCAGCAAAGTATTGCCGAAGAACTTCCAAGGTGATTGTTTTCTCTGATTTGTTACGCCTTCTTTCTCCAGGTTTAGTTGTGCAGACACTTGAAAAGCTACCTTCAGCAGAAGTAGAAATCCCTCTTAGGCTATAATCTTCTTGATTTTGCCTGCACTCAATGGATTGTTCACACAACATTACCTTTTCTTTGTCTTTTTCAGATAAAGAGATGTTACTTCCACTTTGTTGGACCTTTGGGAGACAGGCAATCCAGGGTGAATTATCTCTAGCATACCTTTCTGAATAAGACTCTTTAACTGTTGATGTCTCTTCTCCACTAGATCTACCATCCGAAGGTACTAGGACTTCACTAACTGGCAAATCAATTTCCTCCACTATTTCTTTGTCTGTTACTACCCGTAAGGTCTGGCAAACACGTTGTATAACGATGGATAGTGAAGTGAGCATCTTCTTCTGCTCTTGAGGATCTCTGCAATCCACGGGCAGGAAGAATTCCAGGACAAAGTCCGTTGTACCAGTGTACATGCCTCGCAAGCGAATTGCAACAGCAGCACACAGTCCAAACATCCTTGCATGGTGAGAAAGAGGATACTCGGTCTTGCCATATAAAGTTACATCGCCTGAGAAGCAAGGTTGGTTAGTCAGAAAGGCTTCTCCAGCAACTCCTTGACCCTTTAGCAAGTGATGCTCTGAGCAAGCCTCTAGAAAACCCTGGATAGCAGGATCACCTACACAGCAAGCATCATCCACAGTAGAAACACAACGATAGTAGTTCTCGTTTGAATGTCGGCATCCCTCCTTGCCTTGTTGGATACACGGGATCCAAGTTTGAGCTAAGGGCAATCTATGTGTCTCACAGGCAGCTCTCAGAACCTTTCGAATCTCAGGTAATGCAGCTTGGAAAGACATATCACATGCCTGGTGAAAAGGAAAAAATTCCACCATGACCTAAAAATTAACGTAAGAAATTTAAATAGTATCAATTTTGTTCTGCTACTCGTTTTACCTTTAGATTATTTATGCTTGGAACTTCAGAACTCCTAAGATCAACAGCCTGCAAGTTCAAAAAATTTTTGCTATCAAAAACAAGTTTAAATGAATTGCAATCATACTTCCGAAGTTAGAGGTTGCATATTGTTTGAAAAAAAGCCTATATGGAGTGAACCTGTGAGCAATTATTGTTTATAAATTGTAAACAGCTCAATCACCGGATATCATAAGCATACTCTTGGTTTGGAGGCTACATTTGAAAATGGAACTTGGATAGAAATATAATTAATGAGGATAAAAGGAACAAAGAGCCTGTGAAGAAAAACAAGAAGTCAAAGTTGAACAAAAAAAAATGAAAATGCTAGATAACAAAGCACTGCCAAGTAAAACATACAGCTAAATGGAAATACGCTTATTGCCTTGTTAAGTTTCTAAAATCAAGCTCCCGCTTCAAGGTTTAAATGCCAAAACCATAGGCAAGTGATGCTCTAAAACGGACTCCTGTCAGAGACCTGGTATCCATATCTTAACTCTTTCTGGCCCTACGACGATATTTTGTCTTTCCGGCTCTACCAATATTATTTTAAAGGGTTCCAATCGCACCTAGGATGAGAGGCTTAGGAGAGGAAAAGGACTACTCTCCTTGTTTGGCCCAGCCGAAAAAAAAAACTGTATTATGAATCCTGAAGGGCACTACTTCACTTTTTTTGGCAGAGCAAAACAAAATGTCAAGACCATATAGAGGTCAGATGCTAATGATTGGACATCCAGATTTTAGATAGTTCCATTAGTCATTTTAGCCTTCATGAGGGTATTAGTTTGTTAAATACTCCTCATGAGTTGCTTTCAATGCTGCAATACCTGAACTTGTAAACTGAGATGCAAAGAGAAGCATTTTGAAAATGAGAAACAAACCTCAAGAGCCTTGCAAACGCTTTCAAGCTCGGGACGGTACTTGATCTTCTGTGAAGTGGTCACCACCTCAATAACACCCAAGCAAGTCCGGCTACATTGTTCGAAAACAGGAAGGGCAAGAGATCCACGTACATCATACAGTTGAGCGTGATTCACTCGTGGGTATTCATCACTTGTAAAGAATCGAACATCAGGTGTCCACTCAGGAACCTTACCCAAGAAAACCCGACCAGGCAAGCCAACATCCTTGGAATCCTCCTCGGTAGAAAACTGATATTTAATGGATATGTCTCTGTAACTTGCCAGTTTCTCACAGCTGGGGTCGAGTGCAAAAGGTTGATCATGAGTTGTTAGAACACGTCTGCCTCCTCTATTAACAGGGACCCATATTTGTATAAGGACATCTTTATTTTTCGTCAAATCTTTAATCCCCTCCAATGCCTTAATTAATCTCCTCTTTACAGTAGTTCCTGGACTTGGATTTGGAGTAGGCTCTATCCACCATCGTCTTCTTAATTCAGAACCTTCATTTGAATTGTATTCCCATCCAGATGCAGAAACCGCAGTCTCGCTCATGGGACTTCTGGCTTGGATATTACTCAGAGGAGATTTCCCTCGCAACAATTGTATCTGGTTATCTTCTTGATTGCCCTTTTGGGACGGACTAGAGGCTGAATCACCATTGTTGATCTCTGGAGTGGGCCGCGTAAACGAAGGATCGAAGAAGGCAGCGGAATTGGGGAGACTTGGATTAAGAAACTCAGATCCATCTGTTGTTTCTAACCAGCATCCATCTAACAACAACTCATCCATGTAGTCAAAGTCCATAGCTGAATCAACCATTGGACCCAGCATCGTACCTGGTGATAAAACACCATCTTCTATCATGATCTCTTCTCAAAATCCCAACCAGAAGTACTGAAAAATCTCAGCTTTGCGTCAGATGGCAGGGATCTCTAAAAAGAATTCAAGCCTTGCAGTCTTCAAATGCCAACAACCTGTCCGAATTGCCGAAACACAATCAATATAATAGGACAGCAACCAAGAAAAAAATAACAAATTCCAGAGAGAATTGGAAGCAGGAAATCTCTATCCTGTTTCATTTCTGCAGGATAAAAAGCAAGGTTTCTATGAGAACAGTAGAGGTTTCTCGTTTCCTTTAAGCAATCTAATTTTGGTCAAAGTAGCAGAATCAAAAGGATCATAGATCACCACTTGCCAGCAACTAGCAATAGGGTCAACCAAAGAATAAAAACCCAATTTGAAAACCACCATATCCACCAAAGCAGCATTACATTCTTGATGCAAATTCCAAAAGAGAACTAAAAATATAAGAATAAAAAATAAAAACCGGCTTTCCGCAGATTCTTACCATATGGTAGAACAACACCTTTCTCACTTCTGATTCAAGATCCTAAATTTACCCACAAGAGATAAACAATACCCAAAAATTAAAAACAGTAAGCCAAATCTCATACTAATTCATTAATCACCTTCAAAACCAAAAACAGAAATGAAAAGAAAAGAAAAGAAAAGAAAAAAGTAATTATGGCTCACTCACTATCAAAGATTCTTGAAGGTACCATCAAAGGGTACTTTCCTTTTTTATTATACCCTCTTTCACGACTGTGCAGCAAGAAGCATTCATAAAATCCTGTCCCTCATGAAATCTCCTCCACAAGAAAAAAGAAAACACAGCCCATTACTTTCTTCCTCTCCTAGTAATTATCTGAGCAATTTTAGACTCTTATGATTCCAAATTGTCGTGCTTCAAGATTCTGCCTCTCTATAGAGCGACCCCACATCACCAAACTCATCATTTTCTAATGGGACCTTGAAATTCTCGCTCTTGTTACAAGAAGTCAACTTGTTAATGTCGAAATCATCAAACTACAGTAGATAAAGAGAACCAGCACCAAGAACCGATCTCAGCTGATCTTCATCTTGAAGCTGTCGTGTCTTTTTTAGTTAAAAAAAAACAATAAAAAAATGAAGTTCAAGTGGAATCCGATTTCTTCAAAGTTGCTAAAATGGAAAGTGGTGTATGCCACTTTTCATAAATTATTATTCAAATGCATTCGTTCATCTAAGGAGGTGATAACCAAGGGAACTACTGGTGGAGGTGGTGGTAGACGTCCATTGTCGCAAGTGGGAACTCAAGAGTTGTTTGACTCTCTGTCTTTTTGTTTAACATTAAACGGTCAAATTAGCTGAGTACTGTAATAAATATAATATAATTGAATCATTCAAGATACGTGACGCGGACGCTTCTTGTGTAATATATTCCAGGTTAAGCATGGATGATCTGTCTATAACAGCAGTTATTCTACACTAATTTATGCTTGACAGCTCCCATCATAGCTAGTAATAATAGGCCAACAGCTCCAAACTTTTTCTAAACTCTAAGACATCTAAGAATTATTTTTTTAATTCTTAATTTTAAATCGAACATTTTGCAGCTATTATTTTATTTGAAATTAAATTTTTATTTTAGGTTTTTATTAATTTTAATATGTAAGGAGCTAGAAATATGAAAAACAAATTATAAATATTTTGTTTTTTCTTTCAAAATTTATTTACTTTCTCTTAGATAGAGAAAAGTAGACGATTAAAGAATATAGAATGAAAAGAAAGAAAGGTTTTGAAGAAAAAAAAACATTCATAAGTTTTTACATATTTTTTATTGTATGAAAGTTAAAAAGTCAAATAAATACAAGTCATTTATATTTCTAATTTTAGAATTGGTAGAAACATAATAGAACAATCTAATTTTACATGAATTGAATGAAGAAGTGATTCTCAAGTAATTTAAAATTCTGAAAAAAAAAAAAGAACCAATTAGCCATAATAATAAATATATATTTATTTGAGATATTATTTTATCAATCGAAATAATTAAAAAAATGTTTCATAACCATTCTAGTGATATAGTTGTTTTTATCTTGCAAGTAAACATTTAATTTATTAAATTTTACAACTCAACTAAAATTTAGGAGTCAATTGATTTTTCATTTCCTTAGAAAAAAAATTGAAATTTTGTTCCTTTTTGTTTTTGTTTTTTCTTTTTCTTTTTTTAAATTAAACCTACCAATCAAAAGTTTTGAAATGGTTATAGCATTTTTCACAACAAATAATTTTTATTTTTATGTTTTGAAAGCCACAAATATTGACAACAGATAACCTTTACATTTTTACTTGTCAAAACTAATATTAGAGTATAATATAATTTAGTCTTGACAGTGATGGGTAATAGCATAAACGTATGTCGGCAAATCTTTCAAAGCAAAATGATGATTGGAAGGAGTAAATTATAAATTAATCCTTTTAGTTTTAAGAAATGAATGGATTATTTTTATAAATAAAAAAACTAATTATATAACCTCTATATTTAAAAAAAAATAAAATTAATTTTTTATCTTATTTTTTATTTTATTTTTATTTTTTCTTTGAGAAGTTAAAAAAAAAAAAGAATCAATGGAAAAAATATTTTGTAAAAAAATAATATTAAATACACTGAATAAAAAAATTAAATAATTAATTTAAAAAAAAGAAGGACTAATTAATTCTCTTATAAAAAAACGGACTAATTTATAATTTACTCAGAATGTAGACCATAATTGAGATTCTAAAAGATTCTATGCTCTAATACCATTACGAAATACTATTTTTTTTATTATTATTTACAGATCACATTGCTTGTATCAGAGATGAGGACCACCCTTTCACATTCCTTGTACCAGAGACAAGGACCACCCTTTTAATTTAAAAAATAAAAAAGAATCAGGACCACTGAATGTTTCTAAATCACTTAATAATTTATTGATTAATTAAGGATAAAATAACGGCGTCTAGTCTCTTCGTTACCAACCGTTGATCTCGTTTTACCCAATCATCAACCCTTCGGAGCCCAATATACACTTCTCCGTTATGCAAAGCCTAACAAATTTTATGGGCTCTAGAGGCCAGCCCATAGACTTGGACTGTCTACAAAACAATTAAAGGTTGATCATCAACCCAACGGAGCCCAATATACACTTCTCCATTATCCAAAGCCTGCCCAATTTCCTGGGCTATAGATCCCAGCCCATAGACATGCACTGTCTACAAAACAATTGACATGTTAAATGTGGTTCAAGGGCCCAGCTTATGTCATCGATTAGGCGTTCCAACCAAACTACTCCGAGTCGCGTCATTATATCCTTGAATTTGAAGGGAAAAAACAAATACTTCTGAGCTACACTATTTTTTGGTCTTATCCTCAATCAATAGAATTTTATTGAAAAATTGACTGAAAAATTCATAAAAATCTTCCCAATTCCTGTATTTTTTCTATCAGTTTGGAAAAAACACATTTACTTCGAAAAAAAAAGAATTAAAAGAACTTTCAAGGGTTTTGTCGTTATTTTTTCATTAAAATTCTACAAAAAAAAAAGAGGATAAAATCGGAGATTTTTCAATTCAAAAAGATATTCGTTATGGGGTCTTTTTCCTTTCACACATCCACTAATTTGATCAATCTGGCACGCATTTGACACCACATGCTGGCTGGTTTCAGCGTAACATGATAAGCATCGGAAAACAGCAAGAAAAAATGAATCCTATGAACCACACAGCAGATTGGAATTTTAGATGAAGGGAATACAGGACAGCTTGCATTTATTACTAGACAAGAACATCGGTTTAAACAGTAGTAGTAACAAACGATGCAAGTTTGTTCACTATAACGACACAAGTAGTAAAGATTAGCTTTTGATTTTTATGCTTGCAATCTGGCAAAGTGGCAGTTCCTCTTCATTTACTCAGTTTGGGAACATTGAGAATAGGTGTTTTCTTCAGATGCTTGGTCTCACATTGAGATGAGAAGCTAGTTTCTGACCCAAAGATTTATCAGCCTGCATCACATCATTGCCGGCATTGAATTTACAACCAAAACATTTCTTGAGATCCAGTATGAACATGATAGTACGTAATTGTAAAGGGAGTTTTACCTGAGACCAGTATGTGATCCAGATGCTGCGAACCTCGTGTGTGACACGTGGTTCAGATAAGGCATCAACCCATCGGCGAACAAATCGTTCTTGCCTGGAGGAAAAGAAAGAGAACAGAAGATAAGAAAGAACATGAAAAACCGGTGCTGTAGTTTATTCAATTATTGAAAAGTAACAGCAGAACCACGGTTTACCTGTCTGATGCCCAGGATCTGTATCTCTCTCCGGGTTGCTTGAAGTTGTTCTCCTTCTCAATGACGCACTGCATGAACCAGCAAAGGCTGATAAATTATGTGCTAATAAATATATATCCATTCATGGTAATAGACCATTCATTTAACTAATAGCTAATAGCTCCAGAACCATACAATAGCTTTCCAATCTCTAGAAAATGTAACCGGAACCCCAAACACACACACACACACACATAAACACAAGATTCAAGCACAAGACAGTTTCATTATATAACAGTAGACCTGAAAAGAAGAAAGAAAGAAACTGACCTTCTCACGCCCTCCACTGCACACAGCAGGAGGAATGGGGAATCTCTCAGCATGACGAACTGGATCATACCTTGATGGGAAATAGTTGACCTGAAGAATATATAATGATAACTGATCAGAACACAAACTAAAAGCAAAAGCAAAAACACATAAATAACCTCAAAATAGACGAAGCCAGGGGGAATGATCCAATTAAACAGAGGGTGAAATAGCACAGCTTCCAATTAAATTAGCATGCCCACAAGAGAGACAGATAGAGAGGGAGATACCTCCTCATCCCTGTGCATGAAATTCATGAAACCGTCATGATGATTGTTGTGATGAGCACACTTGGGAGCATTAACAGGGAGCTGCAGATAGTTTGGTCCAAGACGGTGCCTCTGGGTATCAGCATAGGAGAAGATTCGAGTCTGGAGCAGCTTGTCATCTGAATAGTAAATACCAGGAACAACAATAGCAGGGCAGAAAGCAAGCTGCTCGTTTTCAGCAAAGAAGTTATCAATGTTCTTATTCAAGACCAAGCGACCAACTGGCTGCAAGGGCAGGATATCCTCAGGCCAGGTCTTGGTTACATCAAGTGGGTCAAAATCAAACTTGTCTTCATGGTCAGGATCGATTATCTGGATGAAAAGTTTCCACTCGGGATAGTTGCCAGCTGCAATTGAGTCGTATAGATCCTGAGTGGCATGACTGTGATTTGCACCCCCAACTTTAATTGCCTCATCCTCTAATAAACATTTCACACCACAAGTAGGTTTCCAATGAAATTTCACATAGTATGCCTTCCCAGCCTTGTTGATCAGCATGTAGGTGTTAACACCAGCACCTTCCATATGTCTATAATCTTGTGGAACACCCAAATCGTCAAAGAGGAAGGTGAACATGTGCAAACTTTCAGGATGGTGGGAGAAGAAGTCAAGAATTCTCCAGTTCTCCTGAATGTGTGACTTAGGGTTGGGCTTAAGGGCGTGCACCATGTCTGGGAATTTCATCCCATCACGGACAAAGAAGACAGGGAAATTGTTTCCCACAAGATCAAAGTTACCCTGAGTTAAGAAAAGGAAAGGCATAGAGAGTAAGAGATCTGGAAACTTGGAAAGTCAAAGCCATGAGCTTCATACAGTTAACTAGAATTAATTTATTTTTACATAAAAGAATAATGCACCAAAATGAAGTTAACAGATGCAAAAGGTTCTGCATAGTTGGTTGAATATAGCAAAGGAACAATGCCAGTGCACTGACACACGAATGGGAAAAAGAATTTTAAGTTCTCTATTTTCTTAAGTTGGTAGAACCTTCATCAAATCAAGCAGATAGAAATTTTGCAAACAATGCAATCATGACTATGAAACTTTGTGAGGATAGTAGTAAATTTAAATTCATCAATCCCTAAGGATATGATATATCTGCCAAATCAGTCTACACAAATGATTGCCTGTGTCATCATCATCAGTGCCTCATGCATTTGCTTTCCTCCACTATATCAAAGTAACAGAAATAAAACAAGACCTCACCTCTCTGGTGTAAAACTTCACTGCAAAACCACGAGGATCCCTCAGGGTTTCAGGGCTGCCACGCTCATGTATAACTGTGGAGAAGCGGACAATGACAGGTGTCTGAACTCCAGGGGCCCGAAGAAAATCAGCACATGTGAGGCTAGAGATATCATGGGTAACCTCAAAGAAACCCTTTGCACTGGCTCCCCTAGCATGGACAACACGCTCTGGAATCCTCTCCCTGTCAAAATTGGCAAGCTTCTCCACCAGATGGTAATCCTCAAGGAGGATTGGACCTGTCAGAGAAAAAAGCACATGAGATAAAACCTCTGCGTGGTAATTCTCAACTCTACATGCAAGCAAAAATACATTCGGTCAAAAAATTCACAGTTCATCTCCAAATCATACTACAACAATCATCATGAATTTTACAAGTAAAAAAGAGAGGGAAAAAACAAAATTCATTCTCCAATGCACAGATCTGGGGTAAGTTTATAAATGATGCCGTTTGGCATGAGGTGTGTCCTGCCTCATGATTCTGCTGGCTTTCTACAAAAACAAGCTTGAATCACAATATCGAACCTCAAATAAAAAAAGGAACCCAACCCAAAAAGGCCCCAATCCTCTAACCTTTCGCATCTGATTACAAAGTTCATATTCTGCCATAAGTTCGCCATCAGCATAATTATTTCGACAACTGTACAACAACACCTTACCTTTTTCTTACTTAAACCTTAATCCTGACTCTCTAAATATGCTGCATAATCCCTTCATCCTTAGCATTTAAAATTCAAACCACCACACATAGGAATCATCAAATAACCAATCATAACAACATAAGCTCGAAGAAATACTGATAATAATCCAAATTACAGCAGTAATCCTTCCAAAATTGGTAATTATTATTACATTCATCAATATAATAACATAACCAGACAAACATATACCTTAAACAATAGATTTATGGTGATAATATCACTATTTTTAACAAGAATACCTCTAGATCCAACGGTCAAAGAGGAGTTGTTGTTCCAAATCGGAGCTCCAGAATTTGTGGTCCAGTACGGAGAATTGAAAGCGCTCGACGGACGGTACTGCCATCACCACCGACACCAAATCAGTCAAATGATGATCAAACACAAACTTGAAGTCCAGCATATTAGTTAAGCTACAAACTCATTAAATTTTACGCATATAATCCATATTCAATCAAAAAAAGGAAACAAAAAAACATTTTCAATCAAGAAAAAAGGAAGAATAAAGAATCAGTACCCTGTAAGGATCCATGGCGAAAAAGATGAGAAAATTTTGAGGAAGAGGATGAGAAAGATAGAAACCAAGAAATCTAATGGTGGCGATGGAGAGAGAAGTGAAGTAACCAGAGACCAATCAAAGCAATGTTTGCTTGATGGGAAATGTATTTAATTATTTATAGCTTGCTTGTGCCTTGCACGTCCATTTTCTCTATCTTTATCCGGACAAGGGCGAGTGGTAATTATCGCGATAAATTGGCCACACGCCCTGGTCCACCTGGGGCAGTTCTGTAATTTCGGTTACATGGTTGTTGAACTTCGCAAATCATTCTTGCATATAACAACTAATTTCTTAGTTAAGTAAAAAAGAAAATCTTAGTGGATTAATGGTCTCTTTGGCTCCTCTCTTAATCTTTTCTTAGTTTGGTCTTTTAATTTTATTTTATTTTTTGGTTTTTTTATTGAGGTAGTTTCATCTTCGCACTTCTTTTTTAACGTTTAAAAGTAGAGTAAATTATAAATTAATTTCTCAAAAATAAATTAGTTAGTTCTCTTGTTTCAAAAACTAATTATTATTATTATTTTATTATTATGAAAATATTGACTAGAAAAATATATTTTTTAAAATAAAAATGATATTAAAATAAATATGATCAGCACCTATCAAATAATTAAATAATTAGTTTTTATATACAAAATATTAATTAATTCGTTTCTTAAAACCAAATGGACTGATTTATAATTTAATATAAAAAAATGTGAAGATTAAATGTTGTTGTTAAATGCAACCAACAAGGCCATGTAATATAATTTTTTAAAAAACACAGTGTGCTTGATAATGAAAATTAAATCTATTATCGATACAATATCTAAATAATTATATAGTAAGGAGTAGAAGATAAATGATGTTAACGAAGTAGAATAAAATTGAGTTTTGAAAAACCAAATGCAGTCGGAAAAAAGAATTAATGATAAGATGACAGAGTAAAATGTTCTCGATATTGTCAAATTTTATTAATATTATTGTGCAATTTCTTATAATGTGGAGAAACAAGCTAAACTACCCTTGTAAGGATAATGTTTACTAACACTGAGGATAATGTTTTCGATTCTAATTAGATTCTTACCTGTGGAATTGTTGGGCTATAAATAATCGGTCCTCATTTTGTCATAAAGTTTCGTGATAAATTGGAGTCTCCGCTGATATTTAAGGTAAATTATAGATCAGTCCCTCTAGTTTTTAAAAATCAATCAAATAATCCCTAAAGTTATTAACATTTTTTTCTGATTAAATGTGTGCTATTTAATTTTTATTATTTGAGCAGACTAAATTGCAATTTTTTTTCTAATCAAGTATTTTTAATAATTTTTTACTAATTTTTATACTATTTGCACATATAGACCTTTTAATAGAACTCAAATCAATACATGTCTATCATGTCATTACAAAAATATTAATGCATGTCTTATTAGATGGTTCATGTGTGCATATAACAAAAAAATCGACATAAAGTTAACGGAAAATGCTTGATTATAAAAAAATTACAACTTAATCTAATTAAATAATAAAAATTAAAAAACACACATTTGATTAGAAAAAAAATGGAAGAATTATGAGAAAAAAGATTTTTTAAAATAAATAATATTGAATTAATACCTTTTTGGTTAAAAAATTAATTAATTTATTCCTTGATCAAGGTTATTGATATTATTTTGTTTCAAAAAAATATTTTTTTCTTACCAATCTTTACATTTTTTTTTTTGAAAACAAAATAAATTAAAAAAAATAGTTAAGTTACAAATAGATTTAAAAATATAGAGACCCATTAATTAGTTTTTGAAACTACAAACTATTTAATTTATTTGGGAAAACTAGAGGGACTGATTTATAGTTTACTCCTGATATTCAAGCATACGATGGTAAAAAAACAAAAGAAAAATAGAGGGCGGGACCCACATGTTGATATCATTATTTATTTATGGCGAGAAAAGCAAGATCTGGAGGGGCAAAATTAAAAAATAATACTAATAATTGAGAACGTCATCCGTTCATGGTTCCTTATCCAAGTTTTGGTGTTTTGCTGAAACCAATTCATATCCACGCTTGGCAGGAGGTGACATGGACCACTTCTTTCATGACACGTATGCAAAAATACCTTGAAACGTGTGCCTCTAAACCAGGGAAAAACGATCCCTGAGAGATATGAAGAGCCGCTGCTTTGGTTTTTTTCGAGAGAGAAGGTTCTATTAGAAAGATTTTAATGGGCGACGAGGTGGGATCTTAGCCATATGAGGTGATTTCTGTCCTTCCGTAAGCCTTAAATGCTCAGTTCTCTCGATTCCGTTCACACTTGTTTTTTTTATTATATAAGTTAACGATTAAATATGTTATTATATAACAGCATAATCATTTAACATGTTTTCATAATTCTAATTGATTCAATTTTATTTTTAAATATAAATGTTTAATATATATTTTTTTATGAGATTTTCAATCTAACTTATTAAAATTAATCATATGATTTATTTATTAAAATCATTTATTTAACGAATTTTACACATATGGAGATCTTTGGACAATTTGATTTTTTTTATTGTGATTTTAAGTATTTTTTTGTCTAGTTTAAGAATTCCACTCTTATGTGTTGTTTCGGATCTTAATGTATTACGTAAGCACACGTAACAAGTTGTGACAAGTTCAAGTTTTAGTTAATGATAACTTGCCAAGTGTCATGATTGACTCGGATTAGATGATTGAATTAGTGACATAACAAGTTATTATTGGCTAGAACGCACACGTTGTAAGTCGTCATTAGTTAAGGTCCGAAACAACAACATAGGAATAGAACTCCTACATTGGATAAAAAAAATTTAGGTTCTCAATCAAAAAAATCCGATTTGTACGAGGTCTCAATATGTATAAAACCCTTTAGTTAAGTCAATACTTATAAGGATATTTTGAAAATAAAAATTGATTATGTATAAATTACGTAAATAATTTTGGTGATTTGGTTTAAAATTTTTGACAAAAAATAAATTAAAAATTTAACATATATATAAGAATAAAATTAACTCAATTAAGAATATAAAAACAAATTGAAGAATTATTTTATTATATAAGATAAATTAAACTAATACCTTTTTAATAAATTCACTTGTAATTTTCTGGAAACTAAAAAGGAAAAAAAAGAAAAAAAAAAAGGAGGTGAGGGGCTGGAGTTGGTAATTCTTGTTTGATAAATATCTTATGGAGTAAATTATAATTCAATCCGTGTAGTTATAAAAAATAAATAAGTTGATTTTTTTCTTGGAAACGATTGATAAAAAAAACATTTTTTTAAAAAATAATATTAAATTAAACATAATTAATATGGATTAAAAAAACTAAATAATTAATAATTTTTTTATATTAGAGCAATAGGCGGATCCTGTCCTGCTCTACTTACATAGCAAAATACCCAAGGTAGCTTGCAAGTTCCTCGGTTTTTATAAATTCTTATTTATTATATAGAGATATTTTGTTTTTACCAAATTACAAAAATGAATTTAATTGTAACCAATGAAAATTGATAATAATAACTCAAGTAGTAGAAAAATACTGTTACATTAGCTGAGATCAATTTTAAATTTTTACAGATTGAACTCAATTACAAACTATTTTTTAAAATAATTTAATATTATGATTTTTTTTTTTAACATATAATTCCTCAATTATAAAAATATTTACCAAATCATACTGGATACCTTACATTTATATTCACACTAAAGCAAAGGAACTTGAAAATATAATTTACTCTTACATATCAAGTTAATCACAAATTCAGTTTACTAAATTGTCTATTTTTTCCTAATCAATTGTGTCTTCTTTAATCTTGATTATGTGAGTAATCCAAATTATAATTTGTTTTTAATCAAGTGTCTCTGATAAATTTTTCTTTCAATTTTTCTCCTAAATGAGATATATTTTACGCATGTTAGTCATGTGATTGTCATGTGTGAGATGCGCATAAATGGAAAAAAAAAAAAAAAACTAAGAACGCAGTTGCTGTCACCAACCACACCATCCTTATCATCAATCACCCCACTGCCTCCAGCAAATCCAAACACAGCTGCCGTTCAAACCACCCTCCACCACCACTTGCAACCACCCGAACCTCAACTCTAAAACAATCCGTTCTTCCTATAGTCCTGTAGCCATCATTTAACTTTTCTCTCTACCGTTAACCACCATTGTTTTCGTCTCTCTAACAACAATCCAACCTCTGCCAGTCTAACATCTACCAATCAACCTCCATAACAACCCATTCTCCAACAACTACAACCATTCCAACCTCTAATAGCCATACCTCCATAACAACCCAACATCCGGCAGCCACCTTCAGAGACTTAACACTACAATAACTCTCAAATCAATGACCTAACAAGCACCCTAGATTGACCATGATGACGAAATGAAGATTGGTGATAAGGAGTGGCTTAGCCAATATAAGATAAGAGTCGTAGGCATGAAGAGAAAAGGGTTGAAATTATAATGAAGATAATGGCTCAAATTGGAACACCAAATTTTATAGCTGACCTAGTTGTTGATTTGGCAAGCGCATAGCTAAATTGTTTGACTCAGTGGGTAAAAAAGACGAAGAGGAGCAAGTTGGGATTGACGAGGTTGTGAGAGATGAAGAGCTAGGATTCTTCACATACATTCTTCTTATTGGTGGGAGGTGCTGATGCTAGTTTTGGTTGGGAAAAAGGATGGAGATACAACCGTAGAGTGATGGTAGTTGTTGGCAACAGAAGCTACGTTCTTAGGTTTTCTTCTGCTTCTTTTTTTCATGTCATTTACACGTAGCAACCATATGTCTCATACGTAGCTGTTACATCATTTCCACATATAAAATAATCCCATTAACGGGTCATGTGTGAATATAAAAAAAAATTAACAAAAAAAATTAACAAAAACACTTGGTTAGAAAAAATTATAATTTAGATTACTCGAACAGCTAAAATTAAAAAAGACACTTTTAATTAGAAAAAATTGATGATTTTATAAATTGAATTTGTGATTAATTCCTTATACATGTCGTAAGTAGCAAGAAAAATAGAATTGGAACCCTAAAGGGACCGACCCGGTTACCCTTGCGAGAATGGTAGGTCACGTTGCTTTCTGTGCTCTTCCGGGCCACAAAGGCTAATAAGGTGATGATACGTTGCTAAGTCTGACTTTATGTGGGCATCGAGTGCTTATGGTTGTTTTGGCCAACGCAAGCCATCTAGAATTGAACCGTACATGGATAAGGATTGCGGCAGAATGCCTTGTTTTGGCTTCGAGTAGGGTCTGGAGAAATATTTGAGCTGCAAAGTTTCCTTCATTTTTGCAAGTCCATTTGCAATTAGCTTCATGGTTCCAAATAATGGCCCACGTATAACATAATATAATGGTTATTATTTAATGGAATTGACCGTGTTTGTTGTTGTTATATGTTATTATTGAGAACATAACGAGGTTTTATATAAATAACAATATTTTATGTAATTATTGTAGTTATTATCATTTTTCGATGAATAACAATTATCATATCAAAAAGATGTTTTATTATTATTGTTCATTATTGTTTGTGATATTAAACTATTAAAAAGGGTATTAATTTTTCTTTTGCAATAAATTCAAATGTTATTGTATTATATTAAACTATTAGATATATTATTAGCATACTTAATTAGTAAAACTCTTAAAAATATATCAATTAGAATAAATTTATTATCAGCTTCAAGCTTACTAATATATTTACAATATAAATTGTTACGATTGTTATTTTATTATCATGATAAATTACAATCCGTGATCACAATTACAATTATAATCATTTGTACAACCTCATTTATGATTTAAAACTATATATACTTAGCCTTTGATTATGAGATTTATGAGTTCACCTACTCTGATTCAGATTTCAAAACCCAAAGCGAGATGACAGTAAATAAATAAGTACTGAATACCCGATTACTGGATGTCATGTTTATAATCACTACAATTTAATATGGGCAGAAAACATTAGAAATTTAGGATGTTTAAGTTGAGGCTATTATCTCAAATGTGCTCAGCTTTGCTCATAAGCTGTAAGAGAGAATTTGCCTTCCTCTGTGCTCTATTGGTTCCACTCTTGGAAATCTCAACTAAATGCTCGTATACACCAAATTGAAGTGCTGCAAGCATGAAAGACGAGTTGTTTGATCCCAACTCAAGAAGAACTGATGTTGCACATTCTTTGTTTTTGGGGGTGCCTTCTTTCATGATTTCTACAAGGGTTTCGATAAACGAAAGCCGTCCGATTTCATTTCGGCCTTCCGGATGGGATGCAAGAAGCAGAAAGATTGACAGTGCTTCATCAACCATGCCCAAATTCCCGTCCTTGACCAACTGCAGTAATGGTGTGACAATGCCAGCATCTATAGCCCTACCTTTATTTGAATGGTTAAGGGATAAGTTAAAGAGTGCAGTGGCAGCATCTTTTTTACCCCTTACAGTCCCATTCTGTAACAAATCTATTAATGGTGGGATGCCATCGGACAACCCTATGGTCACTTTGTTCTCATCAAGCATTGATAAGCTAAATAAAGCTGCTGCAGAGTTCTCTTTAGCCTCAGTAGTTCCACTATTCAAAACTTCTATTATAGCTGGAATAGCTCCCTCTTTAGTTATGAGTCTCTTGTTATTCTCATCAATAGACAAATTCAACAAAGCCGTTACGGCATGCTCTAGAATTTTAGAATCTGGATAGGACAGGAGTTGAATCAATGGTGGGATTCCTTCACTGTTGGCAATCAAAATTCTGTTCTCAGGATTCTCTTTGGAGAGCATACGAATTTTCTTCACAGCCTTTCTCTGCACTTCTAGCTGACTAGAAGACAGTTCCTTAACCAAATAGGAGATCTTTTCTAGGTGTTCAGAGGAAGAGGGATCGGAGTCCGAGCTTGCAGGAACGATCTGTTTTTTGGGAAGTTCAAAATTGTTCTTCTCACACCATTGCAAGATTAGGTTTTTGAGGGCATAATTTGGTGCCAATGACAGTTGAGCCAGTGTTTCCCGAGTCTTCGGACAGGTCCGGTGATTGGAATCAATCCACTTCTGTATGCTTTCTCTTTCATATGTCTTTAGTGGATCACCAAGGGAAAGAAAGAAGATCACAGATTAGTCTCACATAAGTAACAACATGATCGAGTCAAGTTTCTTAGACATGTTAATATCAGAAGCTCAAAGGAAAATTTTACTTCTTTTCTCTCATGATTTACAATCTGAAGCTGATTCTGAAAAACTTGGTTTTTGGTTTGAATTCTGAAGCTTATCCTGAAAAGCTTAGCTTTCAAACCTTGCTTGTTTTTTCCATATACCGAAGAATTATAAAGAAAGATGTTTCACTTGGATATGGCTGCTTACCTGCCCACTTGCAACAATTACAGGATCTGTCATTATTTCCAGTGTGATTGGACAGAGGAATTCATGTGGTATGATCAGGGACGAGCTCTTCTCCAGCATTTTAGGCACAACAGGAGTATCGTGCATATCGGTTACTTCCATGCCTAAAATTTGTCTGAATTTGTTAAGAAGATCAATCATCTGCTGGGTGCTCTCAGTAACTTGATTCCCTCTCTCTTTAACAAGATTCCTCATAGCTATTGTTTCATTCTCCAGGTCTTCAATACTATGCAGCTCTAGCTTTTTTGCTAGCCTTTCGATTATGGCTCTGTCAGCATTCCGATCATCCTTTTTCGGTAGTACCACCATCATATCCATTGCAAGCTCTATATCCTGTGTATCCGTTCTCCTTTTTGCTCGTCTAAGCTGCTCTCGCATCAGCTCAACCTGAACAACCATGTAAAATTGTTTCAGATTTTTATACTACTACGAAATAGCTTGCAGAAATATGAAAACAAATCAACAGAAAGTGTCTCAAGCAGACACATAAACCTATCATCAAACTGCTCGTGTAGGTTCATGCAGGAGTCCAGCAACTTCATGTCGCTGTAGCAATCATTTTGATTCCAATACCTACCAATCAAATTAAACCTCCAAAAAGGCTACAGAGACTTCAAAAACATGAAGAGCACAAAATTAATTTGAATGTTAACTTTCCTTTTCCATATCATTTGTTCACGAAATCAAGCCAAGCCAAGCCGAGCAAAAATGGTCAAGCAGGGCTAGTTCATCTTGATCACATTCACCAACATGATATCGAAAATATATTATGGCTAAACCGATACCTTTGGACTATCAAATACACATTGAAAACCCCATTCGAAGCAAATTCATGAACTGCATGATGGGAAAAAAATTGAAGGAAGAACAAGAAACATTCATTAAAATTACCAAAATTAAAATGCTTAATATACCTGTTCTTTCACCTCATCAGAGATCTCAAATTCATCGAAAGGCACGGTTTTGAGAGCTTTCCATAATTTTTCAAGCACGAGATGAAATTTCATCATAACTGCCTCATTCTCCACAACCTGAAAAACAAATAAGTCACTTTAAAATAGGAAATAATAAAAAAAATAAAAGATATAATCCTAATTGAAAATTAATATCTAAAATCCTGACCAGATAAATTTTGCTTCCTTCATTACAAGTTGTTAACAACTTCTTGGCCAAAACAAGTGGCTTCTTCAAATTACTCAAAGACGAAATACCCTGCTCAGAAATTGGCCCATCAAAATCCTTTATCTCCTCTAAAAATGGCACCATAAGTTTCATCCGTCTAACAAGGCCATAACATTCCTTCTTATGACTTCTTCTGTAATCTCTAAGTTTAGAAACAGATTCAATCACGCTTAACATCTCTTGAACAATATCAATTCCCTCTCTTGGGCTTGAAGCATTTGATTCAGCACTTTCCTTATCTCTTTCTCCATCCATTACCATCTGCTGCTTGCAATCTTCCTCAAGAAAACTTGTGGATTCCAGCTGGGTTTTAGACATGTAATCGACCTGGGACGTTTTGCATTAAAAAAAAAATTGAAAATTAATGCTTGTGAGGAAAGAGAACGTGACGGTAACCGAACCCTAACCCTAATTCTTGATGAATTTTTTAAAGCTGTGTTTCTTTGATGGATGTGACCCTCTTCGCGGGCTTTCCGGTAGTTTGATTCTTAAAATAGATTTTGAAATTTAGTTAGAACGTTTGCCTTGTTTGTCAAGCCTGTCATGTCTTTTAATCAGTTACTGAACTTTTTTTTGTTTGGCATCCAACATTAATATAGAAACCCATTTTAGAAAAAGAAACTCTTAAGTCTATCGGGCCGGTTGATCTAATAGTTAAGAAAATTTATTTAATTTTTTAAATTAAAATCTTGCGACTAATACTTAGGTGTTGTTTGATAATCAAGAATAAAGTGATGTAAATGAGAATGAAAGTTTTATTCCTACGTTATAACTCGTTGTTAAAAAGAATAAAAAGGAAATGAAATTGAAGAGTAAGAATGAAAATGAAAATTTACATATAATTTTATTTTCATATAAGATGTGGAAATAAAAAAAGAATGAGAAGGAATTTTTTCCCTTCAAAATAATAATATATTTTATTTATTTATTATCTATTAATTAATTTTATCACACCCACCATCACAACCATCGTCATCACCACTACAACCAACACAATCGCTATCACCACCACAACCAACACAACTACTATCACAATCACTACCACCACTACCGCCACCATCACCACCACACCATCTTTTTTTTAATTATTTTTACAACTATTATAGTTTTATAAAATTAGTTTTTAATCATTATTTTTATTTATATAAAAAATCAGCTATTAAAAAATTTAAATTGCATTTCGATTTCCAATTAGTATTCCAAATACAGTATAAAAATACAAATGCTATTCTAATTCTTTAATTTTCATTTCGATTCTTGCATTTTCATTCACATTATTTTATTCCTAATTACCAAACAACATCTTAAAATAATTTATTAAAAAAATTGAAATACATCATATCAGTGTTGTAGATGCGTCCTTAAAATTATCTAAAAAACTCAATTTTAATTAATACTCGAAATGGATACTTTTAAAATCTATAGGTATCATGAAATAAGTGTTAAATAGCTTAAAGGATATAATTAAATAAATTTTGAAGTTCGCAGGTGACATGACATCTTAAGCATACTTTTGGTTTCGCTCCTACCTATAATAATTCTATTCAACATTATTTAACAGACCAGGTTAACGAAACTAAACGGTAAAACAAATATATTTTTTATTTAAAATATTTTTAAATTATAAAGCAGTGATGTGTTGGTAAATAAGTATCTGACTTATAAACTAGATTTATGATTCAATTTTTATGTTTAACACTTTTAAAATTTATTCTCAAAATATTCAAAATCGTACGTCAAGAAATATTCTTTAGTCACATACAAAAAATAATTAATCTCAAAATGCGGAATAGTTAGTCCAATGACACTTTTATTTCTAAACTTAGAAAAAAAATTATCAAGTTATTTTATACGAACAAATGTAGTATTGTTGCTAGTTCTGGTATATTTCTATAATATTGTTGGTACGTCACCCATGCCCAAAAATTAGCTCGGGAATATTCATATTCCTAAACCTAAAAAAGGAAAAAACAAACAAGTTATTATATATGAACCAGATGTGTAGTTTTTTTGCTGGCTCTTGTAGCATGTTTCTATAATATCATTGGTACGTCACCCTCCCATCACATGATTTCTCGCATTGCTTGCACTGAGAAAGTTATTATGATGGAATGTTTTCTTGCCCAATTTTTGGTTTCCATTTGTCTTTCCCCTTTGTACCTTAATTTTGTGCTAATCATTGGTTTTCTTCCTTTTTCTGTGGCATAAAATGGACCATCATTTTGGCTATCAAAATTCAAATTTCTCACGTTTCATTTCCAAATATGAAATCCTTGACTTATCAAACGATATGAATCAAGCAATATGATTTTTAAATGGATTAATTAACCTTGATTTGGATCATGGATACCAAATTTTAGCTGGTAAATAACAGCCTTAAAACAGTTTGAATTTTACAGCTCTGACTCCCTCCTTTGTGCTAGGAATACAACTATGTTTAAGGATACTTTCCATAGACATAACTGAATGGGTATAACTTGTTGCCAACTATCTATAATTTAGCCATGTTAATCCCACTTGGGGTTTGGTGATTTTGTCAATCCTGTGAGAGATAAGATCGACAAAATGGTGTAATTTATTTCCTATCATTCCTTTTTCATTTCAAGAAAAAATAAGCCTGGAGTTTTTAATGCTGTGGAGACACAACATTCAATCAAAACCACACAAATTCCATGGAGTATTAATCAATTATATGATGGAATTTCTTAAGTTTTGGCATAATCCACACCAAGGGCCAAACCAATAGCTTCTTTCTTTTTTTATACGTTAATGGCAACCAGTTCTTTGTTAACCTAAAAACTTCCCAAAAATTTAGGAGGGTGCAGATTCAAGACAGAATGTTCAAACATGTAAACAACAGCCTTTTAATGCGTTTTAGTTGAACTATTAAACTGTAAAACAAATTGTTTGAAGTATTAATTAATGCTAAATAGTGAAAAGCTGTTTTGAATTTTTAGTTAATAGACAAAAAGTTCATAATATTTTTTTAATCTGATTTAAGTTTTAAACTTTTATTTGATCCATAATTATTTCCTCTATTTTACACAATATTAAATACATTTGAGAGGATATATATTATTATTTTAATAACTTATGCGTCTTTCACATGTAGATAATGTAGTTTGAAATTAATCAATAAAATAAAATGATTTAATTACAATTGAAAAAAAAAATGCTAAACTGGAAGCAACACATTACTATGGACAAAAAATTCTGGATACTTTATGCCCAATTATTCTTAAAAACAAACGATGCAAGGTTGTAAATGACAAGGCTTAAACTTGTTTCAAAAATCGAAAATGAGATGGTGGGATTCATAACTCCTGACATCAGCACCCAAAGAGAGCAGCAAAAAAAAAAAAAAACGATAATACAGTTCTAGTTGGAATGAAGTCAAGATGCTGCCTAAAACGACAGACCATTTTTCGAGAGAGATGGTATTTTTTATCATCATTTCATTCTTACAAAATAAATTTTTGATTAAATTATTAATTAGTCCTTATTTTTATAAAAAAAACTGCAAATTTTAGTCCTTTTAATTTTATAAAACTCAAACCAAACCTTTGACTAGCTTTGGCCATTCATTTGTTAACAAATCCACTACGTTTTTATCTAAACTGGAAGCTCAGCACTTCAGTAGTGGAAACTAACGAAAGCACTGAAATATTAAAGGTTATAAAGTATGAGGATTAAATATTTAATTTTTTGAATCTATAGGGATTAAAGTGTTAGTTTCTTAAAATAAAATGACTACGTTAATCTTTTCTTCTATATTACATAGTCAGAGTCACTCCAAAGTGCCAGACTGCCAGCTCCCTGTTGTCGGAACGCAGTTCAGATTGGCGAAGACCGAACAGACAAGTAAATTATAAATTAGTTCTTATAGTTTCAAAAAATGAATCAATTGGTCTTTATTGTTTTAAAAATTAATTATTTAGTTTTTATATTTCTAATTTTTTATAATTTAATCCTTTTCATTATTTTTAAGGTTATTTTTATTTTATTTTAATAAATAAAAAGATAAATAAAAATATGGAAATATTGATAAGAAAAGAATACATTTTTTAAAATAAAATAATAATGATCAAGAGACTAAATAGTTATTTTTAAAATTAAAAGGACTATTTAATTATTTTTCAAAAACTATAGCGACTAATTTGCAATTTACTATACCGAATCGTGACTCACTTCTCGTTTAAGGAAAAAAGAAAAAGAAAAAAGAAGACATGGTCAGTCTACATTGCAACTTCATCATCAATTTGATTCTGATGGTTTCTCAGTCGTCCGATTCATCAACAACCCTAAATTTTGAAAATCCAATCAAGGTTCAATGATGTTGATTATAGCGTCCTAATTTGGAACTGAGCATCTAAGTTTAGGATGTCCCATCCATTAACGGTAAGCGAAAGGTGTCGCCCACGTGTCACGCAGCAACGTATTAAAAGGAAACTTCCGTCCTGTGGTGCCTACTGCTGAAGAGCGTACGACACCTAAAAACGAGCACAACGTACAATGATAAAATCACAAGCCTGTCACTCAACAATTCTAAACTCAACAGTCAATGAATAATAAGTATGTAAATCCTGGTTCAAGTAATAAGTATGCCCAATTTTTGTTGTGATTTGACAATTAAATGATTTCATAATAGTTTTCTCACATTAAATAGAGTAAATTATATTTATTATTGTATTTAATTAAAAATATTCTACCAATGTTAAAAATCTATGATAATTATACTTCTCATAACTTATTTTAAATGAGATCTAATACTTAAGACGAGAACATACACATATATATTTATTTTAAGAGATTAATTTTAGATAGAATTTCGAATGATATCAAATATTTATATGTATATTATGTAAAAACAATTACTAATATTTATTTTATGAATTTATTTTAAAAAATAAACATAAAAATAAAAGACTTATATCCCACCCAGAAATAAGAATATTTTGATATAGATTTTTTTCTATTTTATTTCTTTTTTTGCATTTTTTTTTTTACAAAGTAAGTATTATATAAAAAATTTTTGTTTGCAAATAACAAATGACACTACTAAAAAAATTACCAAATACGCTAGCTTCCCAAATCAATTTTTCTTGCAACGTGGCATAAAATTACTGGAGATTCAAAATTTCCAAGGTGTCATGTCCTCGATTGGGTGCAAGGTGGGGTTATAAGAAGAATTAAAGAGTAATAAACCCCTTGCTTTAAAGACAACCGACCCTTAAGAGGGCTGTGTAGTAAGGATAAGGAAAAAAAATTATGAAAAAAAACCACACACAATAATAATAGTAGAAGACAGTAGAGTGGAGTAGAGTAGAGTAATGAAGCGTGTGGAAAATTTTTTAAAAGGGGCACATGGCAATGTAGCCGTTGTGCAGCACACAGGAGAACGCGACTTTTCAATCAGATAAGATCTGACGGTCATAATTTACTAGCCGTTGGTTTTAAAAACTGAGAGAGACGAGGGCACAGACATAAATCCGATATTTGCGTCTCAATTTCGCTTAACAGTTCGTCTTTTTATTTCTTTCTTTCTTTCTTCTTCCTTTCTCTTCCTTCCTTTGCATTTTTTTTAAAGCCACATAAATTTTCAGTACCAGAGCCAGAACCAGAGGGAGAAGAAGAGAGAAAGAGAGAGAGAGATCGTAATCCATTAATGGGGTTCTTTTGATTGGTCTCTCTCTAATATCAAGGCACGGGCTTTAAAGGAAGAAGAAGCTTAAAAGGATTCTTGAATTTGAAGGTGAATAATTTGATTGTATGATCTGGGTTTTGCGTTTTGATCTTAATTCTTGATTGGGTATTTATCTATTCTTTTAACGAAAACTTAATTAAATCAAAATTTGTACCTTTATTAACTTTCTTTATAGATATTTAGCTGTTTTAATATTTTTTCTGGGGGTTTTCTTTATTGATAGACAACAATGGCTGGATCCGAAGAGAACAACCCGGGGGTGATCGGACCCGGAAATATTCATGGTAATAAAAGACCCCAAAAAGTTTTATTTACTTTTTATTGTGTATTTGGTTTGAAAAATGAAGTTTTTTTTAAGGTATTAAAACCCTAATAAGAAATGGGATTTTTTTTTTCAATTTTGAAGGGGGTTTACGTGGCGGAGTAGGGAAGTTTCCGGCGGCGTCCGGAACTAATCGCCGGGCGTTGAGCAACATTAATCGGAACATCATCAGAGGTCCACCGTACCCCTGTGCTGTCAACAAAAGAGGGTTATCAGAGTAAGTTTTCATAAACCCTAATTAATCTTTTATCTCTTGTTTGGTTCCTAAAAAAATGAAGTAAAAGCAAAGACAGTAGGCACTTGGGGTGGCGTGGAGTTTTTCTTTTCTAATCTATTTTCTTCGGTCTTGAATTATGAAAAGTTTGAATCTTTCTTTTAGCTTTGCTTGTCTTGCCTTTGATTACTTACTTTTGATGTTTTTTTCCTTCTGTTTTTGTTTTCTGCTCTTTGGTTTTTAATTTAGAAGAGAAGCTATTTGTAACAAGAACCCCCCACCAATTCCAGTGCATCGACCTATGACTAGGTATCTAATTGACCTTCGTTTGATGTTGAATGTGTTTGTTTTTAATGTCAAAGAATTGATCTTTTAATTGAATTGTTTTGGTGTGCTTCGTGATGTTTGTTTAGGAAGTTTGCGGCCCAGCTTGCTAACAAACTTGAGCAACAACCTAAACCAGGGGTAACTTTGAAAACAACTTGAATTTGCTGGTAGTTATAGGGTTGAGGACGCATAGGGTTATGAGATTGGATTGAGAGTTGTTTGTGTTAGCAGGAAATTAAGAAACCAGTTCGCTCGGTTCCAATTTTTAGCGAGTCAGAAGATTGTAAAATCATAGATGTGGAAGACTACAAGACTAGTAATGACTTTTCTGCACCGATGTTTGTGCAACATACAGAGGCAATGCTGGAGGAGATCGACCGGATGGTATTTGCAATACAACATTTTTAATTTGTTTGTATTGCTATGGTGTAGCTTTGGTTAGGATGCCATTGATGTCTTGGGTTTTCTGCAGGATGAAGTTGAAATGGAAGATGTTGAAGAAGAGCCGATCATGGACATAGACAGCTGTGACAAGAAGAATCCACTTGCTGTAGCTGAATACATTGATGATTTATACAATTTCTACAAGAAAGCAGAGGTGACCCAGAATCTATTTTCTTTTTCAATTCGTGAAAGATAAACAAAGATTTAATAGCATTCGTTCATCTTCTTCTTGTTGTCATGTCCTACTGTTTCATTGTTTTCTTGCTTGATCTTTTGTCAATTGGATATTATTTTACTTTGTAAGATTTGATTAGGAAGCACTAGCCTAAAAGATTGCCCAGTGATTGCTAGGCAAATAGGAGAAGCCATAAATTTATGTTGGAAGGTCTATATGTCCAATCATTTGGTGTTGGTTGATGGGAAATGGCCGCTGATGGTAATGGTTTATTTTCCTGTTCAGTTTCCTTACTGAACTTTTCCTGGAAAATTGATTGCAGAGATCTGGCTGTGTCCCACAAAGCTACATGGCACAGCAATTTGACATTAACGAGAAAATGAGAGGCATTCTCATTGATTGGTTGATTGAGGTATACAAATACATTATTAATTCCTTAAATAATGCTTAAAAGATTGAGAGTTGGTTACCTGGTTTCATCTGAACTGGTTACAAATTTGATGGGATTAACAGGTGCACTACAAGTTTGAATTGATGGAGGAGACCTTATACCTCACCGTAAATCTCATCGATAGATTTCTAGCCGTGCACCCGGTAGTGAGAAAGAAACTCCAGCTCGTAGGAGTGACAGCCTTGCTGCTTGCATGCAAATATGAAGAAGTATCAGTTCCAATTGTGGAGGATCTCATTCTGATTTCAGATAAAGCATACAGCAGAAAGGAAGTGCTTGACATGGTATATATATATTATTACTTTATCATTCTTTATTTGAGATCATAGTAATTATATCAGAATGTGGATGGATTTCCATTGATATGATTTTTGATTCCTGCAGGAGAAGAACATGGTCAACACTTTACAGTTTAATCTATCTGTTCCCACTCCTTATGTTTTTATGAGGAGATTCCTAAAAGCTTCACAATGTGACAAGAAGGTTGGTGCTGATATTTACTTGAAGAATTTAACTTGCACTTACTGGACTTGAAATGAAGCAATATTTGATTAAACTGGTTGTTATTTTCAAGCAGATTGAACTTCTTGCATTCTTTATAATCGAGCTTTGCCTCGTCGAATACGGCATGCTAAAGTTTCCACCCTCATTGTTAGCTGCTGCTGCCATATATACCGCTCAATGCACCCTTAGTGGAACAAGGCAATGGAGCAAGACTAATGAGTGGTACACTAGCTACTCAGAAGAGCAACTCATGTGAGTGTTTCTTTGCCTGCTTAAGAAGAAGTTGGGGTTTGCTTTTACGTCTTGCTTGACAATTTTCTAACTTAAGTTTGGTGTTTTCTTTTTCCATATGGGGTTTTTTTACAGGGAATGCTCAAAGCTTATGGTTAATTTTCATAGGAATGCTGGAACAGGGAAGCTAACAGGTGTACACAGGAAGTATAGTACCTCAAAATTTGGTTACACAGCAAAGAACGAACCTGCTAACTTCTTACTGGATTCTCCATTTTAGCAGGATAAAGATGAATTGACATAAAAAGACTAACCTTATTCGAGTAAAGTTTGGGGCTGGGGTGGTCAATACATAGAGAGCAACTTAAGTTGCCCCTGGAAGAGGGTTTTCTTGTTCTTGAACATAATCAATCAGGCATAGCAGAGGAGTTCTTTTTGAACATATTCTTTCTTTTATGATGCTATTTGAATATAGCAGGCTGTTGTCATTCTCTTTTCTCCAAGAGTAACTAGAGACTTTTTAAGGCTTTGAACATTTGTCATTCTCTCTTCTCCAAGAGTAAATAAAGACTTTTTAAGGCTTGATTTTCTGTGTATTTAATCCTTTTGAACTAATGATTGAAGAAGATGGGTATTATTATTGTTGTTTTAAATGCTTAAACTTTTGCCCGTCTGGCGATTTTTCTCTCTCTCTCTCTCTGTGCCTTGTCTGTATCAGGATACAATTCTTAACTATAAAAACAAGAGGAGATTTCGAAGTCTCAGCAAAATTGTTGATTATTATTATTATTATAAATTTGTATGAAAATATCATTCTTTTTATTTATTTATTTCAATTTAGTTATTAAATGATATCTTGGAATCATTTCACTTATTTTAGATTAATTCATAATTTAAATTTTAGGAAAAAGGGAGAGTAATTGTAAATTATAAATTATACATAGTTCTAAATAAGAGAAGTTATTAACATAATAACGATCATTATTTAAAGGGATTGAGTGTATACATATGTTTTTTTATGTCATTACAAGAAGTACAATGATGTTTTACATAAATAATAATATTGTTGTATAATTTTTTATAATAAATTATATTTAATTATTGTTCACATAATATTAAACTACTGGAAACGTTATTAATTTTTTTAATAAATTAAGCTACAATATTATGATATCAAATTATTAAAAATATTATTATTTTATTTTATTATTAAAATTATTAAAAATATATATATTCACAATATAACTATCGCAACTTTTATTTTATTGTGGTCCATGACAACTCATGATTTACAACTAGGTCTGCAATTCAGCTCTTAAGTTGTATCATTAGCGAAATTGGTCACAAATGCAGCGGTGGTTCATGGAAATAAATGAAAGTAGACACGTGTATCCAGCTACCACGCACCACGTTTCGCTTTCAAATAACGATCAGCCACGATTCATCTATGTGGAAGCCTAATCCTTGAAAAAACAAATCAAAACAAAAAGCTCCCTCTCCTCTGAGCCAAAACACACATCCTTTTCAAGTTGATCAAAAAATCTGTGTTTTTGTGTCTGGTTCTCATTATATTTCGTGTTCAAGTTGTCGATAGAGATGGTCCCTTGAATATCCAACCAGGTAAAAAATTGAAAACAAAAAGAAATCACTTTTTACATCGAATCTGATATGTTATTGTTAGGGATCATCATCCATGTTCATGGGCCATGGCTTTTTTTTGGTTTGTTTAGAGATATTTCAAGGTACTGTTACTGTTATTGTTTTTGAGATAAGAATGTGGTGCAGGATTGATAATGGCTTCGGATTTTTTGTCAAGTTGGTGTGTTGTGTTTCTGGCAGATTCTAGCTTTCTCTCTAGTTAATTCAATTATTATTAGGTTGATATTATTATTTAATCCAAATTTCTGTTAATATGTCAACTTTGATCAATTGAGTTTGATGGGTTTTCTTTATTTGACCTATGAAAATTTCATAGCCATTAACTTGTCGTAAAAAAATCTAATACAACCGTCCATGCCTTCCTTTTCCAGATAGATAAGGTGTTGACCCCTCCCTCGGTATGTCAAGGCCCCTATTAGTATTGCTGATTTTATAGCGTAAGCGTGTCAAGTGAGTGAGGGTATTGTTTTGTTTTGTTTTATTTTTTTCCCTTCATAGTAAGGAAGAGATGATGGAAGAGAAAGAGAAGAAGTTTCTCACAGTAGCACCATTCCAGTGTGCTTGGAGACAAGATTTGAAATTTAGGGAAGCAGGAAGAGGTTGTGTGGCTTTTGATGCTTTTGCTCACAATGATGTTACAGTGGTGTTCAGGGAGAATGTAGGGAGTCAACACTACCATTATAAGAGGGATAATAGTCCTCATTATACTGTGATTCTTGGGAGTCATAGGAATCGTCGACTGAAAATCGAGGTCGATGGGAAAACAGTCGTTGATGAGGAAGGTGTTGCCCTTTGCTGCTCATCTACGTTTCAAAGTTATTGGATCAGCATTTATGATGGGTTGATTAGTGTTGGTGAAGGGAGATACCCTTTTCAGAATCTGGTGTTTCGGTGGTTAGATTCGAATCCAAATTGTAGTGTTCGGTATGTTGGTCTTAGCAGTTGGGATAAACATGTCGGTTATAGAAATGTCAACGTGTTGCCATTACCAAAGAATCATATGTTGCTGTGGAAGCAAGTTGGCTCTGGAGGATACGAGGTGAAAGATGATGGAGAAGAGGAGCTAGAAGGTGAACAAATGAGCTATGAGAAATGGGGCCTTGAAAATTTTCTTGAGAGTTGGGAATTATCTGATGTATTGTTCGTTGTTGGCAAGGAAGAAATTCTTGTCCCAGCTCATAAGGTTATCTTACAAGCATCTGGTAATTTTCCTTTGAGCTTGTCAAATGAAGATATTATTCAGCTGCAGGATGTAACGTATCCAATCCTTCATGCACTTCTTCGATATATATACACTGGCCAGACTCAGGTATCATTAACATTTTCAGATTTTATGCATCTTCAACGGGGATGATTCTGCCTTTTGTTTTCTTGTAATGTTCTTTTCTTTTAAAAAATGACTCTAGCTGCCAGAATCACTTCTGCTTACTTTTGGGCCATTTAATCTCATTCTTGTTTCCTCTTTGATGTAGATTTCAGAGTCGCAACTTGGTCCTTTATGGGCTTTGAGCTTACAATTTGAAGTGCTGTCACTGGTAAAGCAGTGTGAGGAAACTGTTGAGAGATTTAAACTGAATAAAAAGTTGTTTGACTCTGGTAAGAATGTGGAATTATCACATCCAAGCTCCCAGCTCCATAGTTGTGTGGGCTTTCCTTCTCAACTACCTATAAATGTGCAAAAGCTCAAACAGTTGCAGTTGACCGCAGACTATAGTGACATAAACATTTACATTGAGGGTCATGGTCTCGTTGCTCAACCTCACAAAGTCATTCTAAGTTTATGGAGTGTTCCATTTTCAAAGGTGAGCCCCCTTCATCTAGCTCTAGTGATTCCATGTCCTCTGTGCAGAATGTTTTATGAAAATATATTTTCATGGTAAAAGGGACTGAATTAGAAGAATGACAAGTTATATATATATTGCAATATTTTAGTAAAATGATGCAAGGATATTTTTATAATTTTCAACTTTCCTTCTCAGAATAGGTTGATGGTGGTATTTGATGATTTATCTGTCAGAAACATTTACATGTCAATGCTATTGATGTGGACTGGAACATAAAACAGAGATTCATATGCCCGCGAAGCAACCCTTTAAAACCTTTTGTTTTGGAGATGACCAAAAATGTGATATGATAATCTGTGTATGCCACCTGTACTCATTGTTACTACTGTTTTATCATGAATTTTCTTTGGCTATGCTTTGTGGTCTTTATTGTTTTTCCAAATCAGATGGAGGATTACTGAAAAAAATAGTTGCATTGGCAGATGTTTACAAATGGAATGAGTGAGAGTAGCTCTTCAGAGATTTTCTTAAGTGATGTGTCACCTATAGCCTTCAAGGTTATGCTTGAGTTCATGTATAGCGGAAAGCTCAGTTTGGAAGATTCCATGGAATTTGGAACCTTGCTACTCCTTGTTCTTTTGCTAGCTGATCAATTTGGGGTCACTCTCCTTTACCAAGAATGCTGCAAAACACTTTTAGAGTGCCTCTCGGAGGTAGTTAAGCCCTATCTTACTCATAATTTAATCCTGAAATATTTTGTAGAATCATATCTTTGTTTTGTTGTTATGGTATGCATCTTCTTGACTAGAAATAAAAGAACGGAGAAGTGACTTGCGGTTTCGGACTTCTGAAAACAAAAGAAGCGACCCCTTTATGACATTGAATTAAAAGATATTGATACCTTTCATGTACATATTATATGCAGGGATGGAGTTCTCCTAGTGGAAGCAGGTCATACAACAAGAGTTTTTCATACAACAAGAGTTTTTCTATTATGCACAAGTTTAATGGACGACGAAGCAGACAAATTTGGGAACTTAGTTGGCTATTGCTGTTGAAGCTAACTGTTGAACTTTGTTGCAGGACTCTGTATGTCCAATCCTTCAAGCGGTGTCATCAATTCCATCATGTGAACTCATCGAAGAAACATGCGAGAGGAAATTCGCTATGCACTTCGATTATTGTACCACTGCAAGCCTTGACTTTGTCTTATTAGATAAGACAAATTTTAGCAATATCATTCAGGTGGGTTCTGATTCCTCAAATTGATAACTTTGGAATTGAGGCTTGACCCGAGGATTTATAGAGCTGAGTCACAACAAGTGTACTCTGGCCACAGAATCCAGGACGAATGGTCCAAAAATTTAGGAAGAGCAACAAGTGCTTTGCACGTGGAATATTGTTGACCTTTTGAGAGTGGAAGTAGGTCCATCATATGGTAAATTGCTCTATGGTTCATTATTTGCAAAGAAATGAATGGATTAGATAACTCAGTACTCGGGATAAAAGAGGGCTTTGACCTATCAGCTATCAATTGACAGATTGGAGATTGAATTTTGAAGTCATGCTCTTGTTGTTTTAAATTTAGAATGGACCAAGGATAATGTGTGAAATACCTTATGCTGATAGGCTTCTTCCTTGAAAGCAATTCTTTATGAATGTTGGCAAATGTCAAATAAAATCATAAGCATTCTCTATAACAAAGGATGGGTTTTGCAGCATCAAGATCTAACCGTAACATCCGAAGAAAGAGTCCTCAATGCAATTTTCATGTGGTTTATGAGAGCTAAAGAATTGTGTGGATGGGAGGTGGTGGCTGAGCTACTTGCACTTTCAACTCCGGACCTCCTTTTCAAGGACAGGCTTCAATCCCTGAATGACTTGTTACCATTTGTGCGATTTCCATTGATGCCATATGACCTGCTTAAGAAGGTAATTAAGCTTTGGATATGGAAAGAATAATTAGCCAATCTATTGAGAGAATGATGCCCTGAACTTTTATCATGTTGCAGCTGGGGGAGAGCAACCTAGGCAGGTGTATCCCCATCTTTTATGATCTTGTAAGTTATCATCTTTCTAGGGGGAGAGATTTTTGACAAACAATATGGGTATTCATTCTCATCACTGGATTTCATGTATGCTAATGTCACAGGTGAGAGAGGGCATCCATTATGTAGAATTTGGATCCCTAAGGCCAGGGAATGACCAAAAGTAAGTATAAGATGCTATCTTCTCTTTTCATATTCATGTGTCTTGATCTTGGTTGTAAGAGTGTCTTTGCCTTTCAGTCCTTATTAACGTTTTTCTTAACCTGTTCAATGGTGGAGATTGATACCTGCCCAAGTTATCTAATCCAAGTTATACATGGCGGCAGCTGATTATTATTTATAGGAAATCTCCACAAGAATAGTTGAAGTTTATAACTACTATAACCTGTTGTGAGAAAAATGAAGGAAAATTGCCCAATCTAGCCCCTATATTTGTGCCAATTTGGCTAACGAGCCCTTGTAAAAAAATAAAAATAAATCATAAATGGTGCCACATTTCGTCAATTCAACCCAATTGGACCGATTTTAAAATATAGTCCGTTCCTATAGGGTAAATTTGTCACAATTTGTTTATAATTTAGTCCAATTGGTTGATTGGTTGAATTGACAGAATGTGATGAATATATGGTACTTTAGGTGAAACTTTTTCCACAGGAGTATGTTTGCCTAAAGACACAAACACTAAAGTTCCAAAAACAAATGAACTTACGCTAAAAATCTAAATCCTTTCCTTTCCTATTGTGTCATCTTCATGAAGATTTTGATTTTTAAGGCTAGGTGGAACTGAGCCTATTGAGTCGTGTTACTAGCTCATGCAAATTCTATATTAGCGTGGTTGCTTTTTAACTCTGGTTGTGAGATGATGCATTTTAGATGAGCCATGACTTAAAAAGGATATTTTAGCTAACGGAGTGTTATTTTTGTAGCCCAAGGTTTCAACATAGGCGATCTAGCTATAAGGAGCTCCAGTACATATGTGATGGTGACAGCAATGGAGTACTCTACTTTGCTGGTACATCTTATGGGAAACATCAGTGGATTAATCCTGTTTTAACGAAGGTGAACTTTGTGGTTTTCTTTTATTTCTACTACCTTGCTATATTGCGCTTCTCATCCTCTTAGGTGAATGTTGCAGAGAATCACGATCACTGCCAGCAGCCCCCCTTCAAGATATACTGACCCTAGGACTTTGGTGTCACGAACTTATCAGGTTAGTTTGAATGATATGTCGGTAACGTATCTTATGTACAGTGTGTTTCATTGGAAATTAAGTTTTCTATCCTGCATTAGGGAACATGTTTTGCTGGGCCTCGTATGGAAGATGGACACATTCGTGCATGGTGGATGGTTGATATTGGTGAAGATCATCAGGTTTTTGTTGTACCTTTGTAAAATTATCTTCCAATCAGCTAAAATTCTGAAAATATTAAAAACCAACAATCAAAAGGTTTCTTTATTGTGTCTCTTCCCCCTTGTATGGCTGATGCAGCTTATGTGCAACTACTACACTTTGAGACAAGATGGGTCAAGAGCCTTCATGAGATTTTGGATTTTGCAGGTAAAGTTTGATCCTTCTTTCTCATGATATTTCCCCCTTCAAGTTATGCAGAAGGGTTATCCTTTCTTAAATGTTATCAACCAGATTCAATGCCAATAACGAGTTGACTGACTATTGTTATCGTCCCTTATTGCGTTTCAGGGTTCCCTGGATGGGAGGACCTGGACAAACTTGAGAGTGCACGAGAATGACCAAACAATTTGCAAGGCTGGTCAGTTTGCATCTTGGCCGGTAACTGGGCCACATGCCCTGCTCCCATTCAGATTCTTCAGGGTTGTTCTAACAGGTCCCACGACAGATGCCTCAAACCCCCACGACCTGTGCATTTGCTACTTGGAACTCTATGGTTACTTCCACTAGTTTGATGGAATGACACGTTGCTGTGTGTGTGTTTTCTTATATTTTGGTCGGATTCATAGATGCTCTTTCCTGTGCAATAAATGTATACATTACTGTAACCAAAGAAGAATAACGTACCCCTTATGTACCCATTACTTTAGCCAAAGAAGAATAACGTACCCCTTACACCTCCATGTACAGTTCCTGCATAACGAAGTTTCAAGTCTCCAATACCTTCTGTATTCACCTAAATGGCCAGGTTCAGAACTGAGGTGAATATGGCCATGCACGAGAATGGCGACTGGCGATATTTGGTTTCCCTTTCCAGCTGCTGTATGTACAAGAACCCTGCACGTTTCCACAGAGGAGAGATCCGAGCCCTGGTATCTGCTTCTAATGCTTAGAAGTAAGGATGGCTTAATTTTGCAGAGAAGCTTTGTTTGATAGAATGAATGTAATAAATCTCTCTCTCAAAGGCCAATCAATCTAAAAATCATATCTGGATTTTCCGACTCCTTCAATCTCACATGGTTAGAACGTATTTGATTCTTATTTTCTGGTCTGTCTTATTCTTTATCTCCTGTTCTGTCGACTAATTACCACATGGTCAAAAAACATTTTAACTCACACAAACCGGTGGAAAGCGGACAGGAAGAGGAAGCAAGTTAGCAAACTGTGTTTGCAGACGTGATTTTGATGGTCAAATGCTAGAACAAAAAAGATGACAGGAGATGGAAGTAGGCACATACGCATCTACGAATATGTATGCCACGCGTAAGAACGCGCATGCTTTGCCCCAAGATTGGCGCATGAAGCTAACCTGCCATGATATCACTGATAGAAACTATCCAAAACCAAGATTGAATACATGCATACAAGTAGAGATATGTAACTCGCAATCCAGGACTCATTTTTTGTCATTTCAAAAGCAGTACAAATGTCAACCTTATACACCAAATTGGATTGAACAACAGGGATCCTAATTACTCGAGCCATTGCCATTCGTATTGCCAATTACCTCCTAACAGGTGGTGCAACGCCCCTGCCAGGGGCTGCTCCACGTCCAGCAGCTTGAGCCTGCACAGTAAAGTAAGATCAGAAGTTAGTATGTACAAATTTATAGATTAAAGAGCCGAGATTACAGAGCTCTAAAAATGCTTGAGATGAAGAGACCAGAAAGATGATTAAATTTAAGATATTAATGAGATCAGGGACTTACTTTAGACCGCATTGCAACAGATCTACCTCTGCCAACTCCGAGTGAAGCGCTCTTACCCTTCAAGCACATAAGAAATGGGTAATCAGAGATTATCACAAAAAAGTGCAAAATCTAAAGGCTTTAAAGTGGGAAATTACCTTAATTCTGGCATCCAAGCGCTTGAACATGGGAGCATTCTTTAGCATATCAGGTATGACCATGAATCTGTGCAAATGTAACAATTATTATCAAACAATTGCAGTCAATTTGTGAAAATCGAACAAACTGACTCGATATCTATATGAGCTAAATTCACTAAGGATATTATTAGGTACCTGACTTTACTGCCACGAATGAAGACATGCTCAAGCTGTGAGACCTTCCCATCCTGTCAGGCGGCAGACCAAAATCAGTACTTAATCAAAAACCCAAGATACAAATGAAACAAAGATAGACTAATTATTCAAGCTGATAGCCATGGCATCAAATCTCTTGAGATTAGCCTCAGTGAGTACCAAAGAGGCAATGATTCAAATTGATTAGCTTGATTGAAAATCAGAACATGACGGGACAGACAATATAAACAACTAGGTGGCAAAGAGAAAAAATAAGCTCTCTAATTTTTCTTTGGCAACCATTCACAGATGCATCCATCCATCTCAAGCTGAATGTTTTCATTTAATACTCTATAACAGACTACAACCACAGGCACATAAAAATTCTTAAAATTCTCCAGTCCCTACTTTGAAATCCATTCGCAGATGCATCCATCCATCTCAAGCTGAATGTTTTCATTTAATACTCTATAACAGACTACAACCAACCACAACCATGACCACATAAAATTCTTAAAATTCTCCAGTCCCTACTTTTGAATATTTCTAATAAACCATCATTGTGGATTGAATTACTTTTCATCTGGCAAACTCATTATTTCATATTCCATTGCAACAGCAACATTATTTCGCCTCATATTCGAATCATTACATCAATCTAAAACAAACCAAAGCACATAAATTCCATCAATCTAAAACAAATCAAAGCACATAAATTCCAAATTCACACAGCATAAATTACCTAAGATAGGTTAACCTGAGGAATCATTCATTAATTACAATGTAACTTTTTACAAACATCAACACACCATTTTAACTGCTAATCCCACACCAACTACAAATAAAAAAGACGTCACATCCTCTTGAACTATCCCACTAATTTGCAGAACAAAATGGAAAACTAAACTCCAGACCATCAGCAACAATACACGAAGAAGAAAGAATCCACATCAATACCTATGAAAAATATTTTTTTTAAAATGTCTGTAAAGGGTTTCCCGACCACAAATTCCTTTTGCCCTTCTCCGCAACAAAACATCACGATTCGTTAATAAGTTTTAAAATGCCCACGAAAATTTTCCCAATCTCACGCACTAGATCCGAGGGTTTATCAAAACAATAACCTAAAGCGCTTCGAACTCATGTTTTCAATCTACAATCGCAAAACCTAGGGCTAACTAACACAATTAAACAAAAAGGAGAGTTGTACCTTAGCGGTGTAAGTGATGCTCTCGAGCTGGCAATTCCAGTTATCCTCACACTCTACCATGCTTCCTCTATAAAGCTCTCCGCTCTTCAGCTCCACCGTCACGATGTGGCCTGAAGCCTCGTGTAGTAGCTTCACCGGAATCCCCAAGCTTCTGCTCATCGCTTCTCCACTTCTCTCTCTCTCTCTCTCTATGCAAAACCCTAATTAACCCCAAGGGACAACGATCTGATCGTTTCCCTCCCGATGCCTGCGTTTTATTTACAATCAGTAAGGGTAAATTTGTCGTTTAATAAAAAATAGGGACGTTTTAGTAATAAGGATTTTGACGTGGCGCAATATTTAGACTAAATGTAACCCGTTGCAGCATTTAAAAAGAAAACGGCCGCAGTATGCCTACACTGCAGGTCAGCAGTTGCAGCGATTATAAGAACAAACGGCTGTACCAAAGTATTTGACTGTTTTTGACGTGGCTTGCTATCTACCCTACATGTAAGCGGTTGTAGTCATTAAAAATACAAACGGCTGTAGAAAGAGGGCACTGATTAAATCCTTGTCGTTAGATAAGAAGACTTTTGTGACTAATCTTCTGCCGTCCGATCATCCGACTTTTTTGCGGCAAATTGTGAGTCGTGAAGTCTTTTCAGGGTGATGGGTTGTCTCGTGGGAGGAGTATATGCTTTGCTCACTTTTGTTTGTTTCTTTTTTAAAAAGCAATCAAAATCCCAATCATGGGATTAGTGGAGGACCCAATTACATTTTTTAATCAGTGTGGGTCGATTAATTGACGGTTGAAAATCTTCCTAATTTGGATTCACTATGTCTGCGTGTACGGTTGAGATGATATGATTTCTTTTTTCGCTGAATTTAAAGCTTTTTGTTTCAGTGCTTGGAGGGAGAAAGGAATGAAGCAGAGGAAGTGAGTTTGGAAAGAAAGATGTTAGGTTGTTCTACAGGTTTTTTGCCAGCACCTCCATTGTTGCCTTCTTTGGACATGAATTCCAAAGGGGTATGGTTTTTTCTTTCCTTTTGAATGTTTGTTTTTTTACTTTGTTTTTGTGTGAGTGACTGACTGGATTGCTGCGGTTGAAATCTTTATTGTGTCTTTGATTGGTTTTTTTCTGGTTAGTTCATTTTGGTGAAAACTGAAGAGTATTTGATTAGAAAAATGATCCCTTTTTGGTATGTTTTCAAGTTTTGTGTAAAGATCTAGTTTTTTTCTGGTTATTTGTGCACATTGCATTACAGATTTGATTTCGTTGACAGGTCACAAGGAGCAAAACGTTCGCTGCGAAAGAGAAGCCAAGTTCTGGGGGGTCTAAGAAATTGCTTGTTCACAGCAGATTTTATTTCCCATCAAGAATCTCAACTAATGATAGGGTATGTTGGAAATTTTAGCATGAACATTGAATTGAATGCCTTTTAGCTTTTAAGGTTTTTGTACGAGTTGATTTCTGATTGGAATGAATCAATATAATTTTTGAAAATGTTTAGAAATAGCACAATTCAGAGAATTTGTGCCTCTTTCTTTTATGAATAGTAGATAACATGGTGCAAAATATTTCTTAGGTGTGAAACAGGAGAGTTTAGTTAGGCTACCCCTTGTTTCCAAGATAGTTTCCTGCTAACTCTAATTTATGAGTGCAATATTCATAAATGTCTTGACATTATGCATTTTTTTTCATTAAAAGGTACAACGTGGTTCCGTTATCTCAGCAGTTTTGACAGATGACTCAACAATGACAACTGTTGGGGAAGACAATGAAAATATCGGTCTTTTGAGCATGGATCCTGGGTTGGAATCATTTAAAGATCACTTCAGATATAGAATGAAAAGATACATGGATCAGAAAAGGCTAATTGAACAACATGAAGGAGGGCTTGAGGATTTTGCACTAGGTAATTTTCAGTAGCATTCTTTTTGCTTTCCTTTCCAACATATGCGTAACCTGTCTGAACTGCTGGACAATGTATATTTGTGCATTGTGCATGCATGCGATGGACATTTAACTGATACTTAAAGTTTTTCTACTAAATGTTACAATTTTCATTAAATTCACTGTAGCTTGCATTTTTTTATTAGAAGTCAAAATCAATATGTTAAATGGTTTCAGCTACCTTAAATTTGATAAACCTATTAATCTGTTTGTTGATCCTAGATTTATGTTCTTCAGTCCTTCTACCTTTAGCAGCTTTGTTATCTTTTTCCATTTGAGTTATGGTTCCTTATTCTTTGCTGAACTCTTCTGCTTGCATCCTGTAGGATATCAGAAATTTGGATTTAATAGAGAAGAAGGAGGCATTGTCTACCGTGAGTGGGCCCCTGCAGCTCAGTGAGTGTTTTTGTTTTTGAGATTTTGAACTGCAACTTTGTTAGTCATTGTTTAATAGTGTAATTGGTAGCTATCTTCTGCACAATGCAGGGAAGCACAGATTATCGGGGATTTCAATGGATGGGATGGTTCGAACCACAGGATGGAAAAGAATGAATTTGGTGTTTGGAGTATTAAAATACCTGATTCTGGTGGAAATCCAGCCATTCCTCACAATTCAAGGGTCAAGTTCCGATTCATGCATGGTAAAGGAATTTGGGTTGATCGAATACCTGCTTGGATTAAATATGCTACTGTGGATACTACACGTTTTGGAGCACCATATGATGGTGTGCACTGGGACCCACCAACTTCAGAAAGGTACTGATTACTCGGGTTCGATATAACCCATATTAGTTGTAAGCTTAATCTATTAGATGTTATTAATCCAAACTACGGCCTGTTTAATTTTCTGAGAATCATACAATTGTAGATCACCTTTATACCATCATCGAGATCTGGACTTGCCAGAACAAGGGATCCTCTCAATTCTCTTGAATTTTCCTTCATTGACCCATTTTTTATATGAACATGCAGGTATGAATTTAAGTTCCCTCGGCCTCCCAAACCCAATGCCCCACGCATATATGAGGCTCATGTTGGAATGAGTAGCTCAGAACCCTGTGTTAATTCCTACAGAGACTTTGCTGATAATGTTTTGCCTCGTATACGAGCAAATAACTACAACACAGTACAACTAATGGCCGTAATGGAGCATTCCTATTATGCATCATTTGGTTATCATGTTACAAACTTTTTTGCTGTTAGCAGCAGATCTGGGACTCCTGAGGACCTTAAGTATTTAATTGATAAAGCCCATAGCTTGGGTATATGTGTCCTGATGGATGCTGTCCACAGTCATACAAGTAACAATGTCACTGATGGTCTCAATGGTTTTGACGTTGGCCAAGGTGCTCAAGAATCCTATTTTCACACTGGAGATCGAGGCTACCATAAGTTATGGGACAGTAGACTCTTTAATTATGCTAATTGGGAAGTTCTTCGCTTCCTTCTATCCAACTTGAGGTGGTGGCTTGAGGAGTTCAAATTTGACGGGTTTCGATTTGATGGAGTAACTTCCATGTTGTACCATCACCATGGAATCAACATGGCATTCACTGGAGATTATAATGAGTACTTCAGTGAGGCAACGGATGTTGATGCTGTTGTTTACTTGATGCTGGCTAATTATCTGATACATAATATCTTGCCAGATGCAACTGTGGTTGCTGAAGATGTTTCTGGTATGCCTGGACTTGGTCGTCCTGTCTCTGAGGGTGGAGTTGGATTTGACTACCGCCTGGCAATGGCCATCCCTGACAAATGGATTGATTACTTGAAAAACAAGAGTGATCAAGAGTGGTCAATGAATGAAATCTCCTGGAGCTTAACTAATAGGAGATACACTGAGAAATGTGTTGCTTATGCCGAGAGCCATGACCAAGTATGAGGTCTTGAATTCCCTGCTTGTTTTCTTTTGTAATTAGTCTTGTCGTAGCTAGATACTTCTCATTATACTTGTTACCTTGCATGAAATCTTTCTCATTCTTGTCCACTTTTACCTCCATGTCCTTCTCAAGAATATGGTGTCTTCATTCTGCAGTCCATTGTAGGTGACAAGACTATTGCCTTCCTCCTGATGGATAAAGAAATGTATTCTGGCATGTCTTGCTTGACAGATGCTCCACCTACTATTGATCGAGGGATTGCTCTTCATAAGGTACAATAATAAGTCAGATCACTCCCCTCAGTTCTTACTCCAACAGTAACTTCTCTTTCTTTTTCTAAATGTGCTTTTGTCTACCCATCCCTGTGGCCTTAAACTCATGTAGGCTTAACTCTTTGATTTTCCAAGTTAAAAAATATTTTATAGCTATGCTTGAGATGCAGTTTCATGTTTTGGCCCTGGAAACCACTCGTACAAAAATATGTAAACTGGATCCAGCTCAATGATTATTATTATTATTATCATTATCATTTGTTCTCATTGTTGTAATTGTATTTTGCAGATGATACATTTTATAACTATGGCACTAGGAGGCGAAGGATACCTTAATTTTATGGGAAATGAGGTAAGCACACTAGCTCATTCCAAACTTCTGGGGCTACTGAATTGTCAGACCTTAATTTTATGGATCCGTATTATTAACAATTTAAATTCCTCAACAAACAAAACTTTTTGGATCATAGAAGGTTGTGCAGCATGTTCCTTTGACATTGCTTTAAAGTAAATGTGCTTAAAGGCATGACCAACAAGAGCGTGAGACCCAAACAAGATATACTTATTTGATAATGTATTAAATACCTCGGTGTTTTCATCTCTTTTCTTGCACTGAATTGGAGAAACTCTTTCCTTCTCTTTTGCTTAAAACTTAGGCATTACTGTCTAATCTTTGAGTTATTTGCTATGAATGCTTCTTATAGTTTGGCCATCCTGAGTGGATTGACTTCCCCAGAGAAGGCAACGGATGGAGTTACGAAATGTGTAGACGCCAATGGAATCTCGTGGACTCTCCGCATTTGAGATACAAGGTTTGAGATCATATTTTCATCAATAAAAGTGCCTGTTTGTTGAGTTGTTCTGAGTCTTCTAATTATGACTTTCCAGCTATTGAAAACAAAATGTTTACCGTCATACATTAAATGTCTAAACACCTCTGGAACTTAATTTTCTTTAATTTTTAAGTGTAAAAATAATTCAAAGACCAAGGAACATCCATCTCTTTCTTGAACAGAAGCCGCTACCCACAAACTTTTTCAACAAGCATATGGGGTGTTACTAGATAACTGCATGAGATGAGAGAGGTGAAATGTGATAAGCCGGATTCACAGATCGTGTCTCAGCTGATCTTTTTATTTTTTATCTTATTGGTCTTTTACTGTTTCCAGAATGTATTTACATCATTTTCTTTTGTACGCCACACTGTTTCAGTTCCTGAATGCATTTGACAGAGCTATGAACTTGCTTGATGAAAAATTTTCATTCCTAGCGTCTACGAAGCAGATTGTGAGCAGCACAAATGAAGAAGACAAGGTACAGATATCCCATCTAATAGATATCCCTTTTGTGTCTTATTTACGAGATGCATTAACCAAGTTGAATCAGGGAGGATAGAGTTCATAGACTTTGCAAGGATGGTTTATTCCAAGTCTCTAATACGGAACTCGTTTCATTATTTCATGTTACAGGTTATTGTCTTTGAGCGTGGAGATCTGGTTTTTGTGTTCAATTTTCATCCGGAGAATTCATATGATGGGTATGTGTGTTTTAACTAGCAAAAGATCTATTTTGGCATGTGTAGACTGTGGGTGTAGTTCCATACAAGAGTGAATGGCAGCAGACTGCATGTCCTTCCAAGTTGGAAACAGTTCAAGAATCTGATGATAATTTATTTGCATAGACATTTTAACTCTTGAGTGGTAATCTGTAACATACAGGTATAAAGTTGGGTGTGATGTGCCCGGGAAGTATAGAGTTGCACTGGACAGTGATGCCTTGGAATTCGGTGGACATGGAAGAGTAAGGAAAATTGTGCATTTATCTTGAATTAGCAACCAAATGGAAAGAGTAGGAGTAAAAACACACTACAGCATTTTCATTCTTATCCTGGAAACACTGAATTTCAGTTCCATGTATCATCCTTTTATTCTATAAGTGATGGGAAGGCAATCCTGTAATGAGGGGTGTAGACAAAGAAAATGTTGTGAAGAGAGGGAAAGCGGGTCTTCGTCAGAACTAGGAACAGATTTAGTACAGTATCCTCTGTATTGGTCATTTTTATATCTTCGTGACTTTCTATCAATTATTCTGTCAGGTGGGTCATGATGTAGACCATTTCACATCTCCTGAAGGGATACCTGGAGTACCTGAAACAAATTTCAACAATCGTCCCAACTCCTTCAAAGTACTCTCACCAGCCCGCACATGCGTGGTGAGTTCTATTTCATTCTGCTCGAGAATAAATATCTGAGGTTATTATGTGTATCTGTATTACTTTCAACTCTTATCCTGGAAAAAGGTACAAACTTCTGGGCAAAACTAGTCATATGAGTGATATATTTGAGCTTGACTTGAGTAGTTCTTGGAAACTAACGAGTTGATACATTCTTTAGGCTTTTTGTGCTTTGAAATGATATCTAAGAGCAGTTTTTTCTTCTTCTGTTTTTACCCCCTCAAAAGGTTTACTATAGAGTCGAAGAAAACGAAGAAAGTCACGACCATGATGATGAGATGAGCACGAACGAGCTATTAGCTGCTGGTGCTAAAGAAAAGCAAGAGGATCTCGAAGAAGCTCCCGCCCAGAAGGTCGGAAAACCACCTTCGGTTGATGATGACGATGACGATGCATCATCAGATGAGATTAGCGATGATGCATCATCAGATGATTGAGAACATCCAACATCGGATCGCACCTCTTAATAGTCATCATAAGAATACCTAGCTATATGTGAGGCTTAATCATTCTGAAGAGATTCGCATGGCTTTTGTACTATTGTTCATCCGATGTAAATAAGTAGGGTTGCTCCATATATATTCTGAGGCAATAAATCTGTGTAATATTCACATGTAAATAAATAAAAAATGTAAAACTGAAATCAAATAAATCATTGTAATAATATCCCGAGTAAATCCCTTGATGTGATTACTTCAAGCACTCATGCAATTGCCTTGTAAATTATAAATTAGTCATAGTTCTTCAAAACGAATTAAGTAGTCTTTCTAGTTTTAAAAACTAATTAATTAATCTTTATGTTTTTTAAGCCTATTTGTAATTGAATTTTTTTGGTTCATTCTAATTTTATTTTGATTTTTTGTTTTAAGAAATAGAAAGAGAAAAAATGAGTAAAAAATATAGAAAGATTGATAAAAAAAATTGAAAAAAAGTAATATTAAATTAATTATGGTCAATTAGTAATTAGCTTTTCAAAAAATAGAGGGATCTAATTTATTCGTTATAGTTTTGGCTCGTAAAGCTGTTAAAACAACCCTAAAAAATAAAATTTTCCACATGTCTCTCTCTCTCTCTCTCTCTCTCTCTCTTGCATTTTATCTCTTTTCTTTTAAGAAATTATCAGTACACCTTTTTCTCAAATTGATGTAAGAAAAAGGATTATAATTCGAGGGTACATGTTTATGGTTTATCCCACAGAAAGACTTCTTCCCATCCTTCTGTAGTGGGTCTAGCCCACCAAAAGTTGGCCCACAAGACTGAGCTCAACTTCGCTTCTACTTTAGCCCATATTTTACCAACTGGGCCACAAGTCCAAATCTTTCCTTTATTCTTCCATTATTCAAAATCTCACAACCTGGGATTCATACCGGAAGACTTTTTCCCTCTGTACTGTAATCTGAAAATTAGGGTTCACGATCGAAACAAAAAATGGAGAAGGAGAAGAACAACAAATACAGTATAATAGTCCCAACGTACAACGAGCGGCTCAATATTGCTCTTATCGTTTATCTTATCTCTAAACATCTCCGGTAATTCAACTCTCCAATTCTCTCTCTCTCTCTCTTTTTTTTGTCATATTTTTTTTCCGTTTTGAAGGATCGCATCAAATTTTATTGCTTTTGCTAAGTTTCTGCTTCGAATTGTGCGAAATTTAACCCTAGAAAGGATACAATTGCTTGTGATAAGCTATAAATGGGAAGGTTAGTTATGTAAATTATGTTGTGATGACTGCTTTAGGGATGTTGATTTCGAAATCATTGTTGTGGACGATGGGAGTCCTGATGGTACTCAAGAAGTTGTAAAACAGTTACAGCAAGTATACGGAGATGATCGCATTGTAAGTTTATAATGACAATCAAATTTGATGCTTTTCAATGCGGCTGATCAATTTTCATTTTTGGGTTTGCTTGAGATAACAGTATTTAATTAGCTCTCTTTGATTTTGATCATGCAGTTGTTAAGACCTAGAGCGAAGAAGCTTGGATTAGGTAGGTAGCATTTTATTGTGCTGTGTTGGATGATTATAATAACAAGAATTGAAAATACTGGTTTTTGATGTGCTTTTATAATGTTAGGTACGGCTTATGTTCATGGGTTGCAGCATGCGTCTGGGAATTTTGTTGTCATCATGGATGCTGATCTATCCCACCATGTAAGTATTACTTAATGGTTGTCACTTTTAGGTGGATATTTAGTATGTAGTTTTAACTTGTAACTTTTGAGTTATTGAAGCTTCTTGGTGATAGTCTGTAAATGTTTATAGGTGTCTCCTATTTAGATTTTATTTTTCGGGAACTTCTGCATGATGTCTGTGTATATCTTACTTGAAAAAGACCTGTCCTTCCCTACAGAAATGGAATAAAAAATTCAAACAAGAAAGCATAATGTTGGCCATACCAGCTTTAGCTGTTCGTTTAGCTTTTCCAAGTATGCATCATGATTGGAATGGAAATGAGAATGGTAGCTCATTTTGTTAACCTGATCTGTGTGCTTTATATTTTGCAGCCAAAGTACTTGCCCAGCTTTATCAAGTAAGAAAATTTTTCCAGCATACACTTATATGCTTCTGCGTTAGACCTTAGGTGCTGATGTCCTAAAGTTTTCTGGCATTTTCCCTCTTGATATGTCATTAGGAAGCAGTTGGAGACCGGTGCAAGTATAGTTACTGGAACTCGTTATGTTAAAGGTGGAGGCGTACATGGGTGGAATCTGATGCGCAAGCTAACTAGTAGGGGAGCTAATGTTCTTGCTCAAACACTTCTGTGGCCTGGTGTATCCGATTTGACAGGATCTTTCAGGTATATGAATTTGTTTATGGTTTTCATTCATTCAGTTTCTGATACTTGGTGAATTTAGAACTGAGGTTTCTTCATTCTTAAAGGCTTTATAAGAAATCAGTGCTTGAAGATGTCATCAGCTCTGTGGTTAGCAAGGGATATGTCTTTCAAATGGAGATGATTGTTCGGGCTTCCAGAAAAGGCTACCATATTGAGGAGGTAGTGTTATATTTCACATTATTTCAAATGGAAGCTCAGGAGATGCCAATGCTTACTTTATTCCATAAATGTTTCAATGCCCTGTTCATTTAGTGTATATATTCTTGTCATTATGCCTGTTGGATAATAGTATTTGCTTAGCAGCAAATTCCAATTGAATTCTGCATAGTTAGGATATAGCTAGATAAGCTCTAGATACTTCCAAAAGTGGCAGGGTTGACCACCTCTTTTTTATTGTGTTGCATCATACCTTGTTTCTATTTCATATATGGTTTATGCTGTTTGTTGTGCAATTTGAAATTTTTAGCTGCAGACTACTTTATAGCATTGTTCAATGAGGCCTGGGTTGATTTTTATTATGAATTTGTCACAGGTTCCAATTACCTTCGTTGACAGAGTATTTGGGAGCTCAAAGCTAGGAGGATCTGAAATTGTCGAATATTTGAAAGGCCTTGCGTATCTTCTGGTTACAACATAAGATGCAACGTTGTTTATCAACATGATCAGTTTTGTACACTTAGTGCACTTTCTCACGATCCTTCCTAATTATGCAAAGATTTGTTGGCTTGTTTCCTCATACAGAAATAGGTTTTGGATTCAAATTAGAATTATTATCCCATAGCTCTCGGTTTTTTTTTATTTAAATATATACACTTATGCTAATTTTTTGTCAGAATTCAAGGCAAAACAGTCGTATTGAACAGATTTATTCCAAAAATTCCAATGTTCTTTTTTTTTTCCCATTTATTTTTGTTCCTCCATGGTTGCTAAAATCTCGCTCAGCTACTGTAGTTGTTCACAAAATCCTTGTCATGGTATTGGGGCAGGTGCTGCTAGGCTTGCGACAGATAAAATGAAAGCCAAAAAGCCGAGCACCTCGTGTTACTATAGATAAAATGAATGCAAAAAGGCCAAGCACCTCGTGTTATCATATTATCATGTAACTTTCTGGTAGGGTTCTGCTTTCCCCACTACTCTCCACTATTAGGCAATTTGCTTCTCCTACCACCCACAAATTAATTTATATTCTTTAAAAATGGAACAATTAGTCTTTGGCTCTCTGGTTCTCTTGGACCATTAAAAAGAAAATTCGTGAAGTTGGGTGATATGCAAGGATTATTAATTTGGTTAGCAAGGAGCATTTTGTATGCCATTTATTATCATACAAGGACTGCAATTTCTAAATTTAAAAAAAAAAAAAAATCCATTCCTCCAACCAAGTTTCTGGAGAAAAATACAAAACAGAGATGCTAATTATTTACCTGAAACAAACAAACATTTTCTCGAAACAGTGGTTACTTCATAAACCAATGAAGATCCGCTTTCCCTTACAGAGTTACTCCCAAAGAAAACTCAAAATCAATAAAACCATCTTCAAAAATCCAGTTCTAAAATTTATATTTTCCTAACCTTCCGAGAAGTGACTTTCCTTTCACTTGCAGGCACAAATTTCTCATGACTGTAAACAGGCAAAGGAGGCTTCTTGTTCTCTTTACTCATGCTCCTCAACATGTACCTTGGATTCTCATTTCTCTCCACAGAGTAAGCAGCAGACACAGATTTCCTCAAGCTCTCAAGCTTCTTTGTATCCCTCCTTTTCGAAGACTCGACAGTAACTCCAAGATTATAGGGAGTCTTCACATCATCTCCTGTGTCTCCTTTCTTTCTCTTCAGCTTCTCATTTCTCCTAGCAGAATACTCTTCATAAAACCTGCCTCTCGCAAACAGAGGACTAGAATTTGCACTCAAGCTTTTACCAATCCCACCATTAGTTGACTCCCCATTTCCAATCTCGTTGCGAACCATCCTCGCCAGAGCACGTAATTCGCAGGATATCGACTGGTATTCGGGGCGGAGATCAGATTCTTCCACGTCCCATTTTCGGTTTGGTTTCTGGGATTTAGTCAAAGAACCTGAAACAGCCATAAATTTTGTTAAAAACATTCGAATCCAGGAAACAACAACAATAACAATCAATCAATCAATAAACCCACCAGGAGGAGTTTGTGTGATGTTGGATTCTGATCGAAGAACACGACGAGGACGGAGCCTGATGGGGGATTTTGGAAGTGGAGGCTTGCGATCGATTTTCAGCCTTGACATTTTGATTGGATTTCTTCAAAGAAAACTGTGTAGAGAAAGAGAGTTAAAGATGATGTTGTTGTGATGCTAGAAAATTAAAGACTAAAAGAGAGATGGAGATGATTTACCTTTTGATTTGAATTCTGTAAAGCTAAGGCTCCGCTTTTTGTCTGATTCTTTTTGGTCTTTTTCTCTCTGTTGGTAGGGTTTTAAGGACCCCGTGTTTGAATTCTTAAAGGGGAGCGGCTCAACGGTCATATTCCTGATCTGACGGTTAAGGAATGACAGTGATTTCTCTCCTTAAAATGTTCGCATTTTGCATCTACTTACTTTCATTGTCCCAGTAACCGTCCCTGAATTGGATCTTTATTTATTTTAACGTCATTCATCGGTTGGGCCCATTGGGCTTTGGGCCCATTGTGTTGATCTATGAAATTGGGTTTCCTTATTTTATGGTCCAAAAAGGGGAAAGGAAACGATCTTAGTGCATTAGAATTAGAAAACGGGAATGTAGTTTTTGCTCACCTGATTTTCAATTTTATCGTAGAGCAATTAATTTTATTTCCAATGTATCAAATATTTTTAAATATGGTCTTTTTATTTAATAATTTCAAAATTATTTATAGGGGTAGATTTTAGTAGCGTAATAAATAAATGAGTGTAATGATGGATGGATACTCCTTATTGTTCGCTCATAAAATTGAATAACAGTTTTTTTTTTTCCTGACTTTTCTTCTTGTCGTAAAATTGATCAATATATATATATATATATTGATCATACTTGTAAATAAAAATTATACGTTTAATGTTTCTAAATTTTTTAAAATTGATTTCTGAATGAACAAACGAATAAAAAAATTTAGGTGCTTCCATCGAAATTGGAATTTAAAGATGGAGGGATGATTCTGGTGAAATGACAAGAGTTAATTATTATTTAAATATATTTAATATTAATTTTTTGTTGGACTGAATTTATAAAATAAACAAAAATCAAATATTTGAATAAAATCGATGTGATATAATATTTTTTTGAGCGTTTGCAATAAAAAATAATTTGGAACTTTAAATTATTTTATTTTTAATAAATGTCCAAATAGCGCTGCTTAATCGTAGAAAAATTAAAATAACTAAATTTAGGAGATTGATTTGCTCTTCCAGTGGGACCCATTGATTTGTAACGTATTAAAGCAGAACGAGCCGAGTCTCTTGCGCTGGTTTGACTCACCAAAAACTGTAATCCGTCCGATTCATGGGTCCCACTAGAACCTTCTATTGGGACCCTCCACTCATCAGGGCTAAGATAAATCGATGAGTGAAACTAGGAAAGGAGCTTCGGTCGGGCTAGCAATATTTTTGACGTTGAAAAGAGTTAATAGGGCGTAGCGAATTGGGTAAACTACATTCTTACCCTTATAGATTCAACAACGTTCCACCTCTATACCTATAGTTTAAAATGTCCTAATCTTACCGCTAGTGTTTAAAAAAATTCCAATTTATCCTTTTGTTGTTCATAGAATGAGAATACGGATAGGTAGACCATACAATCGATGTAAAATATTATATTTTGTGCATCATCACATCTAAAGGAATCATACTACACGAACATAAAAAAAAAAAAAAAAACATTAAAAAGAATCACTATGAATGGAGTATAGACAGATTCACCATCTAGTTAATATAAAAAAAAAATTATATTTTTAATACTTTTACACATTTAGGAGGATCATATCAGGCCAATATTGTAAAAAAAAAACTTAAAAAATTTTCTACGAATAGAGTTCATCAAAAGTAAATATGCTATTTCATTAAAACATCTATGGTAAGACTTGAATATGAAATTTTAAACGAAACGAGTCTCTTTTTAGTATTTGAATTAAGTCTTTAAAATTATTTTATACTTTACTAAATATAACTAACAAAAATCTAACTTTTTTCATTTTTTCATTTTATTTTTTCTTACATTTCTCTCATTTTTTTTCTCTTAAAAATCCTCATTCCATACATCTTACATTTGTTAATAAAAAAAACTAAATGGTAGGCGTGACATTGAAAATTTAAGGTCATTAAAAGGATGATATTGTAAAATTTTAAATTATAGAGATAGAAGTGAAAAATTGATGAATCTCTAGTAGCAAGAATGAAGTTTAGTCTTAGCAAATAAATAGGGGAGCCCAACTGGTTAGTGGCCAGCTGTACGTTTCCCTTCTTTAAAGCTCACTTCGATTTTTCAGAATTTTCTTTATATTAAGACTAGTTAGTGCGCACATTTTAAGGTTGAGAGGCGTTGTATGATTCTGATAAAAAAGGAAACACCAAAAAAAGACGAAAAAAACAAGAAAGGAGTGATAATTTTGGAGTAAAAATGGAGGGGATGATCAAGTGTTCAGCTAATTACGTCCCTTTGACTCCAATCAGCTTTCTTGAACGCTCAGCGATTGTTTACAGAGACAGAGTCTCTGTTGTCTATGGTGATATCAAGTACACGTGGAAGGAGACTCATGAGAGGTGCGTCAGACTCGCTTCTGCTCTTGCCCATCTAGGAATTTTCCCTGGTGATGTGGTAACTACTAACTACTCCTCTGTTTCTTTCTTCATTAATGCTCTTTTGTTCTGATTTGCCGACAAGTTATGGTAACCTTTGGCTTTTCTGTCTCTAAATGTTTGAGGGTTTTGATCTTTCCTTTTTGGAATGAAAATTCACGGTCTGAAATTGGCTTTCCTCTTTCTCCTTTTTCTTTTGGGAGAACTTTATCTTGTTGCTTTTAATCATACTGCTAGTGTTTGATCTAAAATCCAATAGAACAATTCAACAGTTAATGCTTGAATTATGGACATTTCAGAAATTTGGGATATTGTCTTGAAATAAATATGCCCTCACAGATAGTAAAATATGATACAGAAATTACACTACTTGTTCTTGTATATTATCTTGTATATCATACTGCTAGTGTTTGGTCTAAAATCCAATAGAACAATTCAACAGTTAATGCTTGAATTATGGACATTTCAGAAATTTGGGATATTGTCTTGAAATAAATATGCCCTCACAGATAGTAAAATATGATACAGAAATTACACTACTTGTTCTTGTATATTTGCTTCCTAATCTATCCAGGGTTATTAATTTCTTTAATCTTTGCACATTAATGACAATAATGTAGATCTCTGCTAAACATTAACTCCTTGGTAATTTGAGCAGGTTGCTGCATTAGCCCCAAATATTCCGGCAATGTATGAGCTACATTTCTGTGTTCCAATGGCCGGGGCAGTCTTGTGTACGCTCAATGTCCGTCATGATTCTTCAACGGTGTCTGTCTTGCTGAAACATTCAGAGGCCAAACTTATTTTTGTAGACTACCAATTTCTCCCAATTGCTCAAGGAGCACTTGAGATTCTCTCGGAGTCAAAAACCAAGCTGCCCCTTCTTGTCTTAATCCCAGAGTGTGATCAGTCGGCTGCCATTTCCTCTCCTGGGATCTTGGACTATGAGAGTCTTTTGAAAATGGGAAAATTGGACTTCGAAATTAGACGGCCAAAAGCTGAATGGGATCCCATTTCGCTTAATTATACTTCAGGCACTACATCAAGTCCAAAAGGTGTTATCTATAGCCATAGAGGAGCTTATCTTAATTCTTTTGCTGCTGCTCTTCTAAATGACATGAGCTCAATGCCTGTATATCTATGGTGTGTCCCCATGTTTCATTGCAATGGTTGGTGTCTTACTTGGGCAGTGGCTGCACAAGGTGGTACAAATGTTTGCCAGAGAAATGTCACTGCAAAAAACGTTTTCGAAAATATTGCTCGGCACAAGGTTACTCACATGGGCGGGGCACCAACTGTTCTGAACATGATAATAAATGCGTCAGCTAGTGACAGAAGGCCTCTTCCAGGAAAAGTAGCAGTCATGACAGGAGGTGCACCGCCACCATCTCATGTGCTATACAAGATGGAGGAATTAGGATTTCACGTGACTCATTCTTATGGTTTGACAGAAACCTATGGTCCTGGCACAGTTTGCACATGGAAACCTGAATGGGCTTCCCTAACTCGAGAGGGTCAAGCAAAGATCAAGGCTCGTCAAGGGGTGCAGCATCTTGGCTTGGAGGAACTTGATATAAAAGATCCTGTTACCATGACAAGTATACCTGCAGATGCAAAAACCATGGGTGAGGTTATGTTTAGAGGCAATACTGTGATGAATGGATATTTGAAAAATTTGGAAGCAACAAAAGATGCATTCAATGGTGGATGGTTTAGGAGTGGGGATTTAGGGGTGAAACATCCTGATGGTTACATAGAGCTAAAGGATCGATCCAAGGACATTATAATTTCTGGGGGCGAAAACATTAGCACAATTGAGGTAGAGTCTGTACTTTATAGTCATCATGCAGTTCTGGAAGCAGCTGTAGTAGGAAGACCTGATGATTACTGGGGAGAAACACCTTGTGCATTTGTTAAGTTGAAGGATGGATGTACTGCCAATCCTGAGGAACTTATCAAATTTTGTAGAGATCACTTGCCTCGTTACATGGCACCTCGAACTGTTGTGTTTCAGGAATTGCCAAAGACTTCAACTGGAAAGGTACAAAAATATATCCTCAAGAAGAAGGCCAAGGCCATGGGAAGCATTTCAAAGGGAAACCCTAGTAAATTGTAAATCAATATTGATTGGAAGGTAAAAACCGGTTCCTGTTAGTGTATTAAATAGTCATATCGAACTGGCTTATCAATCTAAACAAAATCTTCGGCTTCCAACATGAAAATGCGTATTTTATTTTGTTAAAAGTAATGTAATTTAAACATAAAAGGATCGGCTTGAGTGGAAGAGATTCTAATCATTAAGGTAAGTAGTTTCGAGTTTAAGTATATATATTAGTTTTATTAAAAATTAATAATATATTTGTACATATAATATCAATTATTTGTTATTTTTTTTATATTTTAAATTTTTTTTAAACAAACTAAGTTAGGTAATGTTTTGAAAAGAATCTTCTAATTATTCAAATATAATTTTTATGATAATATTATTAAATATTTTATTAATAAATATATATAAATTAAATAATTTCGTTCAATATGTAGATTCAATTTATATTAATCATCATAAATAAAACTTTCATTTGTATTATATTATATAAATTATTAACTTTATGTATATAACAGTTATTTGATCGCAGCGTAACGTGAGTATTTCACTAGTTTTCTGTTAGACAGTAAGAACTTGAAAGGAAAACCTCCTCTCTGAGCTTGATGCCTGGTTTTTAGTGTTTGGGCTTGTGGACCGACCAGTGATAAGAACTTGCTTGGAACAGGTAAATTGCTGAAACCCATGTGAGTACACATGTGGCATTGCTTGGACCGTCTAAACGAAAGAAGCAACGTGGACACGGAAAGCTGGCTCCTTCTGCGTTGGCTAATACCGTAATACGGATGATAAATGGGCTTGCTTACTTCTTTATCGAGTAAATTATAAATTAGTCTCTTTAATTTCAAAAAATAAATTAATTAGTTTTTTTAAAAAATTATTATTTAGTTATTTAATTAGTGTTAATCATAGTTAATTTAATATTATTTTTATTTCATTAATTTTTTTTAATCAATTTTTCACATTTTATGTTTATTAAAACAAAAATCAAAATAAATTAATAAAGAATAAAAAAATTAAATTATAGATGGATTTAAAAACATATAAGTTAAATGATTCATTTTTTAAAATAAAAAGGATTAATTAATTTATTTCTAAAAATAAGAGTGACCAATCTATAATTTACTCCTCCTTTAACCTATCAGGTTTGAATGAAATAAATAAATAAATAAAAATCGTGCATTTGATTATGCGGTCAGGCGGTGCAAGTGTTTTTATATGTATATTAATGATTTATTACTAATGCATCAAAACTATTCAAACATATCTGAAAAACCATCATGTGCACTTTGAAAAATACTTTTAAACGCAGTCCGAACCAAATGATCTATGGTGGAAAACTAGTATTGAATTTGAGAATATTTTGTTACCTTTCTCCTAAAAAGGTCTCTCATTTGATTTTTTCATATATGTTAAGAAAATTACCAATTGTTATATTATATTAATATTTTTAAAAAAAATTACTTTTTAAAAATATATAAAACAATTTTGTTTATAAAATAGACTTAATTCAAAAATATTTTAAGAAAATATATCAAACAAATATAAATTAAAAAATAGATGACATTCGAAGTATTAATTAAAGGATCATCTCATCTAAAAATTTATTAGATGAGATATTAAAATATAATTTATATTATTATCCACTAGAAGGAGTAATTATTAAAAATCCAGGAAAAGAAGAAAGTTGACTTTTTATCTTGAATTACTTCATCCACGAGGCTCTCTTTAATATCTTACATAAAATGTTGCAGTTTTAAGGAACAAGTGAGAAGAAACTCCAAATTGATGATTCATGATTGTTGATATAAGATTAGTATAAGAGGTTAAGTACTAAAATATAATTTATATTACTGGTTATCACAGCATATAATATATATTACTGGTTACCATAGGAGGAGCTTAAGCTATCTTGTGTTGCTTTTTGTCTTGAATTACATCATCCACGAGGCTCTCTTTAATATCTTACATAAAATGTTGCGGTTTTAAGGAACAAGTGAGAATAAACTCCAAATTGCTGATTCATGATTATTTCAAGAGCTTTACTTCAATTTAATGATCAATTCAACTTGAGTTTAATCAAGGAATTTCAGGTGCTAAGTTAGTTTAATTAAGTAAACTAGAGACACCCAAATTAAGAAATTAAATAACACAACGACAGAATTCACCATAAATAAAAATGAAAGAACAGGTGTTAAGCACAGGATAGCATATGGTTGGGACCAAAAAATGGAGAAGAGGATTGCCATCATCGGTGCCGGAATCAGTGGCCTGCTTGCATGCAAGCACACAATGGAGAAGGGTTTTAACCCCATTGTGTTTGAAGCAAGGAGTGGCATAGGCGGAGTTTGGTCTCAAACCATACAGTCTACAAAGCTACAGACACCTAAAACATTTTACCAGTTTTCAGATTTTGCTTGGCCACCTTCAGTTAAAGAGACTTTCCCTGATCACAAACAAGTACTGGAGTACGTTAAATCCTATGCTGTTCACTTTAACATCCTTCCTAGGATCAGATTTAACTGCAAAGTTACTTGCATAGACTATGTAATACCAGGTGATAAGGATTTACCATCTTGGGATTTGTGGGGTGGCACTGGTTGGCCTTTCTCTCCTACTGGAAGATGGAACGTAACTGTACAGGATGCCAGGGATCCCTCTGTACCAGTTGAGGTAATCAAGTTCTTTTTGCTTATTCCATTCTAAGCCAATGATTCATTGTTTATGATTTGCTCCGTCAAGTGTTACTGTGTTAATTAGTTTTCTTTACTTAGTTTCTTTGCATGCTTAATTAAGTTCAAGATTGGCATAATTTTTGGATCTGAATTATTCTGCTCAACAACTTGAGCACATCATCTGCACGCAAAGAAGAAATGTTGGGGCAAAGCTTTAGTGCAAATTTAGGGACAAGATTAAAATCATTAAATATTATAAATTGGTGGAGAAATTTTTTGGGATATATCAGGTATGGGCTAAACAATCTTTAATTTTGTATGATTTTTATCTCAGGTTTACCAACTGGATTTTGTGATCCTTTGCAATGGAAAGTACAGTGACCTGCCAAACATGCCAGAGTTTCCCTTGAACAAAGGGCCTGAAGTGTTTAATGGGCAGGTCTTACATTCTATGGATTATGCTGCAATGGCTAATGATTGTGCTGCTGAGCTGGTTACCAACAGGAGGGTTACGGTTATCGGCTTTCAGAAATCAGCAGTGGATATAGCAGCAGAAGTTGCAAACAGAAATAGTAAGTGGAATTTCTTATCTGGGGAAGCTTTTGAGTGATTGATTGAGTCATGTTCTGAGACTTTCCCATCTCTGCCAAAAATTTCTTAGTATGGGTAATGGTCACTTTAAAGTCTTAAATTGGTTTGCTAATTGATGAACATGATAGGAACAGAATGGCTAGTTGTGCTATGCTAGGCTGTTGGCTAGGTTTTTTGGGAAAATGAAAGCAAATTGATTACAGGGGAAATAAGTGGCCTCTTATCTTACTTTTTCTTGATCATGGACGAATCGAAATTTTAACCCCCTAAATTCATTCAAATGCTGTCATTGACTATGGTCTGGTGTTTCACATTATGAGATTCTTACTGATTAGTCCGCTTTGTTCTCATTCTTTAGGTGTAAATCACCCATGCACCCTGATATTCAGAACTGTCCATTGGCTAGTTCCTGAATACTTTCTCACACTCACCTTCAAAAGCTTAAATCGCTTCACAGAGTTTATGGTTCAAAAGCCTGATCAAGGATTTTTCATTTGGCTCTTGGCCATTTTGCTTTCACCTCTGGTAACCTCTCATAATGCCTCCTGTAATCGTTACATGCAGCCTGTCATCCAATTGACTCCCTATAATGAATTTGTGATTTCAGCTGTGGATATTTTCAAAATTAACGGAGTGCTATCTGAAGTGGAATCAGCCATTGAAGAAATACAATATGGTCCCAGAACATGGCTTCCTGAAACAGATATCTTCATGCATGTTCACAGTGTTGCCAGCCAATTTTTATGACAAAGTAAACGAAGGAAGTCTCATCCTAAAGAAATCACAGAGTTTCAACTTCTGCAAAAATGGTTTGGTTATTGATAGCGAGGAGACCCCTGTGGCGACAGATATCGTTATCTTTGCAACTGGATACAAAAGTGACGAAAAGCTCAAGAACATTTTCAAATCAGGCTACTTTCAAAAATGCATCACCGAGTCATCAGCTCCCTTCTACAGGCAATGGCGATGCACTTGCAAATTTGGTGTTTTCTTTGAAGGTTTAATTTTACATAAATCTTCAATCCGGCCCGCTGACTAATGAGAATGCAATTTTTTTTAATCTTTCAGGGAGTGCATACATGCCCAGATACCACAGCTGGCAATACTTGGGTATGCAGATAGTCCTGCAATCTTGTACACAACAGAAATGAGAAGCAAGTGGCTAGCACATTTTCTTGCTGGAAAATTTAAGTTACCAACCATAAAAGAGATGGAAGCTGATGTGAAAGCATGGGAGAAATGCATGAAGTATTATGCGAAAGAGAGCTACAAAAGATCATGCATTAGCGTGTTGCTGCAAATCTATTGCAATGATCAGCTGTGCAAGGACATGGGGTTTAATCCAAGAAGGAAAAAGTGGCTTCTACCTGAGCTGTTTGCTCCTTATTGTCCTGATGATTACAAATACCTATGTTGGCAAACGTAGGTTGATACTATTTACATGGACTCATGCTGAACTTGTTTGCATCACCTTTTTGGGTAAATTTGATTAAAAACCTTATTTTTGTCTCTTTTGTAGTTGATCAAAGTTTTATTTAACTGTTTGAACAAGAATCGAAAACGAATCAAATGAACTAAGGACGAATGTGAAATCCGAACTCTTGATTTTAAAATTTTAAACAAAAAGATATTTAAATTGCAAAATGTTTGAATTGAGTTTATATGTTTACAATCCCATGCAAAACCCATGAAGAAAACTGATCTAAAACTCCAAAATTTCTTGAAATCTAAGTGTTTTATTGTGTCTTTTTCTCGGGTCTAACATTGTTGTTCATGGACTTTGACAGGAGAAGAAATAATCGGTGAGGACGGAGATTTAACAATGCTCATGGTGGTGGCGGTGGTATTCTCGGTGATGACACTCATGGTGATAGTGTTAGGGAGCACTTTAGGCTCTATTTTAGTTGCTAGTATCCAATAACAAAAACATATACTGCCTAAAAGTTTTGTTCTTTTCGCTCAATGTAAGATTGAAATTTCAAGTGGAATATATTCCAACCTAGGTGCTGCAAAAAACAAGCTGTGCGCAGCGGACCCAATCCTAGCAACAAGGGCAACTGAAGAGCAATGGTCTTTTTCCCTAACCTAATGTGCCCGTGGTAGTGGTGGTGGTTTTGTTGGTGGAGCCACTGGTGGTGATGGTGTTATGCATGGTGCATTTGCAAGCTTCCATCATTGTTTTTTTGCATTTGTGATTATTTTTTTATATTAAGGTCAGTTTGGATGTCGAGGAAATAATGGATTCTTTACTTGGATCCAAATAGAGCCTTTGTTTGTTCTGGGATTTTTTTTTTTTTTTTTTTTTGGGGGGGGGGGGGGGGGAATTAGGGCCTGTTTGGGTGTTGAGAAATTGGGTGGAATTGTTTTCTTGGGATGATTTTCTTAGTAACCAAAAATTTTATGACTGAAAATTAATTGGAAATGTGGTTCATTCAGATTTTGTACTTAGATAAACAAAAGGACCTTAATGTGTAATTTTTCAATATAAATGGTCAAGAAATGCTTCCAAAAGTATTGTGGCAATTTAAAAATAATAATAACAAACTTGTAATACTTTGGACTTTTTTTTTACTCAGAATTTTGACATTATAAATGAAATTATAATATAGGGTGTTTTCTGACGTAAATATTATAACCTTAAGGTGCAAAGTGTAATTTAAAAAAAAAGATGCAAAGTTTCCGCCACATAAATATAGAATATCTTTAGTAATTTACCCTTACTTTAAAAAGACATAAATAATCAGCTTATGAACTCTCACCAGCAATATAATATACAGAGAAAAAAAAAAAAAAAAAAAAAACTAGAATCAAGTTGATTGGCAGGCCACGATCTAACAAGCTATTGAATCTGCTAATAGAACTCTCCTCGTGTGCTTTTGCAAATTATGGGCTAATTATATTTAATTGCGCAATTAGTAGAGCTGGATTTCTTCCTCTCAAAGTTAAATCAGTGCTGCAATCAGAGAGAAAATACGGGAATTTGGTCAGCGGTCAATTATTTTTCTTTCAGGTTACAACTTGGGTATTCATAATTGTGATTATTATTGTCATGGAATAAAAATGACATTATTAATTGATTAAAAAAAAAAAAAAAGATAGACTATTAGGGCTGGATTAGACCTGGCCACGTCTTTTAGATTCCTTAATGACTCCCATTTCATGGAACAAAAATGCCACTACCCTTTATTTGTTTTCTTTTCTGTGTGATTGTTCCTTATTTGATTGAAAATTTTGGGAAAAAAAGAAGAAGCTGAAGGGCAAAAATGATATGTCCTGGATTAATTGTTTCTTTTGATGTTTCAAAGGTTAATATAACATATTTTTAATTAATTTTTTATTTTATATAAAATAAAATTTTGGCAAAATGAAAAATATAAACTTTAACTTTTCTAAAACTTAAATTTTAAAAATTTTAAATCAACAATTAAATAAATAAAAAAAGACTTGTTCAGAATTAACTTTTATTAACCATTTGAAATTGATGAAGGCCAAAAAATATAGTACGGAGGCGGTAAGTAAAAGGAAGCATAATCAATCGTATATTAATTTATTTTTATTTTTTAAAAAGTTTGCTAGATAATTGTATTTCTGGTGAGTAAATTATAAATATTTTTTTTTTAGTTTTGCAAAACTAATTAGATAGTTTTATTTTATTTTAAAAACTAATTAATCAGTTTCTTGACTAATATTGATCATAGCTAATTTAATATTATTTTATTTTAAAAAATAAACTGAAAAGAAAAAACAAAAAAAAATTCCAAATAGATTTAAAATACAAAAATTAATAAATTAGTTTTTTAAAATAGAAAAAATATTTAATTCGTTTTGAAAAACTAAAAGAACTAATTTATAATTTACTCTATAATTTCTGGTTAGCTTTTGTAGAGATCAAATTAAGTTTATCTTCCCAATCTCCTCAAAAGCATATATATCTTCTCCACGAATGCTCTCATGGCAACTAGTTCACATTATAGCATGACCATTATCTTGTCTAGTTTCATCCTTTTTAAGCCAAGAAATTGTTCATCGGTAGAGCTCTCTCACTTCATGTACTTGCGAAAATAACAACATGCCACGCAGTTAAATAGCCAACTCTTCGTCTTTTTTCTTTTTCTTGTTCTATTTTTTTGAAATATCTAACGTATTTTGAATTATATGATATATTCTTTCTGTTTTAAAGAGATTGTTCATTTTTTTATATATTTATCTCAAAATATAAAGAAAATCAATTCTTTTGAGAGACTGAAATGTCGAAGAGTTTAAAAAATTGAAAAGTTACACGAACTCTTTGATGTTGTCCATGAATTTAATTTGAGTTTCCCTGTTAGAAAACAACCATAGATGACATAAACTCAACTTGTTATGCACACCAAATGAAAACGACAATGTCAAGTCCAATGATTGAAAAGCTTTCTAGCCCTTGTAATTTTGTTTCTCTCGAAGGTTGCAAATGGCATCTTTATAAGTTCTGACAAGAGTATCAGATGCTTTTGTTCTCAACAACAGGTAGTGAATAAAATTTAGAAACAGACTTTTCAAGTGATCTCACGATATATGTTAGTGACGATTAGAGAGATGTAATGTCCATGAATGTCTAATCTTATTGAAAGATTCTTTACAAAATCACTTTCTTAAAAATTAAGTTTCAATTAAAAAAATTCAAATCAAATGGAATCGTAACACGTGCAAAACTTCATTTTAATTATAAGAAAGCTATTGTCTTAAGCATTCAAACTAGTTGAAAAACAGACACATAGCAAGAGGCAGAACCTTTTGAGATGCCCTATAACATTTGTTTTTTCATGTTTTGGACAAGAAAGGCTACGTTTGTCATAAAACCTTGTAAGAGGTCAATAGCAAAAGCTTAATAGTCATATATTAAAGAGTCAATAGAACTTTCAAGAGTCTTGGAGCAGAGGTAGTGTTGTATCGGCAAGGATTGATCAGTGATGATTCACATTGTTATCCACGTTGCTTCGTTAGGAAAAACGTGGTGTTGATTTTTTTAAGAGAAATCGTCATCATGCTTGTCAATTTTTACCAGATAGAGGGGAAGAAAAAAAAAAAAAAAAAAACCTTTTAGTGGTCACATTTATTAGGATGAAATTTTTAAATCAGATGATATAATTAATACTTTGTAACTAGTGGCTTTGTGGTATCTGCTTTCCAAATTTGACTTACATGGTAACAATGGAAATTAAGAGACTCTGACAGGAGAAGAATCTTAGACATATATCAACTCTTTGCCACTTCTTTGAGTGCTTAGTTTGGTTTTATCTATACTCCTTCAGGTATAAAAACATGTTAAAGTTTTCTAGATTTCTCAAGCAACTTGATAGGAAGCTAAAAACAATGAAAATGGAAGTGCAAATCATTTCCAAACAAAATTTAAAACCATCTTCTCCAACACGTCCACACCTAAGAAATTTCAAGCTGTCCCTTTTGGACCAGCTTGTTCCTACTCCATATGCACCGATTATCTTGTTCTATCCCATGGATGGCAATACTACAACTAGCAATTTTTGTGTCCCCAAGAGGCTAGAATTGCTAAAACAATCTCTAGCAGAGACCTTAACTCACTTCTATCCACTTGCTGGAAAGATCAAAGACGAGCTTTCTATTGATTGCAATGATGAAGGAGCCTATTATGTAGAAACAGAAGTAAACTGTCATCTCAGCGAATTCCTTAGGCAGCCTGACCTCCTGTTAGTGCATCAATTCTTTCCCTGTGAACTCCTTCCGAAGGAATCAACAGCAGTCACACATGTTGCTAATTTTCAAGTAAATGTCTTTAAATGTGGGGGTATTGCTGTTGGCATATGCATATCTCACCTCATCGTAGATGGTGCTGCCCTGAGCACCTTTCTCAAGGCATGGTCTTCCACCGCCAAAGGCTGCAAGGAAGCAATTATATATCCTGAGTTCGTTGGCAGCTCTCTCTTCCCTGCAAATGATCTGTGGCTTAGAGACTCAGCAATTGTCATGTTTGTTTCCTTGTTCAAAAAGGGCAAGTGCATGACCAAGAGAATTGTGTTTGATGCCTCAGCAATTTCCAACCTCAAGGCCCAAGCAGCCAGCTTAGGAGTGAAATGCCCCACTCGCGTCGAGGTGGTCTCATCTTTCCTATGGAAGTGCGTTATGGCTGCATCAGAAGAGTGGCGAGGATCCCAAAGGCCTTCTTTACTAACCCACTTGGTGAATCTGCGAAGAAAAATGGTAACAAAGTCGGCAGAGAATTCCATGGGAAATTTCCTGTGGTTAGCAGCTGCAAAATACATGAACAAGTCCAAAGCTGAATTGAATGACTTGGTCGGTGAGGTGAGGAAAGGAATATCAAAAGTAGATGCTGACTTTGTTGAGAAGATGAAAGGCGATAAAGGCAATGCTCTGATGTCCGAGTCACTTAAAGAAATAGGTGAACTCGGCTCCAAGGATGGAGTAGATTACCTTGGTTTTTCCAGTTGGTGTAAACTTGGTTTCTATGATGCTGATTTTGGGTGGGGCAAGCCTGTTTGGGTAAGCAGTTACGCTTTGTCAGGTTCACTTTTCATGAACCTCGTCATTTTGGTTGACACAAGGTGTGATGGCATAGAAGCTTGGGTGACCTTGGATGAAAAGGACATGACTATGTTAGAAGGCAATCCAGAGCTCCTCAAATTTGCAACTTTGAACCCAAGTCCTTTGGACATCAACAAATCAGTACCCTGTACATGAGAGATGAGACTCAGAGCGTATTGTCTAGTCAACGTGCAGATAGTGACGCTGGCAACAATTTTTCCTAAGCTGCGAAACAATTGTTGCTAGCATTCCTACTGCAATTTGTTACTCGATACGATTGCTCAGAACTAGATCTTGTTAAGCTGTGTTTAAGGCCCTAATGTCGTCTCTCACTTTCGTTAAAATGGCTTTACCATGGATAGGAGAACTTGGAATCTTCCTTTCCATCAGGTTTTGGAATGTAAAAGCATCTAGAAGTAGAGGTTCTTGTAATTTCTCCATCACTTTCTTCTGCTTTCTTGGCTTCTGTTAGCATTACTAGCTGCATCACCTTAGGGTTGTAAATTATGCTTTCTGCACCATGAACGTTATATTACGAGTTGTGCAGAGAGGTGGTGCTCCGGCGAGGATAGATTACAGAAATTGTAACATTGATGTTTAAACAGATACCACTAGAATATGATAAGGTTGAGCCATATTCCCTGCCGGACTTAAATGGTAAGGTTAGAAGGGAAAGAAGATCCCAGTCTGCCAATTCCCGAGTGACATGAGAATATTCTTGCACAATTTTCCCATATCATCCTTTGTCACTTCTTGGTGTGCTTAGTTTCTACAAATCCAGCTTTGCCCTTCATGTTGAAAATTCTTATCAATGTCCCCACCAACTGGAAAGTTGAAAGGAAATAAAACAATATCAGAACGGAAGTGCAAATAATTTCCAAAGAAAATGTAAGACAATCTTCTCCAACCCCTACTCGCCTAAGAACTTTCAAGCTGTCCCTTTTGGACCAGTTATGGTATTCTATCCCATGACTGACAACTTTATCACTAGCCATTATGACGTCCCCACAAGATTAGAGCTACTAGAAAGTCTACCAGAGACCTTAACTGCTTTTACTCACTTGCTGGAAGGACCAAACATTAACTTTCCCTTGAGTGCAACGACGAACGGCTGATATGTGGAAACCGTAGTTCTTAACTGCAATCTTGATGAATTCCTCTGCCAACCTGACCTCCGGTCAATACATTTATTCCTTCCTGTGAATTAGCGAAGGAATCAACTGCAGTAGTATACGTGACTAATATTCAAGTCAACGTCTTTTAGTGTGGTGGCATGGCCATTGGCAATTTGGCATGTGTATATGTCACAAGTTCCTGGATGGTGCTTCATTGGACAGTTTTCTGAAGGCGTGGACAGTTTTCATAATACCGCAGTTGTAGCCGGTAAGTCTATATAATATTTTTTATTATTTTATATAATTAAAAATTTAAGAGTGAAATAAAAATTAATCAACACTAATTGTAAGAATGGCCTTATTATATATATATATATATATATAAAGAAAAAAGAAAATATATAAGAGAGTTTAAATTAATTAGTTAATGAGTCGTTAAAAATATAAAAGTAAAAATTTATTATGAAAAAATTTATTTTGAGTAAATAATAAATAAATAAAAGCATAAAAAAGAAAATTTTTATTTTGAGTAAATAACTAGCTCAACACCCACGCATTACTGCAGGTAAGTTTATTATATTTATGTTTTAATATTTTAAATAATTTAAAAATATAAATGTAAAATAAAAATTAATTAACACTCATTATAAAAAAAATTATTTAATTTAATATATATATAATTGAATTTAAATATTTCTTAGGAATATTTTTTATTTTGATAGATAAAAAATACATGCAATTAATTATTTATTTAAAAAAAATCCAATTAGAAGGAGTTGTTTAATCCATTTATATTAGAAGAATATTTAATTTTAGTTCATGAATATTTATAAAAATAGAAAAAGTAACCATTGATCATGGAAAAAAAAATTATGTTGATTAAATAATAATTAATGAAAAAAACCCAGTCCAAAAAAAATGATAGGGACCTTTTGGTAATATTAATAAAAATTAGGGACTATTTTATATAAAGTAATAACTTAGATTATCAAAATGTAAAATTCTGACAAATTGAAAAAAAAATCATTTGTTTTGTTTTTTTTAGAAAACGACGCCATTTTGGTTTCACTGTAGCAAGGAGCTTAGCTACAGTGAAACCATGTCCACTTTTAGTATATGTATAATATTTATAAAAATAGAAAAAGTAACCATTGATCATGGAAAAAAAATTAGTTTGATTAAATAATAATTAATAAAAAAAATCCAGTCCGAAAAAAAATGATATGGACCTTTTGATAATATTAATGAAAATTAGGGACTATTTTATATAAAGCAATAACTTAAAAGACCAAAGTGTAAAATCATGATAAAATAATAAAAAATCACTTTTTTTTTGAAAAAATGATATCGTTTTGATTTCACTGTAACATGGACTTAGCTAAAGTGAAACCACATCCGCTTTTAGTATATGCATAATAATTAATTAAAAAAAAGTATTAAAAAACCCAAAAAAGAGACTGGGTTGGACTAAACCAGGCTCATGAGGCTGGGCTAGAAGCATAGCCTAGCCATAAAATTAAGAGACTCTTTTGAATAAAATTATAAATCAAAGAATAAAATGTAAAAAATTAGATAAATTAACATAAAATCACCTTCTTCTTCTTTTTTTTGGAAAAAACATATTCGTTTTAAACAAAAATGTTCGATGTTGTTTTAATTCATTATAGCAGAGCTCAGTTGCAATAAAATCATATATCATTTTAAATTATTTATGATTTTGAAAAAAATTCATTAAAATTAGCATCAATAGATAATCAAAATGGCACACAAAGCATCAAAAGGTATCACAATTGGAAGCTGCGGAATGAATGAGTAACTAATAATGATCTAGATTATCATTTTTATTAGAAGAAAGCTTCTGTCTTGAGCATTCACACTACTTGAGAAACAGACTTGTAACATGAGGCAGATCCTTTTGAGATGCCCAATAACATTTGCGTTTTGATGTTTTGAACAAGACAGGCTACATTTGTCATAAAACCTTGTACAAGATCAACGGCAAAAGCCTAGTAGTTTGATATTAAAGAGCTAAGAAAACTTTTGAAGTGTCGTGGAGAAGAGGTAGTTTTGTATCAGGAAGAATAGAAAAGTGATAATTCACATTGCTATCCACGCTAATTCATTAATTAAAGAAAAATATGATGTTGGTTTTTCAACAGAAATGCCATGGTGCTTGTTAATTTTCATGAGCTAGAGATTAAATAAAATCTTGTAGTGGGTTAGATCTACAACGACGAAAATTTTTAGGCAGATTATACAATTAATACTTTGTAATTAATTGTTTTATTATATCTACTTAATTTTCAAATTTGACTTAGATGGTAAGAGTGGAAATTAAGAGAGGGTTTTTACTCTTTCTTTCGTGTTTATTTATCATGCTATTTTTTTTTCATTTTAAGTTTATCTTTTTACATTTGATTTTTTTTCGTATCATTCGGTTAACTTTTTGAATTGATAGTGTTAAATCAAAACATTAGCATCACAGAATTGCAAAATATGTCAACTGTGTTTTTTTCCCTCTTATTCTCATACACTTACTCTATTTTTTTTTATAGAATTTAAGTAAATAAATTTTAAATTTTTTTAAAAAAGGTGAAGATATATCTGGTCTTTTAACCACTTTTGACTGAATATTCTCAAAAAAAAAAAAAAAATCTAACAAAATTTATACTATCACTTTTAAGTCGAATTAAAGAATTTTAAAAATGAAAATAAGAAAATTATAATAAATTCTTTTGAGGTATTATAAAATTATAAACACCCTTCAAAAGTTTAAAATTTTAATTAAAACTCTTTTGATATTCAAAAGAAACCTATAAATATTTTATTTTATCCTAAAAATTTTGCTTACAAGATAACCCATAAAGGATGCTTTAGATAAAAAAAATATTTTTATCTTCACCTTGATTTTTAGTTTTTAGCAAAAATGATCAGATATATCTGAAAAAATAAAGAAAAAGTTTTAAATAAACTCTTTTGAGATATTATAAAATTATAACTGTCATTCAAAGTTTAAAATTTTAACTAAACTAATATTTATATATTTTTTAAAAAGTATTGCGTATTCCATTTAATACTCAAATTTTGCTTACTATCATATATATATAAATTAATTTAAACCCATAAAATTTAATACTCAAATTTTGCTTACTATCATAATACTGAAATTTTGCTTACTACAGATTAAATTGAAATTCATAAATGATATTTTGGATAAAAAAAAGTTTTATCTTTACCTATTTTGTTTTCTAAAATTTATTTATTTAAATTAAAAAAACAGAGGGATAAGATTAAAGAAAAAAATAAATATAAACACATGTCGTAATGTTGTGACGCTAATTAATGATGTGATTTAACATTGTTAGTTTAATAAGTTAACAAAAAGGTCGGTTAAAATAGACACTAAACATATATGGACAAATTTAAAACAAATAAAAGTAAAAAAGATAAGATAATTAAGATACAAGGAAAAGAGAAGAATCTTAAGACATATAAACTCTTTGCCACTGATTTCATTGCTTAATTAGTTCGGATTCATCTATACTCGTTCAGGTATAAAAACATGTTGAAGCTTTTCTAGATTTATCAACGAACTTCAATGGAAGCTGAAATCAATGAAAATGGAACTGCAAATCATTTCCAAATAAAACGTAAAACCATCTTCTCCAATACCTCCACACCTAAGAAATTTCAATCCGTCGCTTTTGGACCAACTTGTTCATGTTCCATAAGCACCAATAAGAACATGATGTTGCTTTTTTTCCGGAAATCGCCATCCTGTTTACTAATTTTTATCAGCTAGATATTAAACAAAATGTTCTAGCTAGTGGGGCTGGATCTATAGGGATCCGATTTTTAAGTCATATCACACAATTAATACTTTGTAACTATAGTTGCCTTTTTCGTATCTTGTTTGCAAATTTCATTTACATGGTGAGAGTGAAAATTAAGAGACGAGCTTAGGAGAAGAATCTTAGAGATATCAGCTCTTTGTCACTTTTTTAAGTGCTTAGTTTGGATTCATCCATAGTCTTTCAAGTATAAAAACATAGTGAAGTTTTGCTTCCTAGATTTATGAACCAACTTGAAAGGAAGCTAAAACCAATGAAAATGGAACTGCAAATCTTTTCCAAGCAAAATGCAAAATCTCTTCTCCAACACCTTCACACCTAAAAAAAAATTTATGTTGTCCCTTTAGGACCAGCTTATTCCTGTTCCATATGCACCAATCAAAACATGAAGTTTATTTTTCAACGGAGTCACAATCATGCTTGTTAATTTTTATGGGCTAGGGATTAAACGAAATCTTCTTGTCGGGTTAGATCCATAGAGATCAAAATTTAAGTCAAATTATAACATTAATACTTTGTAACTAATTGCTTTGTCATCCTAGTTTTAAATAAGGAATATAGTTGTAAAAACAATAATAATAATGATCTTGAATCATTACTTATTATATTTTAAAATAAAGATCATGATAATCAATATTATAATACATTAAAAATTATTAATTAATTTGTTTTAAAACTAAGAATTAATTTTTTTTAAACAATAATATAGGTGGTCATTATTCGAGCCGTTATTCACCAAATAATAATAATACTAGCATTCACCATTATATCATGTTGTATAATTTGTCAAATAATGGCTCCTACGTTGCGTAGCAACGTTATTTAAGCTATATCCTTCTTATTTGCTTTACAAATTTTACTTCCATGGTAAGAAAGGAAATTAAGAGACAATGGTAGAAGAAGAATCTTACACACGTACATATAAGCTCTTATATATATATATATATATATATATATATATATATATATATATATAATTTACACATTCAAAGCTTTTAACATGATTAATTTATTATCATTTAAATTCATGATTTCTTGTTATAAGAGATCTCTTGTCGTAAGAGATTATTATCACTGAACTAAAAGCTCTTTGATATATATATATATATATATATATGTATAAACTTTTTGCCATTTGATTGAATACTTGGTTTGAATTCATCTTTCAAGTATAAAAACATGTTGAATCTTTGTTACATTTCTCAACCAACTTGAAAGGAAGCTAAACACAACGAAAATGGAAGTACAAATATTCATTTCCAAACAAACTGCAAAACCATATATATTCTCTAACACCTCCACACCTAAGAAATTTCAGGTTGTCCCTTTCGGACCAGTTTGTTCTTGTTCCATATATATGCACCAATCAAAACATGCATGATATCTTAATAGAAATCGCTATCATGGTTGTTAATTTTAATCAGCTAGATATTAATCAAAACCTTCTAGTGAGATTAGATCTATAGGGATCAAAATTTTTAAGTCAAATTATTCAATTAATATACTTTGTAATTAATTGTTTTGTTATATCTGCTTTCTAAATTTGACTTGCATGGTGAGAGTGAAATTAAGAGACAATGACAGGTGAAGTAATTTAGACAAATTAATTGTTTGCCACTTCTTTCAGTGCTTAGTTTGGATTCATCTATGCTCTTTCAGATATAAAAACATGTCGAAGCTTTGCTAGATTTCTCAGCCAACTTGAAAGAAAGCTAAAAACAAAGAAAATGGAAGTACAAATCATTTCCAAACAAAGCGTAAAACCATCTTCTCCAACACCTCCGCACCTAAGAAATTACAAGCTGTCCCTTTTGGACCAGCTTAATCCTGCTTCATACACATCAATTCTCTTGTTCTATCCCATGAATGACAATACTTCTACTAGCAATTTTTGTGTCCCCAAGAGGCTAGAATTGCTAAAACAATCTCTAGCAGAGACCTTAACTCACTTCTATCCCCTTGCTGGAAAGATCAAAGATGAGCTTTCCATTGATTGCAATGATGAAGGAACCTATTATGTAGAAACAGAAGTTAACTGCCATCTCAATGAATTCCTTGGGCAGCCTGACCTCCTGTTAGTGCATACATTCTATCCCTGTGGTCTTGTGAAGGGAGCAAAAACTGTCCCATGTGTTGCTAATTTTCAAGTAAATGTCTTTCAATGTGGTGCTATTGCTATTGGCATATGCATATCTCACCGGATCGTCGATGGCGCTGCACTGAGCAGCTTTCTCAAGGCATGGTCTGCCACAGCCAGAGGCAGCAAGGAGGCAATTGTATATCCTGATTTCGTTGCCAGTTCTCTCTTCCCTGTAAATGACCTGTCGCTTAGAAACTCAGCTATGCTCACGTATGGTTCCTTGTTCAAGAAGGGCAAGTGCTTGACCAAGAGATTTGTGTTTGATGCCTCAGCAATTTCCAAACTCAAGGCCCAAGCAGCCAGCTTAGAAGTGAAATGCCCCACTCGCGTCGAGGTGGTTACATCTTTACTGTGGAAGTGCATTATGGCTGCATCAGAAGAGCGGCGAGGATCCCAAAGGCCGTCTTTACTAACCCACTGGGTGAATCTGCGAAGGAAAATGAAACCAAAGTTGTCAGATAATTCCATGGGAAATCTCCTGTGGTTAGCAGCTGCAAAACACATGAACCAGTCCAAAGCTGAATTAAATGACTTGGTTGGTGTGGTGAGGAAAGCAACATCAAAAATTGATGCTGACTTTGTTGAGAAGATAGAAGGCGATACAGGCAGGGCTCTGGTGTCTGAGTTACTTAGAGAAATAGGAGAGTTTGGCTCCAAGGATGGAGTAGATTTCCTTAGTTTTTCCAGTTGGTGTAAATTCGATTTCTATGACGTTGATTTTGGGTGGGGAAAGCCTGTCTGGGTAAGCAGTTACGCTAAAGTAGGTTCACTTATGACGAACCTCATCCTTCTGGTTGACACAAGAAGTGATGGCATAGAAGCTTGGGTGACCTTGGATGAAAAGGACATGACTTTTTTAGAAGGCAATCCAGAGCTCCTCAAATTTGCAACTCTGAACCCAAGTCCTTTGGACATCAATAAATCGGTGTCGAGTACGTGAGAGATGAGACTGATCAGTATGTATTGTTGCTAGCATTCCTACTGCAGTTTGTTACTCGATAAGGTTTCTCAGAATTAAATAAGGCTATAATGTCATGTATCTCTGTTGTTAGAATGGCTTTACCAAGGATAGGAGAGCTTCGGAATCTTCCATACAATAAGGTTTTGAAATAAAAGCATCTGTAAGTATAAATTCTTGTCATTTCTCCACCTTTTTCTTCTGCTTTCTTGGCTTCTGCTGCATCCACCAGTAACAAGAACAAGTGCATTATTTTAAGATTTGTGCAGAGGCGGTGCTTCGGCGAGAATAGATTACAGAAATCGTAACACTGATGTTTAAACGGAAACCACTATAATATGATAGTCAGCTTCTATTCCATGCTGGATTAAAGAAAGAGCTAAGATTATAGGGATCAATTTAATCAATTGATCTATTGCCATTGTCATATGGTAAGGTTGGAACTTGGATTTGAAAGAAAATCCTTATCTGCCAATTCACCAATGTCACATGACAGTATTCTTGCACCATTGCTCGTATCCTCCTTTCTCGCTTCTTGGTGTGCTTAGTTCCTACCAATCCATATGCCCTTCATGTTGAAAACTCTTATCTATGTCTCCACCAACTGGGAAGTTGAAAGGAAATATTAGCCATAAAACAATATGCGAAACCTCTTCTGGACAGCAGCTGCACAACATGTGACCAAGTCCAACCCTGGTAGAACTTGGAATCTTCCATTCAATTAGGTTTTAAAATGTAGATAGAACAGAGTAAATTATAAACTCGTCCCTCTGAAATTTTTTTTTTCAAAAACTAATTATTTAACAGTCTTAATTACGTTTAATTTAATATTATTTTATTTTAAAAAATGATTATTTTTATCCATTCTTTCATATTTCTTTTTTTTTCTTTTTATATTTCTTAAAACAAAAAAAAAATTGAAGAAAAAAGTTTAAGTTACAAAAAAATAAAAAATATAGACATTAAATAATTATATTTTAAAAGAATAATTAATTCATTTTTCAAAACAAAAAAAATTAATTTATTATTTACTCAGATAGAACTTGGAGTTCTAAAATTTGCATCTGGTAGCATTTCATATAGCAAGACCATTTCTGACAAGAATTATGCTATGTTTAGGTAATTTCTTTATTTGGGCTGGTTGCCTCCAACGCCTTAAATGCGGTTATCAATTACATTATAAGCAGATGATCTCAAAATCCAAAACATAAAAGCAAAAGATATTATTTTTTTGAAAAACTATAAGTTTTTTTACAAAAATTAAAAAAAATTAATTGTTATGGCATATTAATATATTTTCATACTTTTTGAAAAGTGTTTTTGAATTTTTTTTATAAAATATATTTTAACTAAGAATTTTTTAAAAACAATTATGTAATTTAAAATTTTAAGTAGATCAATATTTTAGAAAAAATATAAATAGAAAGATATATGATCTCTTTTGAGATCGAGGGACTGTTATCAAAGATTAACCAAAAAAAAAAAAAAAAAGCCTTCTAAATGAGCTTGCCAAAGTGAAATTCCTTGATTTAGAAAAAAAATAAAATAAAATAAGAAGGGAATAGGCCTCTCATATATTCGTGGTAGGCCCAAAATGGGCTTGTGATTACTATAAAATGGGAAACCTGAAATGCCATCAGCCGGGCTTCTTTTGATATTTAATTGTTGAGGTTTCCATAGATGTGATAATGCCTCAAGTCCCTATACTTTCAGTTTTATCTTATTTTAATCCCCTACCATTTCCTTTTTTTTTTTTTACATCCCTACTATTTCTTGCTTGATTTATTTTCTAGAATTAAGACCCTTTTATAATTTGTGATCATTGGTCAATGATGATTAGTGAAGGTGCTAAGTCATCTCATTATTTGCTCCAAAATTTCACCACAGTGTACTTTTCATCTTAATATATTTTCTTCATTGATTTTAATGGTTATTCTTTCTTATTTTAAATTAAAATATGAATAAAAAAATAGCAAATAATATTGTGTATTTTGACGCTCAAACGTATATAAAAAGATTTCACGACGCTTATGTCAAAGATGAAACTTAAACCATTTCTTTAAGTAAAATTAATGAGATGTAGTGATATTCGAACTCAAATAGAGTAGTTGTTTTAATAACAGTATTTTACCAGCATGGATAATTAGTAATAATTATTTTTTTAATAATATCATATTTGAACTAATTTGGGTTGAAATGCAATCTAATAATCGATGAAAAGTTAGGATGTTCTAATACAAGTTTAATCTAAAAAATAATAAATTGAGTTTTGATTGATATAAAAAATAATTAAAAAAATATTTCATTATCTGTAAATAAAAAAATAGTATTCGATAGAACTGTTAGATTATAAGAATAGGGTTTTGTCATTTTTAAGATGATGTTAGGATAAAAATAATAACAGCATCAAACTAAACAAAATTGAGAAAATAGGGACCCAAATGGATCATTAAGTTAGTGTGAAAGCTGCCGTTGAACGTGGAAACTCTAGATTAGACAATCTGACAAAGTCACAAACACACACACTCTCTCTCATCATCGTCGACAGAGAAGCAAACAAGAAAAAATTCACTCAAAAGCAGATCATATCACAGCCGTTATCTCTCTCTCTCCTTTTCTTTTTGGCCTGCAAGCAAGAAAGGAAAAGAAATGAAATGAAACAGAAAGCAACAGAAAAATCAAGAGGAAACAAATTTTCCTCTTTCTCAAACTTATGGCTTCTCTCCTCTCTCTCTTCTGCTTTTTCATTTTTGCTTCTCTTTCACTCGCTAATGCTAAATCTAATTCTACTTTCACTCCCATCAATCGCGATCTCTACCACTCCAGGTGATTAATTAATGGTCGCAGATTATAAGCAAGAATTACCCTGAATTTTTCTTTTTAGTTACGAAATAGTGCCTGAATTTGTTGCTCTTCTTTTTGCTGCAGTGCTGATTTATTAGAGCAAATAAAGGCATTGGTACACCGGCACCCAGACAAATTTACCGTACGTTTTTTCTTTTTTGGGTAATAAAAAGTTTGTTTGTTTTTTTTTAAATGTTGTTTATAAGGTTGTAATGATGGGTAGCTGTTATTTTTTTAATTTAATAGGTTGAGACGACTAAAACAGGAAACAAGGGTTATAAAGCAGAGATCACTGTGGTTACTTATTGCAGAGGTAGAAAAGAAGAGAATGATGACAAATCAAAGTTTCGGATTCTTCTTGTAAGTTTTTCACCCTTTTACTTCTTTTTTTAATTGTTTATGTATTTATGGAATAACCCATCAAGTAGTTTGATTAAAGGAATTGTTGGTTTTGTTGATTAGATTTAAGGGATTCGATTTGGTGTGTAGTGGATTAGATTATTGCAGATTGTTATGTTGGTGTGATTGGTAATTGCTGGTTTTGTTGACAGATGATTCCCTTGTCTTCCAGAGTTTCGGGCAACATGGGAGGGAGCTTATTACAACAGAACTTGCATTCCGGATCTTGTCGATTTTAAGTGAGGAACAGTTTCTACCTGATTTAGATGTTGCTTCTTTAAACAAGACCCTAGACAAGCTCATCATAAAGGTAGTTTAAATCTGTGGTGGGACTCTAATTTCCCTTATAGCTGAATTATGTGTAAATTAAGGCAACCTAAAACCTTAGAAGCCAGGGATATATATTCATTATTATTGGTTCTACGAGCTGATGTTTAGGAATGCTAATTTTCAATGGCTGGCAGGTGGTGCCAATGGAAAATCTGAATGGACGGAAACTTGTTGAAGAAGGAGATCTTTGTGAGAGGAGAAATGGTAATGCAGTCGATTTTTTAGGTTTAATATGAATGTTTGGAAAGTTATAGAAGTGCTTAAGTTTATTTTTTTGACAGGTAGAGGAGTTGATCTCAACCGGAATTGGAGTGTTGATTGGGGCAAAAAGGAGAAGGTGTGTTCTGTTTATTAAATTTAATACCGTTTGATACTCTTCTGTGTAACATCATTAAAAGATTATGCTGAGGTGGACTCTCAAAGTAGTAACTCGTAGTGTACTTGATAAGTGGATTGAAATCTTTGTACATTGGACCATAACCAGTAAAGTTTTTACTTCCCTTATATCAATCACTGAAGGATTCGAATGTCATAATTGAGTTCAATGGCATGCTCCTACGTGATGTGGTTTTTTTCCCACGTATTTAAAGCTTATCCAATTACAGGACTATGATCCATATGAAGAAAATCCTGGAACTGGTCCTTTCAGTGAACCTGAAACTCAAATAATGCGGAAACTCGCCTTAACATTCGATCCTCACATATGGATTAATGTGCATTCTGGAATGGAGGTGAGTGGTTCCAAGTGCCTTGTTAATATTCATTATTACTAATTGCTAAACTGATGTCCTAAGAAATGTGTTTTGTCAATTTTTTCACGCTTAAGTTTGGTTCTTTATCTGCCTCCTTCCCTTTTCATTTAGGGTTGCATGATGTCTTATTTATTTTTATTTGTTCAGGCGTTATTCATGCCTTATGACCACAGGAATATAACCCCTGATGGCGCGCCATCCGAACAGATGAGGTCATTGCTTAATAAACTGAACAATGTTCACTGCCACAAGCATTGTATGATTGGTTCAGGAGGAGGCTCTGTTGGGTTTGTATTACTTAAACTGAGAACCTGTGTCTTACTTTTTTCCATTTTTTCTAGAGAGAGACCCACTGTTTTAGTGTCTTAATAGTGGTTATGGATGAATGATCTTAAGATACAATTAGTTCCTATTTCTGCAAATCGTGCTGTCGTATGGACGTTACCACTTAATCACAGTGCATTGCATACAAGTGATTCACATAGACATAATGGCTTTGAAATATGGCCATTTTTCCTTTGGGTCATCTCTTGGGAGGTGGGACATCATGTAATTTTGTAAATGTAGCCATGCCTGCACTGTCCAAACTTCTGATTTGTAGTTGGTTCATATGTATCATTCTAGACTTCTAGTCTAAAACATCTGGGTACCTTGGCTGTTATAGCCTAGTGTCTTTAGGCCTGCAGGGTCTATGGAGTTGCCATGGAACTCTTGCTAGCGTACAATTCCTTTTGCTTAGTTCTCAGTATTTAGGTGCCCTGGTTCCGCATATAATCAACTTGAAGGAAATATGATTTGCCATACAATGTTGAAAATTAGATGGCTGAGGCTTGCCACTTTGCATTTTTACAATTTTGGCGAGGCATGCCACTTTGCAATTTTACAATTTTGACACATTTTTGTCTGATGCCTAATTTAGGTATCTTGCACATGGGACAGCAACAGATTTCATGTACGACATCGTAAAAGTGCCAATGGCTTTCACCTTTGAGGTTTGTGAAATATGAACTCCTTCCATAGAAATGCTCAAAAGCCAGTCTTTCTTGTTAACTTTTGTTTCATGCTATAACTGGCAGATATACGGAGATGAGGCAGCTTCATCAAAGGACTGCTTTAAAATGTTTAATCCCGTTGATCTTACTACCTTTAATGTAAGTGTCATGTTCTATCAATATTTTACCAAATTAGCATTTGGTTGGTGATGGAAAGAATTGAAATTTAACTAATCAAATTTTCTTTTTGGGTACAGAGAGTCCTCAATGATTGGTCTTCTGCTTTTTTCACAATTTTTAAGCTGGGACCGTTCCAGCTAGATGGAAACAGTTCAAAGGCAATGATAGCATCCGGATTCGACAAGTTTGTATCTATTGATGAATATCTTGATGGGTACTTAATGGAGAGGAGAAATAGATATGGTAAAAAGATGGAAGTGCTAGATGTTGGAATGCAGGAGATAAGAACATATTTTAGGCTCTTCTTATTATCCTCAGTTTTGTTATTGTTCATGTTTTGTTCTAGAATTGCAAAGAGCAAGTCCAGTAGACCTATTGTTTCAGCCTTACCCATCTAACATTTTATCTCCATCCACGATATAGTGCACACAGGAGAGAGAGAGAGAGAGAGAGACGTACTCATACATTCTTTAGGAAAAGATATATTTTCTGATTGTGTAATTAACCTTCATGGAGAACTTTTTTTGGCCCATAATTCAGTATTAGTTTCTCTCAATGAATGGCTTCTGCATTTACTTACATAGTCTCTGCTCGCTAAGGCTACCCTTGAACTTGAACCTGATGGATTATGAGTTGAACACAAACGAAAAGGCGAAGGGGAGGCTGATAAGAACCTATCTATCAGATGAGAAAATAGCAAATGCTTGCCATAATTCAATGGGAAAGAAATTTCATGGTTTTTGTTTGGTTGAATTTTCCTTTCACAAAGCACCACAGGAGGATGATACTAAATCATGAACAGTATCTATATTTCTCTTGTGGTCTAATTATCAGGCGCTGTGAGAAAAATATTAACAACTGTACAAATGGGAAGGATTAGGGATTAAGGATGAGGTTTCCTCAAATCCTGTGTTTTATATCTGAGTATATGACACTTCGTGGATGCAGAAAATCATATGTTCCCGAAGCAGAACCCCATTCCAAATCATGTGAGGATGTACATATACGAGTATTTCCTGCGAAACCATTGAGTCTAAGAGAATGAGGACTTTTTCATGCTATGGGGAATATATGTCGATCATCATAAAATGAGAGACAGCGCAAGGGACTGCAGGCACAAACCTTAAAGCAGAAAATCAACTTTGAATGTAATAATGAACTCATTTTTCGGTATGGCTGGATAGCTCGGTCTTCTCATCTACAATTCTAGTGTTTGCTTCATGTATTTCAGAGCAGAGCGTAACATTGCTCTAGCTTTCCTATCTGGAGTACACCCAGACAAAATCATTTCTTCGTACACAGATGGCACCTGAAACATTCGGAATATTTTCATGTCATATGTGACATAAAATTTTACGCTGAACCAATTATCTAAGCACATGGTCATAGAACCAAAGGGTGAACGAATATTCAGACATTATAACTGTATAGGGCATTTAAGATGTTTGTTAGACATAAACAGCAATCTCATCTGGCTTAACCAAATGTGACCTTCATGTTACATCCTGTAATGCAAGTCCAGAATTAGTGGATGCACTATAAAGTTAAAGTGAACCACTGTTAATCCACTTTCAAAGGCTCTGAACTTCCAGCTCAGATACAGACATACAGTATAAGCAAACAAAATTGTGGTATGACACACACCAAACAATGGTTACTCAGTTTCAGGTTAAAAAAGTGGTCATAAACCATGCATCAGGTATTTCATATAATGTTTCATTTCCAGGTAGAAGCAATGAGAAAATATGCATCCATTTGATTAGCTTATTTTAAGGCAGGTATAGCATGATTGATAGTACCAACTGAGACATCTAAATTTGATATATGGGTCATAGCAAACAGTGCGTGATGGATAATGGACACGAAATGCAAAGGTGGCAGTCTCAAGGTCCAAACATATCACAAGAAAGAAAGGCAGCGCATCAAAATTTCCAAACATATGCATATGAAAAGGAGACACAGATATCTGGGATTTATGGGCATGACTTGTCTGCAAGCAATATAACAAATACTATACCTTATCGAACTTCTCAACACGAATCAGAGCTTTCATCAGTGTTGTATAAGTAACCACATCTGGTTTCAAGTCCTGCAATTATAGTTCCAATGGAGGTTTGATAAGAGGGCAAGAAGATTGCAGTTTCAACAGGAAAGTAGATACTCATGAACAACTATTAACTATCGCTTACATATTCCTTCATGTACTGCAGCACTGCAAAAGCTTCAACATCCCTCCTATCCTCGCCAAATGCATTGATCAATGAATTGAGAGCTAAGAGACTAGGCTTTAGGCCATCAGCCCTCATTGCCCTAAATGCACTTACAGCTTGCTCAGACAAACCCTGTGAGAAAATGAAATGCAAGAAAATTAAGAAGTCAAATCAGTAGATCCTTCATTTATTAGAGTTCCCATTTGCAAGAAAAAGGTATGGAACACTTTCATTTGAACCTCCTTATGGTCTAATTTGCACACACCAAGACCTAACCTTGCTCTTCTGAGGATTAAAAGCCCCAGTGAATTGAAGATGTAAATTAATAAAACAAGTGACAAAGTGCACAACCATCCCAATTGGACCAGAACCAAGTATTTTGGTAAGGTTGACAGCATCATCTCACTAGTCATCAAAATGACAAGTGTCGATGATATCAAGTGCACAGCAAATATAATGAATAAGTTCATCAGTAATTATCTAAAATATTAGTCATGTTCTCCTATGTGCCACCCATACAGTATGCTAAAAAATGATAAGTTGGACATTTAAGCACAGGATCATAGATATATAGTTTCTTGCACGTAAATAGGTTATGTATTAATGCAGAAGTTTATGTTTATGCCCACAACAAAAATAGTCCAGGTGACCAAGACTACGCCTATAATCTACCATAATCTGATTATCAGTACGCAAATGAAAAGGCATTTAGCAAGATCAGATGATAAAGCAATTATATAAAGGAGTTGATGTCAGTGACAGGGATGTTAACATACCCTCTGTGCATAGGCATTTATCAAAGCGTTGTACATAGTAGAGGATGGTTTCAATCCTGCAGCTTTCATATCATCCAAGCACTCAATTGCATCATTAAACCTCCCTGATTTCCCGTAAATATCAATGAGGGTAGTATATGTCACGGCGTTAGGCAATAAACCCTGACTCTGCATATTTGTCAACAAATTCTTCACATCGTCCCATCTCTCCTGTTCCCCAAATGAATTAATCATAATGTTAAATGTAGTATTACATGGCGAGTAGCCTCCTTCCATCATTTCCTCAAACAACTCCTCCGCTCTATCATGCTTCCCAGACTTACAATGACAATCTATTAGTGTATTCCAAGTAACTGTATCAGGCTCTATCCCCTCCGATAACATCCTATCAAAGGTAGCCATAGCATGATCGAGACAATTAAACTTGCCAAAAGTATCAATCATAACATTATAAAATACCCTATCAGGACGCACCCCACTATTCTTCATTTCCCTCAAAACCTGAAAAGTTTTCTGCCACTCCCCTTTATCCCGGTAACTTGACAAAATCCGACTAAAAACATAGGCATTAGGCTGCACATTACTTGCTTCCATTTCCTTCAACACGATCCTCGCACTCTCCCATCTCCCTGCATTCCCATACGCATCAATCAACAAACTATAAGTCTGTTCATTAGGCGAAACACCACTCCTTTCCATCTCCGAAACAACAAACTCCGCATCTTTCAACAAACCTACTTTAACATAACCTCTAAGAAGTGCGTTATAAGCCCTAGTCCTTGGTTTCAATCCATTATCTCTCATTTCCTCAAAAATCGCCTCTGCTTCCACCGTCCTACCACAATTCCCTAAAGCCCAAATAACCGTTACAAGCGTCGCAGTTTTCACGCTCAATCCACTACCTTGAACCACACCTAAAAACTCCAATGCTTGACTTAAATCACCAGCTTTCGCAAACCCAACAATGATATCATTCGATAACTGCACATCAAGTTCAAGCTTATCACACTCAATTTCCCTATAAAGCTTTTGCAAAATAGCAGAATCAACTCGATTTTTCCTCATTAATGACCTAATTATCAAACTATAATTAACAAAATCCGAAGGATAACCATCCTGCCTCATTCTAGATATCAAATTAAGCGCCTTTTCAAGATCATTATTCCGTGCACACGCGCTAATCAAGGCATTATAAGTTAATGGGGTCAAATTTTGACTCTGAGAGAGCAAAAACGCCTCGTATAATTTCTCTGATTGGCCTAACGCGTGAATCAAAATAGAATACAGCAACTCATAAGAGAAACAGAGGTTATGCTTCTGTAGCCATGAAACGACAGCGTAAGCGAGACCAATAGAGGAAGAGGAAGAGCAGAGAGATTTCAATAGAGAGTGCCAGAGTGGACCAGGGACTACACGGTATGACTCGGCGAGTTGGAACTCAGTGTGCTCCAGTGAAGTAGGAGAGGCTGAGTTGGATTCGGATTCGGAGTCGGAGTCGGTGGAAGTGGCAATTTTGTTGGAGAGATAGTCGAGTAGTGGATTGAAGTCATAACGGCGGCTTTGTAGAGGGAGAATGTCGTTGTCGTCGTATTCGTAGTCTTCTATGGCGTTTTGTGAAGCAGCTTTTTGTCGTTTTGAAGAAGAAAGAGAGTAGTCGGCGACATTCGTAGTGGTGAGGGCAGTGGAAGTGGCGCAGAGTGGTGGGTGGAAGATAAGGTGGTGCTGGTGGTGCTGGTGGAAGATTGGAGAAGTTACGTTAATTGAAGAGAATCGATTTGGGAGAGGTTGCGGGAACAAAAGCATTTTCTGATTCTGCTTTTCTTGAGAGAGGGGGTCAAGGAGAGACTGAGAGAGCGTAGAGTGGCTTAACGAGAAGCAAGAAATGATGCTTTTTATCAGGTTTAGATATTTTGTGCTCTTGGTGGCGAAGAGGACGACACACAATTTTTAAAGGGGTATGGTCCCTCAATTTTTATAAATGTGATAAATAAATCCCTATGTATTTATTTTAGATATACAAACCCTCGTATTTTTAAATTTTACACCTTAAAAATATGATATTGTAATAATTACTCCTGTAATAATTCTCTTGCATTTTCAAACTCGTATCAAACGTCACACTCCACGTGGTTAGATGCTAAGTCACGAGAGTTGTCTTAAATGGTTTTTTAAAATTTAAGGGATCATGAATTTATAATGGGTTCGAATATTTTGTGTTTTGGTAGTTTTTACTTGAGGGAGATTTGTTCAGGTTCATTTGTTATGTTTCTTGGGATATTGATATGGTAACACCCAAATTACTAAGCAAAGGCTAATATTAAAGTTTGGTCATGTGCATTAAATAAAGTGGACATCTTCAATGAAGAAATTTATTTTTATTAAAAATAATTTATTGTTAATAAAAATAAAATATTCTCCAAACTAGAATTAAAAAAATCAAAAATAAATATTTTTTTATAAAAGGGTCTTATTTTGCAAATCATTCTTCTATATACATGCTAATTTTTTATTGTGTTAATATGAAACCAACATATATATATATATATATATATATATATATATATATATCCTCGATTCGGGATGAAGTAGGATATTTGTTAATAGTAATTAGCTTTAAATGGAGAAGGAATAAAAAAAAAAGGAGTCAAAGGAAAAAGAAAGACATTATATAAAAAGGTGAAAAAATATAGAAAAAGGTAAGACGAAAATTAAGGATGACCGATTATAAACAAAGAAGCACAAGTATTAAAACTCCTAGGATAAATAAATTTTTAAAAAAAAACATTAAAACTCTTATTTTAATAATTTTATTGTGACCATATTTTAATCATAAAGTTATTAAAATTCAAGATTATTTTAATCGAATTAATTTTTTGAGATAAAATTGGTAATTTTATATACAGTTATGAATATTTTTATACAAAAAAATATTAATAGATAAACTTTAAAAACATACTCTAACTATACAGATAGTCTCAATTTGTCCTTTTAGTTGCAAACAATTTCGATTAAGTCTTTTTATCCATGCTTAATCAGCAATGTTGTTAAATATTTTTTAGGAAACTTAATATTTTCCATGGAGAAATTCCAATAAAAAACCCCAATTAAGAAATCAAAATTACGTAATAATAAAATTGATACAAATTCAGTTTTGAAGTAAAAGTGATGCTAAATACAAGCCACATTGTTAGGATTATTTTCTAACGTAAAATTTGAGTAAATTATAAATTAATCTATCAAATTTTGTAATAAATAAATTAATATTTTTTTAGTTATTTTAAAAATTAATTAATTAGTTTTTTTATCAATATTGATCATAGTTAATTTAATATTATTTGTTTAAAATAATATCTTATTTTTTATCGATATTTTTCCTATTGTACTTATTTTTATTTTATTTAAAAAAATTAGATTATAAATAAGTTTAAAAATATAGAATTAATTAATTAATTATTAAAACAAATGAAACTATTTAATTTCTTTTCAAAAACCAGACTTAACTAATTTATAATTTGCTTCACAAATTCCATCCATCTTGGGCTTTTTTTTTTTTTTCAACCGACCAAACGGCAACGTTTCCTCCACTTCAACGAAACAAAATAGTCCCTTGCCTGATTTTGCAAAACCCTAGACCTCGAGACCGAAGAAGCGGCAAGGGGTTTTTCTTCTCCTCTTTCGCAAAAAGTTCAAATCTTCTCAGAAGCCATGGGAGGATCTAGAGCTCAATTGAATAAACCTCACAAGTCTCGCTTCTCCACTAAATCTTCTCGTAACCTTCACAAAACTTCCCATAAAGGTTCTTCTCTTTCAATTTCTCTTACCTTTCTGTAATTTTTATTAATTTAATTGGATTCCAAATTGATTTCTTTTTGTGTTTTCGGTGTTTTAGACAAGAGTAGAATTGCAAAATCGGAGCGTAATGTTGCTAAGGGAGCACGAGCTGCTCGGCTTCAGCGTAATAAGATGGTAATTTTGATATTTTTAACTCTCTTGAATTTATGAAAATTGTTTTGATTTTTTTAAAATTTTAATTTGGTATTTGTAGCTGCGAGAGCAGAAAAAGGCGGCACTGTTGAAAGAAAAAAGGGCTTCCAGTTCATCCAAAAGCGCTCCTCTTGTAATAGTGAGTATCTTCGTCAGCAAGCTTCTTTGTTTGATTTAGTTATTTGTTTAGGGTTTATGGATGCTAATAAATTTTCGTTTTTTCTTGTTTTGATTTGGGTAGGTTCTCTTTGGTCTTTCTGAATCTGTGAATGTGGATTCGCTTGCGGAAGATCTTCTGAGAGTGTTGTCTAATGAGGGTAATGGGGATGTTTCTTCAACAGTTGCTTCTTCTGAATATAAAATGAGGATTTCAGTAAGTTCTGAATTTTTTCTATATGAACTTAGTTTAATGTTAATCTTGTCACATTCTGAAATAATTAGGCAACTAATTGAGTATGGATATTTGTGGTATTGGTTGATGTTTTGTGCTTTTAGGTATTGAAAGCACCTCATGGGGATTTGTTGTCCTGTATGGAAATGGCCAAGGTATAAATATTTTGGCAATTGTCTTCTTTTTTTTTTTTAATTCACAAATTTTGTGGATTTGTGGTGCTTTTTATCTTTTACCTTTTTAATTGGTCTAAATTGTAGGTTGCTGATCTAATTGCTTTTGTGGCATCAACTAACTCATTATATGAAGAAAACGCCTCTGATTTCGGTTATATTGATTCATTTGGAAGCCAATGTCTATCTGTGTTTAGGCAACTTGGCCTGCCAAACACTGTTGTATTCATTCGTGTGAGTTCTTAATTGATGTGCTTTATTTCCATGTGCATGACAATTTTTTAGTAAGGAACGATTAGACTGGAGTGTTGCTCAATCTGAAGTGGAAAAGGTTTTTCTTTTCTTTGTCTTAGGATCTACCAAGTGATCTGAAAGGGAAAAATGAATTAAAGAAGATGTCTATTTCTAACCTTGCTGGTGAGTTTCCTGAAGATTGCAAGTTCTATCCAGCAGATACAAAAGATGAGTTGCACAAGGTAATGTACAAGTACTATTTTACTGTCCCATTCTATTCTAAATTGATGCTTCGATTATTTCTATAAATGAAATAGCTTTTCATATGGCTCCATTTTATGTCCATCACAGTTTCTTTGGCTATTCAAGGAGCAAAGGCTCACAGTTCCTCACTGGAGAAACCAACGGCCATACCTGATGTCCCAGAAGGTGCATTTTCAATTTCCTCTCTCTCTCTCTCTCTCTATCTCTGATTAGTTTTAGGAAAGTCTAGATATCAGTACCACTCATTGGAAACAATTTGACTTAGCAAACCGTTTTACCAACCAGTTGGGACTGGTGTCTGAATCCTCTCCTCATTCCACTCTATCCAGGCCTTGTTCTCTACCACTAGGAGACAAGTGGGGAAAGATTATGAGAACATTTGGCTATGTTCTTTGTGGAGCATTAAACTTAAAGGAAAAGTGAATATGAAGGAACATATGAGAAAATGACTCCTTTCTTTTGGTTTTTCTGATTCTTAAGACAATATATGAACAAGCACTCAAATGGGTGGTAGCTAGTTCCCTTTACTCCCTCATTCTATTTTCACATGAATCTCCACAGTGCTGTGTTTCGTGCTACACCTTGTAACTGGTTGTTTTCATACTTCATATATGGATGCATTGTAGGTGGATGTGGTAGCAGATGATTCGAACTCAGGAAGATGCACCCTTCTTCTTACTGGTTATCTACGTGCTCACAGCCTCTCAGTTAATCAGCTGGTAAGAAATCCAGCCTTCTTTCTGCTGCTGGAGAATTTGTTGTTAGCTTTCCTCTGGTGGGCTGATCTGCTACTGAATCTTATTTTCTTCACCATCAGGTTCATGTTTCTGGTGCGGGGGATTTCCAGCTACAGAAAATTGAAATTCTGAAGGATCCATATCCGTTGAAGTTAAGGAAAGAACCAGATGCGATGGATTCAGATGATGTGTTTGATGTAGAGGTATTGGCTATTACATTCTAATGAAGGATAAATAATGAAAGATCATGACTTAATTTATCCATCACTGAGCTTAATTCTTTTCTTTTACCCTCACCTTCTCCTTCTGGAAATCATTGTGCATTGAAGGTGTCATTAAATTTTTTCTCCTTTTTTATGGGGTTGGGTACAGAATTAATGTGTTTGAGGAACGACACATTTTTTATATTCCAAACCTGTTTTTGATACTCTCTAACTATCTATTGACTGCTTTACCTATGCAATTAAGCTTCCCATCTATTTTTCTTTATCAATCCAGGTAGTTCGTTCTGTGGATCCTGATTCTTTGAGACAGGAGCCATTGGTTTTTGAAAATGATCTGGATCCTCTTGCTGGTGAACAGGTAATTTGAACAAGCATCAGAATCTCTTGCTGTTAATCATTTAGTACAATCAATGAGACTTGTTTGGAAACAGTTAGTGTTCTTGTAATTGTGGGGCCATGATTTCACCTCTGACCTGTTATTATTTGTCTATTTGAAGTTTTATCAACATAATATAGCACACCAGCTTTAATACTGTCATTTCTGTGGGGAAACAATTGATTTTCTATAAAAGACGGAACTATTTTTTGATGATCTTCTCTTTCAGACCTGGCCAACAGAAGCTGAAATGGCTGAGGCTGATAGAAATCAGAAACAAAAGAGGCAAAAGAAGAGGATTCTTCCTCGAGGTACTTCAGAGTACCAGGTCTGTGCATGTCTTATCGATTTCTAAATAGCCCAATTTACTGTATCTTCTTCTAAATAAACTGAGTTCAGTTTTCAATCCTTCTTTGATGGTATCAAATTCCCTGAATTGCTTGCAGGCTGCTTGGATTGTGGATGATACAGACGATGAGGGTTCAGATAGTGGCAGTGATGCTGATGATGGGATGGTATTGGATGAAACAGAAGGCTATTTTCGGGGTCCCAAGGAAATCAATAACTCAGATGTTGATGAAGATTATCAAGCTTCTCTGGATGATAGGGACGCCAATGAAGAAACTGATGCTGATTCAGTGATGATGGTGGTTTTCAAACTGTGACATATAGTTTAACTAGTTACTTATATGTGCTTGGAGATTTGGAGATTAAACTCCTTTCTTGCAATGCAGGAAGATGAAAACTTAACTAGGGAACAGATAAAGGAAGAGATTAAAAAAATCAAAGCAGCACATGCAGAAGATGAGGGTACCTTCTGTTCCCCTGACCATAAAAAGACGAAGTTGTTTTTTTTTAGTTGATGTTTCTTTGCTGATGTTTTGTTTTGTTTTATTTTATTCATTTATGTATTTATTTTTTTGTGTTTCAGAATTTCCAGATGAAGTGGATACTCCATTGGACATACCTGCTAGAAAACGTTTTGCCAAATATAGAGGTCTCAAGTCTTTTAGGACCTCTTCATGGGACCCAAAGGTAATGTGACCATGATCTTGTGATTGCATATTGTCTTCTCTTAGACTTGGGCACATCACTAAAGTTGTTTTCTGAATTTCAGGAGTCTCTACCTCCAGAATATGCCAGAATTTTTGCATTTGATAATTTTGCAAAAACACAAAAACATGTCTTTGCAAAATTCTTAGATATGGAGCAAGAGAACAGGGATGAGTGTGTACTATCAGGCCAATACGTAAGGCTTCATATTAAGGATGTACCTATTCCTGTTGCTTCTAAGCTATGTCTGCTTGCAAAGACAGCACCAGTAATAGCTTCTGGCCTTTTTCAGCATGAATCGAAGATGTCTGTTCTTCATTTTAGGTATGTTGAATAAAGCATTTTGTTGATTTTTTGCTGCTATTTTCAGTTTTCAGTTCTTCAGTAATCCTCTACATTACTTTCTCTCGCAATATGAGCCTTTCAATGTTTTTCAGTGTTAAGAAGCATGATACCTATGATGCTCCTATCAAAGCCAAAGAAGAATTAATATTTCATGTTGGTTTTCGGCAATTTGTTGCTAGGTGATGTTATTAGCCACAAGTCTTTCAATGTTGCCCTTTTGTGTGCCTTGATGTGTGCCTTCTGTGATTTAACACTCTCTCTTTACTTTTCAGGCCTATATTTTCCACTGATGATATGAATTCTGACAAGCACAAGATGGAGAGGTTCCTTCATGCTGGGCGTTTCTCTGTTGCATCAATATATGCTCCGATTTCGTTTCCTCCTCTTCCATTGATAGTCTTGAAGAGTACAGAAGGAAATGCTGCCCCTGTCATTGCTGCTTTTGGTTCCTTGAGAAGCATTGACCCAGACAGGATAACCCTGAAGAAGATTGTATTAACTGGGTATGAATTTCTTGACCTTCAGCTTACTCTGGAATAATCTTTAGAAACCTCTTCCATCTCCCTGTTCTCCTCATCCCTGCTTCTGTTGCTTACACCAAGTGCAGAACGAATAATAGTTGATGTTTTCTGTGAACCATTTCCCATCTCCCCAAATGGATTTTCTCATTTTATTGAAATGCCTTTATATTCTTGATGCAGTTACCCTCAACGAGTATCAAAATTGAAAGCCTCTGTAAGATACATGTTTCATAGCCCAGAGGATGTAAGATGGTTTAAGGTGAGAGAATATCTATAGCAGATGCTTTTTCTTCTTATTACTTTTGGATGGTTGAATTGAGAAAAAATTGTTTCCCTTTAATCATAATAAAAATTTGTCACTGGTGCTTACAGCCTGTGGAAGTGTATACGAAATGCGGTCGCCATGGTCGAATTAAGGAACCTCTTGGCACACATGGTATTTTTTTTTTTTTTTTTCCCTAGCTAGCCTAATCTTTTATGGGATCGGATTCCATTTTCATCCATGCAGGATTCCAACGTTAAGTTTTCTTATGGATCACATATCTTATGGTGCATCGGATGATTTAAATGATGCGTATATGTGGTATCTTTTACGAGTTTGATGGTAACTATTGTGATTTATGCTCAGGGGCTATGAAGTGCACTTTCAACGGAGTCCTTCAGCAGCACGACACTGTTTGCATGAGCTTGTTCAAACGTGCATATCCCAAGTGGCCAGAACACAGATTCCCGATTCTTGATACTTGATCATGCAGTAGCTGTTTCTCCATCATACATTGTTTCTCGTAGAAACAATGACAGCCATGGTTGGTCGTGGGAATGAAGCTCTGGTTCAGATTGTTGATTCGTTTTCTTGATTTCCGGGAAGCTACAAAAGCAGTTGAGTCACATGGATCCACTGCACCTTCTTCCCCTTTGTATTTGTTTTGCCCTTTAATTTATCATTTTATTTTATTTTTCTTCAAGTGGCAGTGGAAATCATAGTTTTGCTCATATGTAGGTGCTAGTTAGTGTGATGAAAAAAAGGTTAGAAGAATATAGGTAAAACAAGCTTGTGTTCACTTGATTTATAAATTTATGCAAGAGTTCGCCGATTAAAAACGGCATTTGCGGATATGAACATCATGTTTATGAAACATCTTATTGCATTCCCTCCATCTTTGTTCCATTAATCCTCCACCTAGCGAAGCTGCATTTCTTTTTGTTTAATGGCATAATTTACTCCTTTACCGGATTGTGAGAAAATAGAGTTTATATTATTAATTTAAGTTATTTGATTCAAAGTGTAATTTTTTTTGGCAAATTTGTATTGATCCTTAATTAAAATTTTTAAAAGCATGTTGTTTTAGTTTGTTTATTTATTTTGAGAATTAAAATTATTTTTTTAAAATATAAAAATTTGCATTTTTGTTTAATAGATACATCTATTATACATCATTAATTATCTAACCATAAAAATTCATCTAAGATTCTTTAAAGCTAATTATTATTGAATTTTTTTAAATTGATTTTAAGTAAAAAAAAAAAACTGAATAACAGTTGAAAACAGAAGGCATCAGGAAAAAAATTGTTTCAGAAAGAGTAAATTATGCCATTAAAAAATGATATTGAAAATATTGAGAATGATTCTGCTGCCATCTTATTTCATTCAACTTGCTGAAAAAATGACTGCATCTGAAGAGCTTCTTTGGGATTGTATGACCAATTATTTTAATCATAAATCGGACTACATAAATTTAACTCAAAACTCTGTTTTGTAAAAAGTATTTGATCAAAAGATCGTCAATAATTTTAGAAAGCCAATCCCCAGTGGCATGGGAAAACAATCTGGCTGTTTCAACAGTTCTCTCTTGTATTGAGGCTGTTTCATGACCAATCCAGTATGAAGATTACTACTCTCCTGCTGTGTTAACATATGTCACTAGCACACTCAGGAAACTGATTAAACATTTTCTCCAGGAGGTAACTCTGCAAGCTTTGGAGGTTGCCCAAGTACTCGTTCCATGTCAAAACGAACTTCAATGTTGCGAAGGCTGTACCCGACCACCATGAGCCAATAAAGCAGCTTGGCAAGCTCCGGTGCACTAGTCTCTGTTACTGATGTCTGCAATCAGAATCAAAGTCGAGAAAGGCATCTCTCTTAAGTTTGCTACAGAAAAATCAGATGATTATTCAAGAAATCCACTAACATTAGTATTAGCTGCATCTGAAAATTAATTCCTTTCATCAGCTTTGTGTTGAAATGTTCAATATACTAACTTGCTCAAAAGATATCCAAGTTTGGTAGTGGATTTGTACGCAAATTATTAATTTGGAAGATGAATACCACCTCAATCACATAAACCATTTCTTTGCCACAGGTTGAAGAAAAGTTCATTGGATGGAACCTTTACCACTCTACTTACCCAAACTATCTTTATTTGAAAAAGTTTTAGTAGTGTGAATCAGATCCGTGGCAGTAAGTCAAGAAATGTGATATGGTTCTTAGGCAAACCTTCATTTGGTCGGGACCTGAAACAGCCAGAAGACGCTTGATAAATGTGTTCATAGCAAGAACAACATCCTCTCCAGCACTACTCGTCAAATCCTGCAAAATCATAAACATGCAATTTGAAGTTAAAACTTGGAAATGGAGTCAACTTTGCACACAGCCTGGCAATTTTAAAGTGGGAAACAAGGAGGTTGCTGGAGTATGTTTTGCTATACACATCTATTCTTTGTTATTCAGATTTAGGAAGAAAATAACATTCCAAACGAACAAATTTTGATCCTTCTGAAAATGAAAAGCCAAAAACAAGTGCTCTTTCAGATGTCATTCAAAATAACGGGCACTGGTATGGAAGAATGATGAACTAGCTTAGGTGCATCTCACCAAGCATAAACCTCAAAGTAACTGTTATCTGCATTAAACGATAGAGGCACCCAGCCAAGATATAGAAAAGAGCGATAACTGTACCTTCAGATTCTGGGGCTCAAGAGACTTGAGATATTCCAATAATTCATTCTGTCCATTTGCAGCTTTTCTGCCAAATTGACTATTTAGCTCCTCGATCTCTGCCTCAAGTAACTCTATATATTTTTTAGCATCAATTTTTTCAGGACCAGAGATATTATTCCACCTAATAACCTCACCAGACACATTCTTCTGTGTACCAGGTGCATAATCTGGCTCATCCTGAAGAGTCACAACATCCACTTATATACTGGAAAAGTAATGATAATTTTTTTTTGTTAAAACGAAGATAAGTTATGCGTCGTTTAAGATGAAGATAATATTAAAATTTAGACCCATTAAACCTCTTGCAATAAATCATATCTTTACAATTCAACAATCCAATTACCTTCTTTTCTTTTTGTGCATCAGGAAGTGCAACCTGCTCCAAACTTTGTTGCAACTCCAACCGGTATTGTGCATTCTTGAACATATAACCCGTCATCATAAGGCTATACATGAGCTGTGCAAGATTTTCAGCAACCTGAAACAAAAAACCCAAACTGATCTTTCTCAATAACAAAATGCCGGCAGTTTTCAACACTAACCCTTGCATTTACAAATGAGCAATTCCACTCAAAAGCAATATACTTACAGTTGTAACTGTTACTGCGAAAAACTGCGGAGGCAATGTCCCGATCATATTAGTCACTGTCTGTCTCATAGCATCAACTACCTAAACAAAAAATGTGATGGATGCTTCATATCCATATTTCCACTAAGAATAATAAACCCTCCTTCTAAATTTATCAAGTAACGCTTGAGCAAATCAAATGAAGCCAAGATTATCTAAAAGAAAGCAAAACCTGCTGTGGTGCTCGTTTTACGAAAAGCTCCATAAACTCCGGCTGAACATTTTTGACATATTCCAATAGAATTTCCCTCCTGGTCTTTGGCTGCTGATTTCAAAAAACAAAACCCAAAATCCCAATTCAATCAATCTCCACTATAAACTAAAAGAAATCACAAGAAAGTTCATTGTAAATGATTCATAGAAGCACTGTATGAGATGAAAACATTACCATAGTGCCATTCGGGGGCTTGGCATCACCAGGATTATTATTGGAAGAAGAGTCATTCTTGGAAGAATCGTAAGATTTAACTCTAAAGCCTAACCTCCCTTTATTACAGCAGTTCCCCTTGTTTCTTGGAAAACTAACGGAAGAACATAGTCGAGGTCGAGTCGAGACAAGAACTGTCGAACTGCTCGAAGAAGAAGAAGATAATTTAGATACAACGAAGGAGCCCTTCACAGTCAAAGAATCCATGGCCAACTCGGTCACTCAAACTCAGTCTCTTGTTTACTGAAATGGGCTGGGCCTAACGTGGTTTTTACAGTTTTGCCATTGACGGAGGGAGTGTGTAAAAGAGTGGAGGAGAGTGTTTTCTTTCTGGTGCGTGAGTTCTCAGAGATGAGGGTTTGTTCTGCGGGAGAAGGAGAGAGCGGTTGCACCATAGAAAATGTGGGATGGTCTGTAGGGGATTGGCTTGGCGGAGGATCGAATGGTTGAAATTGTTTCTAGTGTTTCGTCTATGCTGTTTTTGGCCGTTGATTTGAGGACCATTATGACTTGAGTGGCTGTAGGAGCAGTTGGATCAACGAATCAAGGCAGTTTTGTGGATGATAAATGAACCGAAGGCCCATAATCTCATGTTTGTTTATTTATTTTTTTAGAAAACTCGTGTTTATTTAATTACTTTTATTTTTTAATTTTTTTTTCAATAGATAAATTACTTCTTGTCTTTAACGATGCCACAATTTTCTTCACGTGTATATATTATATTAAGAAAGAGTGATTTTGGCATCACCAATCTTGCTTGAAATAGGAAAATGCCTGAAATTATGATAAAAATTATAGTGTGGAGCTATAGTTCATTTTGTTTTTTTTTTGTTTTTTATTATATCAATAACAAAAGTTAACATTATATGCTTGTTTGGAATGTGATCGAATGATTCGTTTTGGTGGTAGTTTTAGGGTTGTTATTGGCTTATCAAGCCAATTATAAGCAATAATCTTCTTATTCTTACGTTTTTTTCTATTTTTTTTTTAGATAGATGGTAAAAGTAGAAGAGAATGGTTAACATACTGTTCACTTTGAAAGAACCAAACTTCCACCAGTAACATAAATTACTCAGGATAAAACAACGGTGTTTTTTTTATTATCACTAAGACTTTTTATATACAAGATTTTAAATAATTATATTTTAGTATCGTTTGATTATCGAAATAAAAAATTCAAAATAAAAATACAAAAATCAAAATAACAATTAAAAAAATATTTACATTTATAAATAGTGTTTGAAATATTAATAAACAAATTAAAATAAAATTTAACTTTTTTAATATGAATAAAAATAATAATTTTATTTATTGTGATGATAGAAAATATAATGAAGGTGGTTGTGACAATGATATGGAGTGTCGGGATGATGAAAAGAAAGTAATAGTAATAATAGTATATTAATAATAATAATATATTTTTAAAAAATTGATACTATCATCATATGATGTGAGAGTAAAAAAAAGTGGTAGTGGTATAATAAAAACGATGATAATGATAATGTGAAGAAAAAATAGTGTTAGAATAATAATAATGATAATTTTTTTATTACCACTTGTCAATAGAGATGGTGATGGTAATTGTGGCGGTGATAGAAATAATTAACACACAAAAAATAAAAAATAATATATTATTATTTTAAAAAATTATTTTTATCTTTTTATTTTTATTCTCATCCTTTATGTGGAAATAAAACTATATGTAATTTTTATTCTTAGTCCCACTCTTTATTTCTGTTCTCATTTTATTTTTTTCCATTAAACAATTATATGGCGGGAATAACACTTTAATTCTTATTTTCACTATTCTATTTTTAGTAAAAAAAACAACACCTAAAGAAATTTTAAAAACTAAAATACTCATTAATCTAAAACATAGACATATTATCATTCAACTGCACCAACCCAGCTGCAAATAGGCTTTTAGGTCATATACGTCACAGACATCCTTAACACAAAACATTTCTAGAATAATATCTTTACATACTATCTATTAACACTCTATGAAACCAATAAAATTTGATTTGATATTTACTTTGATTTTTTTTTACACCCATCCAAAGGCAAATTAAATGCTCATGATTTTGGCTTTGAATGAGTTCATTCCCTACAAGCTAATCCTGAGAATTTTGCACGTCAAAGAAAAGGCACTGAACTTATCACCATTCACCGATCTGGAGAACGGAAATAAAATTTTAAAAAGTGAGAAAATGTTAAATTATTTACGTAAATGGTCATCCAAGACAGTTCGCCCGGCTGGTCTAAGGCGCCTGATTTAGGCCCTGATCCGAAAGGGCGTGGGTTCGAATCCCACGATTGTCAGGTTTTCGCAAAATGCGAGTTTAAATAAAAAGTCAACGCACTAATAGCTAATTTTCCTTGGTAAGGACGTCGTAAATGCAGTGTGTTTGATACTTTAAATAATACTTCCCTAACAAATGAACTCGACAAGTGGGCCCTACCGTGCTCTCCGCAAAAACTTTGTGTACTTTAAAGTTGTTTCTTTCATCATAAACCCGAAAATTATTTCCATAGCTTTGCGCGGCGTTCGTCTTCTTCTTCTTCCCGTTCTGATTTAATCGAATAGAACTCTTAATTGTCAAGCCTGGTAAGCTCTGTACTATTTCTTCTGCTTAATTTCTCTCTCTGTATATTATTATTATCTATAAACAAAGAATTTGTTAAAAATAATCTTTCTTTTTCTAATTAATCCAATTTCCATCTGCAGGGTCAAAAAATGGTTAGACCAAGTGATCCATTTTGGATTCATGTTGAGGAGTTGGATGATGGTCATTTGCGGTGTGAATTTTGTGGGGATAGATTCGCGGCTGGAATTTCGATTTCAAGGGTCAAATATCATTTGGCAGGTGTTGAAGGACGTGGTATCAAAATCTGCGCTCAAGTACCAAGAGATGTTCAGGAATAAGCCTTTCAAGCTATTCAGGAAAAACCTAAAAGCAGTAACGAGGTTAGTAATATTGAGAAATTTTATAATATATAAGGAGTAACTAGTGATATGTACGGTAGTTATTCTTCGAACTTATTTTGAAGAGAGAGATAGACACACAAAAGAGAAAAAAACATAAAAGAGAGAAAATAAAAAAATTTGAAGCAGACGTGAAAATCTTCTTATCACTTTTGGTGAAGTATATATGTAATTTTTCTCTTTTTATGTATCTATCTTTCTCGTCAAAGTAAATACGAAGAATAACTACTCGTATATGTCATTAGTTACTTCCTCGTGTATTATAAAATTTTCCTAGTAATATTGTCTCAACTTCTTCTGGGAACCAAATGATGCGGTTATTGAAGAAAGAGGGGAAGCATGTTCGTTTGAACTGCCCAAACCTTTTCCACTGATTAATCAGGATCAGGAAAGGATGATTAGAAAACGTGAAAGTGAGAGAAGGTACAGAGAGATCGCAAATAAAGAAAACAAACTTAAAGTTGAAAATGAGGAATTACGCCGGAAGAACTTTGTATTGGCAGAACAACGTGATTTTCTAAATAAGAAAATGCTCGAGGACAAGTTGGAACTGGAAAAACTTAAACGTTTCTTACGACAACGAAAAGATTTCAGTCCTGAGTTGCTTGGGAACGTCTCCCATGAGACTGCAGGAGATGTATTGCAAGAATCAGATCCAGTGTGTCAAGCACATGAAAGAAATCAGGATCCGATCTGTTCTCGATCAGCGGTGGATGATGTCTTAATGAATGAGGCAGAGAACTTTGGTAGAGAATTTGTGCAGCCTGTAGTGAGAGGGAGCTGTTGGACCATGGGAAATATCCGGTCTTGGTTGATGGAAGATGCGGGGTGGTCTGTAGGGGATTGGCATTGTGGACGATCGGATGGTTGATTTTGTTTCAAGTGTTTTGTCTATTCTGTTTTTGGCCATTGATTTGAGGAGGAGCAGTTGGATCAACGAATCAGGGCCCTTGTTGTGGATAATAAATAAACCGAAGGCCCATAATATCATGTTTATTTTATTTTATTTTTAGAAAACTCGTGTTTATTTAATTACTTTTATTTACAAAATTTCAGTCCATAGATAAATTACTTCTTCTCTTTGACGATGCCACAATTTTCTTCACGTGTATATATCATATTAGGAAAGAGTGATTTTGGCATCACCAATCTTGCTTAAAATAGGAAAATGCCTGAAATTATGATCAAAATTATTGTGTGGAGCCATAGTTCATTTTGTTTATTTATTTATTATATCAATAACAAAAGTAAATATTATATGCTTGTTTGGAATGTGATTTAGTGACTCGTTTAGGTGGCAGCTTTGGAGTTGTGATTGGCTTATCAAAACAATATTCTGCTATGATTTTCATATTTTTCTATTTTATTTCATAGATTAGTACGAGTAGAAAAGAATTAATTGTTCAACGTTCACTTTTGAGATGAATTAATCCTCCACTGTTAATATAAAATTACTTAGGTTTTTGGATAAAACAAATGATGGTTTTTGGTTCCTATTATTAAGATTTGTTATATACAAGACTTTGTAATTATACAAAAAAATCAAAAGACATATTTGAATTATTTAACTGCACTAATCGAACTAATAGACAGACTTTTAGATCACCACACATGAAAATCCTTAACACAAAACATTTCTACACTAATTGATATAGTAATATTTTATCTTTCTACTATGCTATACATATTATCTATTGATACTCTATGAAGCCAATAAAATGTAATTTGATATTTACTTTGATTTTTTTTTTTATACGCATACAAAGGCAAGTTAAATGCTCATGATGTTGCCTTTACGAGTTTATTCCCTACAAGCTAATCCTGAGAATTTTCCATGTCAAAGAAAAGGCACTAAACTCATCACCGATCAGGAGAATGGAAATAAAATTTTTAATTTCTGCGAACAATTAGGTTAAGTAAGCATTTAATTATTTATAAACGCAAATGATCAGTTTGGCCGAGTGGCCTAAGGCGCCACACTGAGGCTCTAGTCCGAGAGGGTGTGGGTTCAAATCCCAAAACATGTTAGGTTTGTTATACTAACGTTTGTCATATATTTTTACGTTAATTAATATTGGATATCATGGTTTAGTTATTAAAAAAAGAACATTCAAGACAGTTTGGCCGAGTGGTCTAAGGCGCCAGATTTAGGCTCTGGTCCCACAGCTGTCAGTTTTTCGGTTCTTACATTTTTCAATTTTGATGTTAAAATAAAGCTCATTCTGCATTATAAATCTCATCCCATTGCAGCTCGTAAGCGCGACAAGTTTGACTTTGGGCCTTTAGATTCATTGAAACTTTTAGCATCTTTGGCAGTCCAATAAGCTTATGGAACCTTGCTAGACTATAGTTGAGCAGGCAAGAGGCAAGCATCTCTGCATGCTAATCCAGATCGTGAAGTAAGTACTTCCAGAAATAGTGGGCTTGATGTCCATAGTTCTCCATAATCATGAAATGGAGAGTCTATCCTGTCCTATTCCATCAATGTTTTTCCATTATCATTACAAACAAGCCTGTGGTGCAATTACTTGCCACCCTTATTTCTCTGTTACTAGTAGTGCATGGCAAAATCAGTCCAGCCAACAGAGTTCACCACTAGTAGTGAATGTCAGGGCACGGAGAGAGTACATTTCGCGAACAGGGAACAAAGCATTACGTGCTTGCGATCCTAAGTAATCAAAGTTGCTAAGTAAAAAAAAAGGCAAAGGAATAACTATAGATCCTTTTTTTTCTTCGTTCTTTTAATATTTCTAACTGTCATTTACCGCATCATGCTCTCAAAACAAAGAAAAAGAAGCAGAATTCTTTTTTCTTCAGTTTTTATGGCTGAATATCTGTTCCTGCCATTTCCTTATAGTGAACAGGTACAGCAGCTGGAAATAACATAACAACATCGTTTCAAAAAAAATATTAATACAGCATAGTAATTAATATTTTTTTAAAACTGGGTGAAAAATCAAAAGAGAGAGCATTTGTTAATTTATGGACCAGTTAAAAGGCCCAAACATACCCAATAGGCTATAGACATCATAAAATTCAATTCGATATAAAAGAAATGATAACAATGATAGAATTGGAAAGAAAAATGATGAAGAAATTATTTCACTATAATATAAAGTGAATACAAGAGATAACAACTCTAAAAAATCTCTCAATCTCTACAAAATACTTGTACATAAACTAATGAACAATCAATCCTATTTATAGATTTCAAAATCAAGAAGAGAATTTGAAAGGATTGCGAACCATTAAAAGATACATAAATAATTGAATAAATTACATCGCCCTTACAATTTCTCATATTAAATAGTGAATTAAATCATATGAATATTGGAGAATATGAAATAGACATTCATTATTTCATAATACTCCTCATTGAATGTTTATCATATAAGAAACATGCTTCGTTAAAACCTTACTAAGGAAAAACCCAACGGTAAAAAAAATCTTAGTGAAAGAAAAAGAGTAGAATATCCTTTGTACACATTAATCTCAATGTTAGCCTTTGGCCTCTCCTATTGAAAACATTATTTGAGATCTTTAAGATGATATATTTTAATCTTGTAAATCATTTTCTCAAAAGTTATAGTAGGTAATGTCTTAGTGAACAAATTTGATTGATTGTCACTTGATCGAACTCTTCCTTTAATTGAATTATGCAAGCGAGTATTATCTTCATATGATATTGTTGGAGCATCTTTTGTTGGTAGATAAATTACAAATCTCTCGGACATGATAGATCATTGTTCTTAGCCAAATAAAATTTTTACTTGCCTCATGAGTTGGTATTTACGCATTGTTTGAATATTTAACGGATATAGTTTGCTTTATAAAACGTTATGATATAGTCTGTATCACCAAGTGTAAATACATAACCCGTTTGTGATAGAGTTTTGTATAGATCAAATAAATAACCTACATCTACATAACTAATTAAATCTGATTTTGATTTATTTGAGTAAAAGAAATACTATATCAAATTTCTCTCAAAGATAACGTAGGAAATGTTTAATTCTATTCCAATCTTCATATTGGATTAGAACTATGACTTGCCAATAAACTTATAGAAAAGACTATATCGAGTCAAGTATTATTAGCAAGATATATCAATACACCAGAGTGACGAGTAAGATACGGTACTTCGAACCAAGTAGTTATTTGTTATCTTCTTGAGATCGAAGAGGGTCTTTTTAGATATCAAATGAATGAACTACCATTAAGCTAGTCGATGGATGATCTTTATATAGAATCTTTTCTATATGAATTGATCGATAAATAAAAATCTTGTTCTTTAAGTGCTCGAACTGCAGGTTGAGGTAAAAGTTTGTTTTTTCAAGGTATTTTATATCAAATTCTCTTTTTAGATAACTTATGGCATTTGGAATTTTTTCGGGAGTTTCAATAATATTTAAATCATCAACATACATAGAACTATCACAAACTCCTTTTCGAATTTCTTTATAAAAATACATGAATAAATATGGTTATTTTTACAATCTTCTTTGAATAAATATTTATTGAAATAATTATACTACGTGCACACGAGTTAGTAATAAAAAGTAGATATCGAAATTAAAAAAATAAATATAAAAACTATAGCATAAATTGAATTTCTAAAAACTAATACTAAAATAATTATGATAGAGATCTCTAAAGTTTAATTGAATTAATTTCTTGAGAATATTTATTACATGCTTCATACATCTTAAATCCTTTTAAGACTTTCATATAAATATCATTTCAAATGAACAAATAAATTATGATCACATTTATTAAATACATCCATATGAATTTTTTCATATATTTTGTCGAGCTAATGAGACAATAAAATATAATTGCATCTATTATAGGAGAATATGTCTCCTCATAGTCAATGTCATTTTTTTACAAAAACTCTTATGTTAAAATTCTTGCTTTATATCTTATAATCTCATCTTTATTATTTTGTTTTTGCATAAATACACATTTGTATCTCACTAGCTTGACATCTTCAAGTGTTTTAACTATGGGTTCAAAAAACTATTCATTTATAAAAGAACATAATTCTACATGGATTGCTCTTTTCATTTATGCCAATATCTTTATGTCAATATCTTCAATAAATTTGGGCTCGGGATCCTTATTTTCATTTAAGATATCAATTGAAACATTATATGCAAAAATCTTATCAATAAATATTTCCTTTTTATCCTATTTTCTCCTTGTATTGACATAATTTATCAAGATCTCTTGATTTTTCTCAAGCATTTGGACTTCTTCTAAAAGCCTATTATCATATTTATCTTGGATTGTTTTATGAATATTTGCATGTTTTATATTTTCAGCTTGCTATTTTTTATTTTTTTGGATTTTTATCTTTATAACTGATTGGTCTTCTACGCTTTAGGCATGCTTTAGATTCATTTGTTATAACATCAATAGATTATCCTTCTAGGACATTAATACTAATAGGAGCATTCTCGGTTGAGACATGCATTTAAGTTACTCGTTTAGAATTTGAGAATGCATTTAGCGGTTGGTTTACAATACCTTGTAAATGAATTATCTTTTGAACTTCTAATTCACATTATTTTATATGAAAATCAATATGATATAAGATAGAGCACTCCATGTAATCTCTTTTTTTAACATTTCCAATGGCTTATTTTGTTTATTCTCTCTCCTTAATGTTGAAAAAACTATTTCATGAAAATGACGAGTCAATAAATCGAGTCTGTAAAAATATCTCTTATTCATGATTTAAGATATTTAATTATTGAAAAGGATTCAAATTCAAGATATATTTTCAATCTCCTTTAAGTGCTCATTTTAGTTCATTATGGAGGAGCACTATGGATATATACTTGCAATGCTAAAAATATTCTTAAAGAATAAATATTTGGCTCATGACCATAAACCAATTAACGGAAAGAGAATTTATAATAACTTATGAGTCCGATGTGAATAAGTGTTGTTGTATGAAAGATTGTATGTCCCCAAACATAAACATGAAGTTTTATTTTAAATAATAGTTTAGCTATCAATTGGAGCCTTTTGATAAATAATTTTGCTAAACCTTTTTGAGTATGAACACGAGGAACAAGATATTCAACCTTTATTCTAAAAGTCAATCAATAATAATTTAATGCTTGAGAAATAAATTCACCGAGCATTATCAAAGTGACTCATTTTAATGGCATTATCCGAAAATTATGCTCAAAATCAAATTATTTGCTAGCAATCTCGAAAACATCGGGTTTCAAGTAGATGATAAGTATTTATGCGACCATCTTGTGGATGCATTTATAAAAATCATAAAATATTTAAATAAAATATTATAAATTATCACATTCACTTCGAGAGAATGGAGTAGATCCAATTGGTCGAGATTTATTCTTTTTCATCAATAGCTTTTCATTTTATTTAGTCACAAACAAGTATGAAATTGATTCAAAATATTTCTTAAACTCCTTTTATTGATATACTACTGCAAGAGCATATTCGAAACATGAAAAGTAGATGATATTAACATAGTGTCAAGCACTCATAATCAATAATTCTTGTCTAAAATGTCAAAGGCCACGAAATCAAGTTTTGTGATGGTTGATATCATTAAAATTGTATATTGCAAAGTATAATAATAATATTAGGAAATAAAGAGAAAATATAATAATAAATTTAAATAAAAAACAAACATAATAATAAAATTTGAAATTTTCAAATAATATATATTAGATTATTAGATTCTATTTATTAAATCATTTAAGTTTTTCAAATATATATTTTATGCATCATTAGATTTAAAATACATGATAAATTAGATGCATGCCTCTTACCGATCTAAATAATTTAGATCTTTTGGTAAAGTACTTGTGTAGAAGAAATCCAATGGTTGAAACAATTGATTAAGTCTTTTGGTAGATACATACCTCATAATCTATTGTCTCGATTGGTTAAAGCTTTGTCTCGATAACGTGTTATAAAAAAAATGGTAACAATGATAAAATTAGAGAGAAAAACGATGAAGAAATTATTTTACTATAATATAAAGTGAATACAAGAGATAACAACTCTAAAAAATCTCTCAATCTCTACAAAATAATTATACATAAACTAATGAACAATCAAGCCTATTTATAAGCTTTACGATTAATAAGAAGATTTGAAAGCATTATGAATTATTAAAAGATGCATAAATAACTGAATAAATTAAATCATTATTTCAATTTTTCATATTAAATGATGAATTGAATTATATGAACAGTGAGGAGTATGAAATTGACATTTATTGTTTCATAACAAATTCACCTTAATTAGTTTTTTTTAATAAAAAAAGATTATTTCACTATTTTGACACAATGAGCTAAAATTTGAAAATTGATAAAAAATCTCTTTGAGAATGTCTCTAAACTATAGTAATCCTTTTGAAAGTATTTGCTTTTGTATTGTTTTTATGATTTAATTTATTTCTCGTTCACCCCGTCTATCTTTCCCTCCTCAGTAGCGGCGTCCTTCGTATGGGTTGGAGTAAGACGTTCTAAACACAAAGTTTTTAATACTCTAAATAGTACAGCCCAAACAAATGAACTCCAGTTTAGATAAAACGTCAACCCACTGTTAGCAAAATTTCCCCTTAAAAAACACATCATTCTCTTCTCATACGGGCTGAGTTTAAGTCGCCACTTTGCTAGAATATATTGGCTTTTTGAGGACGTCATAAATGCAGCGTCTTTAATACTTTGAATAATACTTCCCAAACAATTGAACTCGAGAAGTGGGCCCTCCCCTGCTCTCTCCTCTGTAAAGAAGACTTTCGTATTTGAAAACGCCCCGTTTTGGTAAAGTTGTTTCCGTCTTTTCTCCTAAGTTTCTTTCATGCACAATCCCTAGAATTATCTCCATCGTTTTGTGCTGCGTTCGTCTTCTTCTTCCCGTTCTGATTTAATCGAATAGAACTCCTAATTGTCAACCAGGTAAGCTATGTGCTATTTCCTCTGCTTAATTTCTCTCTCTGTATATTATTATCTGTAAACAAAGAAGTTGTTAAAAATAATCTATCTTTTTCTAATTAATCTAATTTCCGATGCAGGGTCAAAAAATGGTTCGACCAAGTGATCCATTTTGGATTCATGCTGAGGAGTTGGATGATGGTCAATTGCGGTGTCAATTTTGTGGGTATAGATTCGCAGCTGGAATTTCGATTTCAAGGTTCAAATCTCATTTGGCAGGTGTTGAAGGACGTGGTATCGAAATCTGCACTCAAGTACCAAGAGATGTTCAGGAAGAAGCCTTTCAAGCTATTCAGGAAAAACCTAAAAGCAGTAACGAGGTTAGTAGTAGTGTCTCAACTTCTCGGAAACCAAATGATGAGGTTAATAAACTATGGACAGTTTCGAATTCTGATAAAGTGCCCAGACTTGGTCCGGTGACTAGTCAGGAAAGGAGGATTAGATTACGTGAACTTGACATGAGGTATAGAGAGATCAAAAAACGAAAAATGAATGATTTAATGGTCAACCAGGTAAGCTATGTGCTATTTCCTCTGCTTAATTTCTCTCTCTGTATATGATTATCTGTAAACAAAGAAGTTGTTAAAAATAATCTATCTTTTTCTAATTAATCTAATTTCCGATGCAGGGTCAAAAAATGGTTAGACCAAGTGATCCATTTTGGATTCATTTTAAGAAGTTGGATGATTGTCAATCGCAGTGTCAATTTAGAGAGATCAAAAAACGAAAAATGAATGATGTTGAAGCACTTAAAGTTGAAACTGAGCAAGTACGCCAGTGGCACTTTATATTGAAACAAAAAATTGAAGTTCTAACTAAGAAAATGCTCGAGGACGAACGTTTCTTAGGGCAACTAAAAGATTTCAGCTCTGATTTGCTTGGGAATTTCCCACATGTGACTATAGAAGATGTATCGCAAGAATCAGATACAGTGGTTCAACCACTTGGAAGAAGTCGGGATCGGATCTGTTCTCAATTAGTGGGGGATGATGTCTTAATGAATGAGGTAGAGAACATTGGTAGAGAATTTGTGCATCCTGTAGTGAGAGGGTGCTCTCGCGATGATCCTCAACATAATGTAGGTGAGACTAGAAGAGATGATTTACCGACAACAACAGAGCTAGTGGGCCAAGCCTTTGAAGGAAATAAGACTGCTTCACCAAAAACAACTGAGGCAGTGAGCCAAGCTTTTGAAGAAAATAAGAAAGCTATCTGGTCTTGGTTGATGGACGATGATGTCCCAAGCATTGGCATTTATGGCATGGGAGGGGTGGGTAAAACCCAATTGGCGCAACATATCTTCAATCAGCTTCATGAGCAAGAAGACCTTACTTGTAAGGTTTATTGGATTACTGTGTCACAAGATTTTAGCTTTTATAGGTTGCAGAATCTTATTGCAAACCGTGCTGGTATAGATCTTTCAAGTGAAGACAACAAGCTGCTCCGAGCTGTCAAACTGTCAAAACGTTTAAAGAATGAACAGAAATGGGTTCTCATTCTAGATGATTTGTGGGACTATTTTGATCCAGAGGAGGCTGGAATTCCTATCCACATGAAGGGTTGTAAATTAATTCTTACAACTCGTTCACTTCAAGTTTGTCGAAGGGTGGGCTGCAAAAAGAAAATCCAAGTGAAGCCTCTGTGTGATGGTGAAGCCTGGACTTTGTTCATGGAAAAACTAGGGCCTGATGTGGCACTTTCTCCAGAAGCCGAACAGATAGCGAAATGTATTGTCAGGGAATGTGGTGGTTTGCCGCTTGGAATTATCACAATGGCTAGAAGCATGTGGGATGTGGATGACATATGTGAGTGGAGGAATGCTTTGGCAGAGTTAAAAGTATCAAAATTTAGGCAAGATGACATGGACATGGAACTATTCCGTGTATTGAGATTTAGCTATACTCACTTAAAAGACAAATCGTTACAACAATGCTTCTTATGCTGTACATTATTTCCTGAAGGCCATCTCATTGAGAGGGAGAAGTTGTTAGCGTTATTGAGCGCTCAAGGAATAGTGAATGGAAAGGATAACTATGATAAGGGTCATGTGATGCTTAATAAACTAGAAAACGTCTGCTTATTGGAAGGTTCTGTAGATAGTAATGGTTTGAAGTATGTCAAGATGCACAAATTGATTAGGGACATGGCCATCCAAATACAGCAGGAGAATTCTCTAGTCTCAGTTAAAGCTAATACATAATAAAAAGGATTACCAGATGCTGAGAAGTCAGACCGAGGATTTAGTGAGAGTTTTATCAGCTAGAAAACTGCAATTAACAGTAAGCCTTCATCCTCATTCATCTTCATCGTTCTGTTACTTCCTCTTTCTATCTGTATCTTAATTCTGAATTTTCCTTACAGTTAAACTTTTAATTACTCTCAATCCCTCTGTAATATCTGAAACATCCCATTATTGATAAATATTCATTTACTTGGTTTTGCTTTTAATGTCAGTTTTGTTTTGCTTTGTTATGATTGATTCATTATGTAGGACAGATTTGAGGTCTCTGTTCTACGAAGGATTTGAGGCGAGCTAGGGTTTATTGTTTGTGAAATTAGGGTAGATTAGGAAGAAATAAGGAAAAATTAGGCTGTGAACTGTAATTCGCATCACTGTAGCAGCAGAATAAGAAAACAAGAAAGAAGAGAAAATAGAAGAACGAGAACACAGAAGAAATCTTGGCACTAAGCCTTCAAAATGACTCTCGAACTCAATTTATTGCGTAACTCAACTCAGCAGAAAAGTAAAATTTAGCATCTCTATCAATAGAGATCGAAATGAGAAGTGATTTGGAGGAAAATTCACTCTACTTTCATCATAAATCACTAGGATATATATATACAAGAGTATTCATAAATTAAATCCCTACACACAGCAATATTCCTTAATTACATCCTACATTACAGCAAATTCCTAAAATAAATCTGACGTCCTTGATCTTAGGAATGATTTCCTAAGATCAATCTGATCTCAATCCCAATAAATCTGGGTTTTTTCCTTCTAATCTTCCAACACTCCCCCTCAAGCTGCTGAATAGATATCTATCATTCCCAGCTTGCTGATAATTGACTCAAATCCTGGTCTAGGCATAGCTTTAGTAAGAACATCAGCTTCTTGAGATCTTGTAGGAATGTATTGGGTGATTTGCAAACTATGACTATCGATGGTGGAATAGGAAGATGGGGGTGGTTGTTTATTTGTGGTAGACGGACTGATGGATGAATAATCCGTTGATGAGGTTGGTGGAATTTCTGCCATTATTCACAGATTGAAGTGTGAAATAGGTTGTTGTTTTAGTCACCAAAGAACGTGCTTTGATACCATGAAATGAGAAGTGATTTGGAGGAAAATTCACTTTGCTTTCATTATAAATCACTAGGATATATATACGAGAGTATTCCTAAATTAAATCCCTACACATAGCAATATTCCTTACATCCTACATTACAGCAGATTTATTTTAGGGAATTCCTAAAATAAATCTGATGTCCCTGGTCTTAGGAATGATTTCCTAAGATCAATCTGATATCAATCCCAATAAATCTCTATTATATTTAATTGTCAAAATTTTGATCGTTAACTGAAATATTTAAAAAAATATTCAAATTATTTTAATTCTTTTTTTTGTTACATTTAAAATTACTTTTTAACATTTAGCGTTTAATACCTGTATTGTATTTGACTGAGACATTTGAGAAATGTTACTTTATTACAATTCCAATAGTCTGGCGGTGAAATATGCCTTTAAACCAATAAAAGGGACTGAAATACTAGTTAGAAAATTTTTTTTCCGTGAAAATCACAAGTATCAACGGCATCTAAGATAGTAAAGAACAAATTACTGGTGATGGAGCAAATGTAATTTGTCTTAAAAACCTTGAGAAATTTCACATTTTTCCTCTACAAGCAAACTGAAAAAACAATAAAAAACATCAATTCAATTCTCCTATGTTTATAGAAAAAATATACCCGTCTTTCATGGCATTGATCAAAAGAATTTGGCAATATTTTGGAGCAAGTTGCAGAGGCCATCGTCAACGGCAGGGGTTTTAATACCGATAGTATTTCCCGTTCCAAAATCAATTACTTGAAGTTCAAGAGTTTGTAGGTGGCGTCAGAAATAAATGACCAAAACGATTGATACTAATTCAAATGGTTAGGGAAGAATTTTCTTCTTTTTTTTTTTTTGTATTCAATCAAAGATATTTCAGTAAAAAAATATATTTATGATCGAAATAATAAATTAAAAACTTAAATATTATTTATTAAAATAATAAATATTATTAGAAATGTAGGCACACGTGAAAAACTCTAATTACTATACAAGTACAAATTGAGTTATTTATCCTTTAGTTTTTATTAAAGTATTTTCTTTTTTATATATATTTTTATTCATATTACAAGATTAAGCTAACCGAAAAATGTTAATATTACCAATGGAATAATCATAGCCTAATGACGTAAAATATCCAAAAGAACTTAATAATAATAAATTGTAAAGAGATTACATAAAAAACATAC